ACCGTGAAACAAAAAAAATTCCATAGGGGCAATAGCATACAGGTGCAATTGTCATGGGTTCAAATGTACGTGGGTTCAAATGTAATGGAACCATTAAATATATCTATATAAAATTCAATGATTGTTATTGTTTCGTGACTTAGGCTACTTTTTGTACAAGCCCGTTTTCTTCTGTTCCTCAATAGGTTAAAAATACTAACGCATAGAATAGATTACCCGTGTTTTGATTTCATTTATTTATGAGGGCATCTGAAACAACCGCTTTGCAGGGTTCTAAGGTAAAGGGTTCGGGTTGCATGAACGATACACGTACTGTATATTGAAATTCAAGGTTATTGGACACTAATTATTGGACACCTATATTTAAGCCTTTGCTCTCTCGGGGTTTTTGATATTTACTCCGTCCAATGAATATAACAGAGTATGTGTTTTGAACACAACAGTGTCAAGCCTAACATTATATGATAAAGTTCTGAAGATGTTTGAGACCGATACATGGAAAATGGATCCAAGAATTTTAAGTGCTGGATTGCTCGATACACAAGGGTTTGGAAGCAGTCATTGAATATTGATGGTAACGTGAGTGTCCTGGCGTGTCAGATCATGTCATCTGTTGCCCAACAATGAAAATTAACTCTGCCGTCGAATCCGCTAACGTATCTTCTGTATTTTTACTCGATTTGTGTAAAAATTCGCAAACTTTTAACGTCGACTAAAATTCAAACCAATGTTTATTAAGTTTAATCTAGCATAATTATATAACTGCCTTCCTGATAAATTTCCGAAATGAAATGAACTTTATTCCACCATCAAGCACATTTTGCAGTAGCATTTATAATTTATATATAACGAGTTACGTATAATACATTATCGTATGCCATCTAGTTTGTAACAGACGAGAAAACTTGGGGTTATCGAGCAGCGTGTGAAAGTGAGTGTGGTGATTGTCTGAAGAGTCATTTTTTTTTCATCCCAGAGTATTTTGTTGTTTCGTTTTTATTTTTAAACTGTCTTCAAAGCGGCCTGATCATGCACGCTTCCATCGCTATACCCAGTTTAATGAGGAAAAGCGCATATTACATTAGCGACTTTTCACTTAGAAATCGTAGTACTGTCAGTTAATGTCTTTCTGCGATCATATTCAATCGTAATAAAACCACGATGGCCATCTTTTGTAACATACTGCTTTTTATCAATAGTATACCAATTTTATTTGTGCTTTTCAACACTCTGTGATATATGCATTGCCTACTTAAATCTTTTCTACGGTTTCTATTGTGCCAGAAAATATTTCTATTTTGGAACAAAGTCGAATGACATTTTGGAAGACCAAACATCAATTTGTCATCAAAAATTTCAAAAATACCTTGATTTAAAATAAACGTCTGAAACTCACATTTTGGAAGTTCCGTGTAAAAATATGTAAATGAGATAAAAAAAAATGTGTTGTGATTAATAACAATGCGTAGTAAACACATTAAATTATGTCAATATTTCAATTGTGCAATGCCCATATTAAAATATAGTATTAGGCACGGGCAGGGGGTGTACCTCGGTTCAAGCAATCTTTTGATTATAATATGGAATTCTCGAAAATGCCAGTGAATGTTGTTTATTTTAACAGCAAAGTGATTTTATTTCATACTTCTTTAGTATGATCGATGACTTTTAAACGAGTCGTGATACGCTCTGTAATAACTTCCTATGACATTCAAGTGGGTCTGCTTTTTAAAGTATAGACATATCAAAATAGGACAGGGATAGTTTTGCATGGATAAACGACAAGAAGGGTTAAACATATTATATGAGACTTGACCTGATTAAAATTTCGAATAAATTAATACGCTAATCGAAAGCAAGACAATTTAAAGTAAGTAATTTAATTTATTGAGCTGGGACAATAACAATATTTGCAATTCTGAAAAATAATTTTTTACATTTCAGCAAAAATTCGAAAAATTTAGTATGTCAAGCTTGTTAAATTACTCTGATAAGAAAAATACATAACGCAACAAATTGTTTATCGAAAGATACTTAAGTTCGCGTGAAGATCAGGTAGCTCCTCGAGGCTAAATTTTGAGGCAAACAACGACTTTAAACACGTTTTTAAATCCGGAAAATAAGTGACAACATTCAGACTAAAAATGTTTTGTTTTGTGCGGTTCATACCATATATTTTTATTAAGCTTATCAGTTGACAAAGTTCGAAGTAGACGAGCAAAACAAACAGATATTCCAGATATCGATAGGTATATTGAAACAAATTGAAGGTTTCGTATTTTCAGCTGTTTTTCTTGTAGCTGTTCCAAGCGTAATTTATATGAATGAGTTGGGTAAAAAATAGATGGCAACAGATGATATGGAAGTGATTAAAATAGTGTGAGAACAAACTTTTGACCACAACAAATAAAACCTACAGAAAGTTGATACAATTGGCAAAATCAAAAGATTAATGAATGGCAATCATCAATGAAGATGAATATTTCTTTTGTTTCGCAGGTTGTATTTCTCTTTCCATGTTTTTATGTTTCTGGGATAATCTGTGTAAAATCTGTTGTGAAGTGCATAAACCGGTTAACGTTTTACAAGCAAAACGCTCCCTATCAATATACAATAACATTTCAGAGTTTTTTTGTTCAAATGGTTGAATTGTGGTCAGGTTGTATGCTCTAAGCTTAAAATAAGAAAAGGGATTAACTTTTACCGTAATTTCTGACTTATGTCAGCAACAATTTCTACAAGGTCGTATCAACAACTAAATGTTGATTCTCACTTTTCTGGACTCCTAGGAAATCTTGAATTTGAGAAGAACTATTTTTGCAATTTGTAGGTTTTTGAATAGTCATTCTGCACCAAATATGTTACATTAACAATACGGTAAATCTTATATATTTCAAATCGACCCAAATGTGGGAGCCGCGCGCAGTTCTAGTTCCTCTACTCGAATTATCATCGTTTTCCATGTCTATATACTAAAGTACTGTCTAATTAAAAAGTTCGAAGTGATCCAATTCGGTTGCATCTTCGTTCGTCACCGGAGAACCTTCATCGACAACAAAAACATGAAAAATGCTTACGCAATCCTGCTTTTGCCCCGTCCTCTTAGATGACCTTAATACTAAAACATTGAAGACTACTGGAGCCTAGAGTATATCAAATAAATCAATCTAAATCCTCAATATCCTTGATTTTATACCAGGATCAATGAAAAGAGATCTTGGGTCGTTATTGCTATAAAATATGATAACGTCAGATAATATATTGATATGAAATACCTCCGTCAATATGTCTTTAAGTGATACAGGATTAGGAATTATCCCGGATGAGTATCTATCATTTAAAATAAGATAAAACGATATAATGGATGAATATATCACGTTTAATAACAAATTTAGCAAAATTGCAATTTTCATATGGTTTTATGCGCAATTAAAGAAATGCGAACTGTAAACTCATAAGATTCGCAATCATAGCTTGTACTTAATCAAGCTCGATATGTGGATGAGATCGCGCCATGAATGATACACACTCTGTGAATTATTTTTTCGCGGCAGAGTTTTTGTTTTACGTCACACGTTTTTCAAGGTCAACGTCAAAAGAATAATATACCAGATGCTTTTGAAATGAGTTTACTATTCTTTTCAGTACTAATCTTGTTGTTGTGATTTTTTTAATATCTCAAGAATAATATGACAATCTTTGGCCGAGTGTGTACACGCGTTCAAATTCAAAAATTGATTCAAATTCAAAAATTGATTTTGAAGATATCATTAGAACAAATTACTATGCGCATTAGGAGATATCAATGTCTACATTTCGGGATTAGGAAATTGGGATAAATATTTAGCGATGCGTAAACTTTTATTCCTTCTTAAAAATTGATTATTCGAAAATTTATTTTTTATGTATCCCTTACGGATGATATAGCTTACAATCGGTGGAAGTTTAATGTGGCCATGCTTGTTGTAACATGCGGTTACCTTTTTATCATATGACGTCACAACGTCTGGATCGGGTATATATAACCGGTCGTTTCAGAGAAATGTCAGACAAGTACGACTCCTCGATTTAGAATTTAATGGTCGTCGAGTTAGTAAGTGGACAAGGCGCTTCTTGATTTTAAAATATACCCATGGGGGAAAGAGTCGTATATCGAAGTGAGGTCCGCATATCTACAAGGAGCTTCTTACCGAATTCATGTACTGTGAATCGCTGTTTCGACTTTCAAAAAGAAGGTATTCGAATTGTAAAATGTAGCTGAAGAGTATTGCATAGCATGTATGTCACTAATTATTTGCTGTGAAGTGGGACAACCAAATAGCTGAAACAGTCGATTGCGGTTTGCCTCCTTGTTTGCATCGCATCAGCATTACGAACGATAACTGAACAGTCGATTGTGGGCAATGAGAAGCGCGGTGCAGTTTATGCTTGCTTATGTTGGTTTAAACAGTTATGCAGTTTGCTATGGGAAAAAAAGTTAAAAGTTGTAAACTTTAGTTCTCTGTTTATCTAGGATTTACATATACGTGTGAGGTATTTCTATAACATTACTGGAAAGTTAATTGTCTGTTTTATATCGTAAAAGGCAACAGATCTGCTATAGTAGTACCATCTATTTTGAATCCAGCACATAATATATACACTGCTTCTCGCGTTTCGGGAGGGCTATATGTTTTTCCTATTTTAAACTTGCTTTGTTTCATAATGTCGGAATGTCATATCAAGTAGCTAAAGTTTATATTATCAATAACCTACGTCTGAAGCATACTATTGGGAAACAACCTCATTCGATCGTCTTTATAAAAACATTACCAAGTTACAATTGCACTTACAGCCTTTTCTATTGATACTTGTGTAGTCTCTACTTGTGTTTTATGGCTGAAAACCAAAACATTTTTACCCGAGTAGCTTTAAACAGAAATTCTCAAATCAAATCAAATTTAAGATTAAAACTTTAAAATAAATAGGGGAAATTTTATCATCAAACTGAATGTTAAAATTTTGTTCTTCTTTAGTCTATAGCAGTTTTCTTGAATCTTTATTCATTAGTTAAAACCTTCATCGATTTATCAAATTTATTTGAATTGTCAACAAATAGAAGGATAAAATGGCTTCAACACCAACCATCACCAAATTTCCTCATGTTGCTGCTCTAGATAAAGATAACAAGGTTGAATTTGAAACCCCAATTGAGGGGCAAATCGAAGGTATGTGATTACGCTTTTTCAAAAACTCAGAATTCTTTTACCCAGCATGGGATAAATGAAATAATGATAACACCGGAAGTGAGATTGTAGTCTGCTCATTCGAACAGTAATACAAAGTACTAAACACTAAAACAGTCCTATAGTCATTTTTATCTTCCACACCGTGGTTTACTGAACTGACGAGTTCAATGACCGGAACAACTCATTGCATTACTTATATAACTGTCTAAAATATAACATTAAACAATTAAACTCCAGGTATTCTGTTTCTTTATTATATTTTATCTTTATACATGTCTATTTAGCTGGACAGATTCCTTCCTGGCTTTGCGGAACATGGTATAGGAATGGTCCCGGAATGGTTCATTTTAATGAGCAAAGTGTTGCACATTGGTTTGATGGAATGTCTCTTCCAAGAAAGTAAGTTTTGATTTTATCTGAGGTTGGGCCAAGACTCAATTTTCAAAATTGTATAGAATGCAAAACTTGTGTGAACTCAGAATAACTCAAATAATAATGTTTGATATTACTGATAAATATTACCATTAGTCGTGATACTGCAAAAACGACGTGGTATAACTTCATTATTCAAACAAGTTTTAATTCATTTTTCAATTTGGTCCCATTAGTAGTACAGAGTTGACTCATTTTGAAGTCTTTTGTGTGGTCACTGATGTAACTTTGCGTTGATCCCTCTTGAGACACGTTACGAGTATTTTAGTGGAGGTAAAGCCGCAAATCGAATAATGTAGTGTGACTAATCGAATACGTTCAGTTTCCCACAAAACTTCAAATATAATTTAGGTTTCAGATCAAGAACGGAAAAGTATTTTATCAAAGTCGTTTCATGAAAGGACAAAGTTACACTAAAAACATGGACGCTGGTCGAGTCGTTGTTCCAGAATTCGGAACTAATGTACAAACGAAACTGAGGGCTGGATTTTTGTCAAAGTACGTTATGGCTTGTTTTTATTTTTTCTCAAATGAGCTTAAGTAATTGCATATCGAAATCCAACATAGTAATGCGCGTATGTCAGTTATATTGTATATATCTCAATTTGATTATAACTTCTGAAAATAGCTTAATTGCTCGATATCTGTACGGGGTAATTTAGAAGGTACATGTCAAATGAGTACCAAAACCGTAACCTTGAATTTGAATATACTCTTAAAGCATAATATAACGCACTCCAGTGTATTTATTATTCCCTGATTTTCTGTTTACTTCTTTATGTTTTTATATGGGATAATCACAATGTTCGCCGAACATTTCTAATATAACAAATAATTCGTTTTTTTTAATAAAAATAACAGAGGAGCCAGCTCTTCACTCAGCTATCTTCGTATGATAGAGGAACGGTAAGATTTAAACGTCGGGTTGACTCTGCCCATGATGTCAGTACAATGTCCGCTTTGTTCTATATCTGTTGATTGATTTATTCCCATTTTAAGTTGATAAAAAAAAAATTCACTCATATTTGCAGTGTACTGATTGTTTATGTGTAACTATACTCCGATATATAATTTCTTTTTGTCATTTGTTGCCGTTCACACCCTCTCTATCACAATGAGTGAGCTTTATCTCTTATATATATATACTTGTTTTTCTCTTGGTGTCTTCTCTATCTAAATGAGTGTGCTTTTTTTCTTGTACTTGTTTTTTCCTTGTTGTCTTCTAAAGGTGATGGCATTGCCGACCTTTTATTTTGTTGTTGAAACGGTTTCGTGTAAAAATTTGTTTATCTTATTTAAAGCCTATATTCATTCTGGTTTTACAATGTAACCGGAATAAAAATTATTTTCACTTTAAATGATTTCGATACAGAATATAACAAACATCGAATAACTATTGTTTACTTTCTCAGAGCCGCTTCTATGGTTTCTCTACCTGAGTTCACCGACAATTGCTTGATCAACTATTTATACATTGGAGAACATTTATTTGGAATCAGTGAAACTAATCTCGTCCGTAGAATCGATCCTGATACACTGGAAACCCTGGAAAAGGTAATCTAGAAATGCTAATTCGTGACATGATAAAATCTTTCAGTTGGCCCGGGAACATTTTTACACCAGCGGACGTGCGGAATTAATCCGACACAGGTTGTATAAACACAGTTCGAATCCCATGGGGGATAATTATGTGCGAGAAGATTGTTGGACTACTCGCCGTCATAGGGTGGCTCACGTAACCGCTGTTCGACACACTGCTTCCTCCATCATCAAGTCCACGCATGTGAAGCAAATAACTGGCTAAGTAATCTATACACGACATGGATTAGTAACCGGACGAAAGGCGCACGTTATCTGATTAGACTTTCCTCTCCCTCGGGAACAAATACTAATCCAAATAAACTCAAAACTTTGATCAGCTTCTTTGGCGTTGGATCTATATAAACCGAGTGATGCAATTTGATATATATATATATTAAAGACAAGATGTTGAATGATAATATATTTGCTTATTTTCTTTTGATTATCAGGTTGATTTATCGAAGTACGTACCAATCAACTTGATGTCTTCAAATCCCATAGTCGATAGCGAAGGAACAACCTACAATTTCACGACTTCCCTGTTCAGCATGGGAAGAACTAAATACAATCTAATTAAAATTCCAAAATCAGATCCAGGTATGTCAATGATGTTTGAGAATGCTTTATATTTAAAGAATGGATACAAAAACATAGTTATATCATGCATTTTCAGGTACTCCTTTCGCTGATGCCCTAAGCAAGGCTAAAACAGTTCAAAGCGTCGACTCGGAATGGCGTTTGAGTCCATCCTATCACCACAGTTTTGCTATGTCTGACAAGTATGCAGTATTCACGGAACAACCCTTCAAGCTTTCTGTACCAAAAATTGCGATGGCTCATTGGACTAAAATGAGTTACAGTGATGCACTTGAATATCATACTGAATTAAAGGTAGATTTTTGAAAGGAAGTGTAGCGATTTCATTTCAATGCAATCAAGGATGTATTTCTTTAATCAATAATAACAATATATAATACAAACATGCTGACAAAATTGGGATTTATGACTTAAATGTCATTTGAAAATTAGGTAACCTTTTGATGAACTTGTTTGAAATAATTCAAAATACCTAGATCTAAAAATATTTTGCAATGTAGAGTAAGGTTCCAGGACACGCTCAGTGTGTCGTGTTAGGTCTATTTTATCATAAATATCGCTCAGAAAGAATTTCACGGTTCACTGCATAAAAATTTTATTTAAGAAATGGTTCTATCGTTCGTTCCCTTATTCGTTCATTCGAATATGGGCCATGTATAAAATCTCTATATAAAACTATGTGTAATATATACACAGTTCATTTTCCGGTCAAATCTATTGGACGACAAATTTCTTGACCCGTAATCCCACAGGCGAACTTTATCTGACCGACCGACTGAATTAAATGTTATTTATGTACAACCATCAAGGAATTTATGGAATGTTTTTGTTGGTAAAATCCTTGATTCACGTCTCAAAAACGGATGCAGAAATACTTATAACCAGCTCGACCTTCAGCTTATCTGATGAGAGCTGACATAATTACGCATTCTTCAAACGAATCAGATGTTATTTTTAACAATTTTCGGGATACTATGTTAGGGCTCATTACCTTACCTACCTATTAGCATAAAAAATCAATACAGTATAGTTTTACACAAATTTAAGTATTTCATGTGTATCAGTCAAGACCTCATCCACAAATAACGAGCCCATTTTTCAGCGGGTCACTTTTAATTCAAATAGTTTTTTACAAAATTTAAAGTCTTCAAAAGCAGTCTATTTATAATTTAAATAAGTATTGTTTTAATATATATACAGTAATACCCTTTTTTTTGATACAACGAAACAGGTATCAGAAGAATATAAATAAGTTCTCCCCGGCGTTGGCAGTGGTTTTCGATTATCGTTTTTCTATCAGCTTACCTAAATTCACTAACTAGATATTTTTAATCTATTTCAAAATATGAATATATTTTCAGACTCACTTTCATGTTATCGACAAAGAGACGGGAAATTTGCTTTCAACAAATTATGTCACCGATGCGATGATCGTATACCAGCACATTAATGCTTACGAAGAAGATGATCACCTTATTTTGGACCTTTGCCAGTTTGACAATCCAGTTTTCTTTCACAAATACACCATGAAAAATTTGCAAATGTCTCCCGAAGAATACGTGAAAGAATTTAACAAGGCAGAAAATGTTATCAGAGCTAAACGATTCGTTATACCATTGAATGCATCTAAGGTAAAGCTTTGCATAAATGTATTTTAATTTATAGCAGCTGTTATATGCAAATCGAAATATATACTAAAACTTTTTAAAATCCTCCAGAAATCACCAGAAGATGAAAACTTGATCACGCTCCCAGGAACTACTTGCACCGCATTCAATGTCAAAGGAAACATTGTGCTGACTGGAGAAACAATCACCGAAAACACAGACTATCCGACGATCAATCCCAAATTTATGGGAAAGAAATATAACTACTTTTACTCAACCGGAGGTGCTGTGCTCCCCCCTGGTGAAAAGGTATGTTTGAATATTTAAATAAAAAGAGTTACATATTATAATTGTTGAATTTTACATTTTTTTGGTATGAAATTATGCAATATAATTTTCTTGCAAATTTTCTACAATGTGAAGTATTGGAATTACTAATTTGTTGTCGAATATACTTTAATGAGTGCCTTTGTCTTTTCTTTGTGATAAGATCATGAAAATTGACATTGCTGGAAAGAAAATACTGAAAACCTGGCAAGAAAAAGGATGTTGGGCATCAAGACCAGCTTTTATTCCACGACCAAATGCCACGGACGAAGATGACGGTAAGATATGAAAATAATTATTTAAAAGAAAGATTAACAGGATAATGCAAGTAGGATCTGTATTAATGAACTTAAAACTTTGAGTGTGCGTTTCGCAATGAAAAAACTACGAGCTTAATGCTAGTAAAATTTGCGATTGCCCAAATCTCACTACATACCAAACGTGAGTAGTAGGCTAATGGGCGTACGACAGATTTGTCATTTTTATATCTCAAATTGAAACCGCACCAAGAGTTTTTCTAGAAACCACAAAATTCTATAGTGAATTGTTTCTTACTTTGTACTCTCGCGAGATAGATTATTTATGAATTAAATAGCCATTATAGGACGTTTCCAGTCAAGTATATTTTCAAGTACTCACATACCACACTTTTGAACTTCGTATGAACCTATTTATGGCGTCATTGAGTAGTCAAAAGAGTCCTATTGAATGTTCGTTTTCACCTTTTGGTGAACTTCGATTTCCCAAAACAATCTTCGACGGTCGTGATGGCTGACGGCAAACCGCATTTCAACTATGACTGGGTCGATACGGTTCACCTGACACGAAAATTACCATTTGGGCAAACGTGGGGTATAGCTTATGCGTACATAAGTATGACATTACTTGATAATCTGTAAAGTTAAATATATTTTAATGTCAAGAATACGAACCAAAAACAGTAACATACCTACGTTGGAACGATAAAGTTATCAAATTATTTCAGTTCGTTTGTTGATCGCAGGACTAAAGTTTCACAGATATGCGTAACGGTACAATATTATGCTATTACGTGGGTTATTCATTTAACCATCAGGCTAGAATATGATCGCATCCAAATAATTTATATGCCATGGAAATGTTCAGTTACAGTTAAATGATGTTCGATTAGTTTCACTGTGCTCAATAATTAAGATTTAGATTTTTGCTAATTTGAATTTGATATTTTGCAGGTGTTATCCTCTCATCCGTTCACCGAGAGGGCGGTAATTCATTCCTGCTGATGTTGGATGGACGCACATTTGAAGAAACTAGAATCTCCTTCGACGCCATCATTCCTCCAGATCTCAACGGAGTTTTTGTTCCACAAAAGTAGAAAGAAAGGACTGACGTCGGTACCTACCAACTCGACTAACTACCCTTCTTCTGATTTCCACCACTGTTAACCAATTTTTGAGACTGCGAGCAAAAAAGTTACAGCCCATGAGCCATTGTGAATTCGTATCAATCGAATGTATATTTTAACACTATGTTGTCAACAATTAAGTCATTTTCAGCCCAAAATTTAAAAATTGTAAACTTTTCAAATATTGGCAAATTAAGATAATAAACAAATGTACGGTCGTTAAATTAAAATTATATAAACATATATATATATTTATAACTTAATAAACTGTTATATATCATATTCATGTTTGTCTATCAGTGGTCAGTAAACCAGTAGAATTACAACGGTTAGTTGTAATCTTCAGCCAGACCGATGTCTTGTGCTCATAGACACGTGCGCTTCGAACTAGGGTCCCGTATCGTCATATTCTAGTGACTAGAGTCTAGTCCAGGGATGGCGAACCACTGACACCGCGTTTTTTCGGTGACCCGCCAAGGCGCGAATGAAATGAAAACATACCAACATATGAGTGATAAAAAAGCGGCTCTAATTAAATTTAACAACAAGTAAACTATATAAAATACCGTCAGTTAGGCAGCCAGGCTCGCGAACGCTCAAATTCGAATTTTCAATTTTCGGGTCGGTATGAGAATTTTCAAAACTTCCAATTTTGGACGCTCCCCCTGTATACCGTTATGCACCTATTGGCTGTGACATCGTTTATGATAAAACAATACAATTGATCTGTTCATTTCTTGCAACGTCTTGGCGCAGCGTTCTCTTTCGGAAGTACACGAACCAAAAAGCACTACAGACTGTTTGGGAGGGGCGTATACGAAAACTAGATGCTACTTGCATTTACCTACAATACCGTTGAGAAAACGAAATATTTTAGACTTAAAATAAAGACCTATAAATCTGAAATACCAACGGGGTAGTGTGAAAGCGCCGTAATATGGTTGAAATATGACGTGAAATATATATGTGAACAAGTTCCAAAGACTGACTCTGATGAATCTTCCGTATTAATCTCTAAGGATCCTATTGTCACGGATTTTATTATCCGTGTGTTTTAATTTAGTTTGTCTTTTTGTATTTGCCTATATGCTTTTTGAGGGCCTTTGGTTTGGATATACTTCATCCGGGTCTGGTTGCTGTGGGACTCCGATCACCATCGAGTCGTGAGAAAAAGAGCTTCCCGCCTCTTCGGTCGCCTCGCTGGCGGCCGGACGTGTTTTCCTGTGTTCTCTGTTTTAAGTGTATTAACTGTGAAGTTGCCTCATAATAAACCACAAATCCGGAATCGCGAGTCTTCTAATTCTTTCAACACACAGAATAAAAACCTATCTGTGACACTATGAATGAACATCCTCAATTCCTTGATCATTGCTCCCACCCTTCATAACCAATAAATTACAATACCTACCTCAGTATCAATCCCCAAATCTAATTATATTATACTTAAACTGTTACCAGTAGTATTTAATAATTGATGTAATCTGGACTACAATTTGGCAATATTTTGGCATGTCTTTGGTGAATGAAAAGGTTTAGCCCACCTCTTCGTGCACTAAACTTTGGTTAGGCAATTTGGCACTTGACTCGAATTATAATCAGCTTGGCGAAATCATTTTTTTGTTCTTATATTAAATACTGTTAACTCTTTGTTTTTACAAAATTATTAATATGGTGTGACAAACAATTTTTGTTATTCATTACATTTCTTATTCTAATTTTTTTTGTGTGTTTATTTATTATTTTTTTGGTCACCATATAATTTATCTAAAGCTTCTCTCTTTTTTCTAATTTTATTAATGCCCTATGGTTGTGTGTGTGTGAATGATTTGATTCAGTAGTTTTAGGTGAGTGAACTTCTTTTTGGCAATACCTTCCATCTTATATTCTGTACGTTTCAAACCTTATCCAAGGTTTTGTTTACTTTCCTAATCAGTTTTTATTTATTTGTTTTTATCAACCGTTTTATCACCTTTCTGCTGATTATGGAGTCGAAACAAACTTACCTTAAGCCGATCGAAAGATATCACTTTATCAGAGTGGAATTCCCTCCGAACTCTTTGGCGTGTATAATAATTTGCCGCATCATCTTAAACGATATTGGGTAATTCATATGCGTTTTTTGTACACAATTTCATAAAATCGAGTGCCATAAAGAGTCTAATAGTCCCTGATAAAATTGGTGCATGAATAAAGCCCAAAACTATACAAACCAACTGGAGCTTATAAGATTTACCAGATAAGATGCAGCAGCAAGTTTCTTATAGATACAAACATTGATTAAATATCTGTGACCCACACTCTTCTGCTCCGTGATAAAAATATAATTTTTGACCCATTTATTGAAAAAGGTTCGCCATCCCTGGTCTAGTCTATAATATGAAGGTGCTGACTTATAAAACGCTTCCAGCTAGTCTGTACAAAAACTCGCTCCAAACTAGCCTCTGTAAAACAACAGGTCTGGGTGTTCAGGGTTTGTACAAGCAATTATTAAGAATTGTACGGCGTTCGATGACACATTATCTCCGAACTAAGCAAAAACTCAATATTCCGGCGTTCTTTCAGTCTTAGAAGACGGTTCTGCGGCAGCAAGTACTGAGAGGGGGCGAGAGAGTTCATTGCCAGTGCACTACAAACTAACTTTTGCCGCTTCTACACATTCTAATGGACGACAAAAAAACAAATGTTTATTCATGCGGCCGAAAATTTAAAACTACTATGTCTTGTATGCTGGAAAATGGTGTCAGTTCTACTGCACAAAAAGAAAAGTTTAAAAAATGACTGGTATAGAGGACTTGCACGGGTCACGTGACCTTGTTACTGGACGGCAATAAAACAAAAACGTCCATTTGGCTCCTGTCAGTTGCAAGTCGGATTATACGTTTCCGTTTTGTTTGGCTGTTGAAAATGGTTATTTCGTATTGTTCCGCTGGCTGTACGTATAGTATAGACAACGAAATGGATCTTCAGCTATATTCCACTGTTTTCAAAAGATCCGGAACGTCGCGCAATGTGGATATCATCTATTGGCAGGACTGCTTGGTGTCAAGTCCAGAAGCCATCTTACTTGTGTTTCACTGTTTGCGGACAGCACTTCGTTGATGGTGAGTCATGATGTGCCGTTATCAATTTTTTTAAATATTCATAAGCTCCCTCATTTCAATGGAAAGCAGATGACAAACTACTGTTATTGGTAGGCTTAGGCGTAGGCCTACTTGCAGACTTGACTCGTGTAAGGTATTAATCAATAATTGCCATAAGGTATTGTTTCCCTAGTTAGCAGGTAATCTATTAGTAAGTGTGAAAATTTGAATAGATAACTAAAGTTTAACGCCAGTGCTAATGCAAAAAATTACCAGAATTCAATTTTCTATCTGAGAATACGCTCGCCACCGCATCTCTGATCTCCCTGGGAGTTTCACAGGTTCCAATCCCATGCGGGGATAGTTATGTGCGAGGGGATTGCAGCTCTCCTCCCACTAAGGGTGGTTCACACGACCGCTGGTCGATTACGACATCCCCCACCATCAAGTCCATGCTTCTAAAACAAATAACTGGCTAACTAATCCCGACATAGAATGGTAATCGTACGATGTTGCACCTTGCAATCTGTCCCCAACCACAGATAAATTCTATCCTACAACATTGGTAGGCATAGTTGCGTTTTAAATTGAAAGAAATCTTCATTAATGGTCAGAAGGTGTTGTCTGATTGTTTTGTTAGTTAGCAGGTAATTTATTACTGATCTGATACACAAACTTGGCACTGTCAAATGATGATTAGTGTTTAATTTATTTTCAGGAAAAAGGGAAGATAACCCATTATCAGCTGCTTACATGTCCCATCGATATTTGAATTTTCGCCATCCCCAGAGAAGAAGAGAATAGTTAGAAAAAGGAGGATTTTGAAGAAAGGCAAAAGGCAGGACCATTTCAACAAATTCTGTTAACTTGTATGCGTTGCAATATTAATTCGCAGTTGTTAGCATAAACATTTAATGTGTCTTTCGACTAGACCTACCACACTTTAAAAAAAGCCGCCTACACCCCTTTTCACTAGAACCATAATACTGTAAAATATTTGATAGAAATTACCCCCGAGGCATCATATCTTCCATTTGAAAGGGCTGTGGAGGCAGATACATTTTTTACTCTAAATTATGGAATGTTACTTCCAGGTTATCTTATCCTTGCTTATAGATATCTTGAGGTTAGTGACTCCAACTGACCCATGCATGCCACACTGAAAATTCTCTTGTGTACCCATAAAATAAGGCTGTTGGAGCCTTCAGACCTTGAAAACAGTCGAATCTGAGCACGTAATATGCATTTAGAGGCAAAAATATCCCATCCTGAGCAGCACCGATCCACAACCTCCTGCCTATGGAATCAAAACATTAGACAAATTGGTGTACTGTGCGCATTCACAAATTTTTGCGAATCAAGTGTGCCTTTTGACTAAAGAAAATTTAGCATTGAAATGGTCAATCTCAATATCAACCTAGTATCTGCAGATAAAACCAATTGTTTTTTAAAAATACATTTTTGATGTGCTTTATTTTTCAAATATAATTTATAATTACTGTAAAGTGTGTGATACATTTGGTACCATGAATACTATTTGCAAATTAGCTTGGGTTACACCCCTCTCAAATAAAAGTTTAGACTCTTAAGTCGTATCTCATAATATTCTTTAAACAAAAGGTTGCGGCTAGCCGGCTACCCATCAGAATTTCCTTTCAGATCACAAAGTCGCAATATTACGCCTCGCTTAAGTTTCATTGGCAACTGTATCTGGTTGTAGTATCGGTGTCCAACGTTAGACTGAAACCTTCACGACCAGACCCACCGAAACAATTTTTTTTCTTGATAGGGTCGTCTTGAAGTTGATTTCGTTAAAGCACAATGGACACTTTATCTCCACCAATCCACAGTAATGACAAGTTACTTTGTCATTACGATAAGCATCAATAAATGGATACTGAGGATGTATTATCAAGTCACGCAAGCTGAGGTCTTGTGCCACTGTGGTCTTGTTGCAACTTATACTTTGCCATCCATCTATTCCATGGTCGCACCCATATCTGTAAGATAATGGATACAGATAAGAGTTTTCATAAAATCTAACGATCAAGGAGTGTGAAATTTATGTCCATATCCCACCACAGCCACTAGTCGTAAATGAATTTGATTCCGGGTAGCATATCTTTTTACAATGCAATAAAAAGACATTTTGAATCAGTTGTACAAGCACCATTAGGATAGGATTTATCTGGGGGGAGCCAGTTATTTGTTTTCAGAAGCATGGACTTGGATGGTGGGGAATGGTCGTAACCGATCAGCGGTCATGTGAACCACCCTCGGTGGGAGTGAGCTGCAATCCTCTAGCACATAACTATCCCCGCATGGGATTGAAACCTGTGAAACTACCAGGGTGATCAGAGATGCGGTGGCGAGCGTATTCCTAGATGGCGAATTCAATTGAATTCTGGTTATTTTTTGCATGACCACTGGTGTTAAACTTTAGTTATCTATTCAACCTTTCACACTTAGTAATAGATTACCTGCTAATTAGGGAAACAATACCTTATAGCAATTGATTATTAATTCCTTACTGTCTTACACAAGTCAAGTCTGCAACTGCAAGTAGGCCCACGCCTAGGCCTACTAATAACAGTAGTTGATTATTAGATTAATTCCTTACTGTCTTACACAAGTCAAGTCTGCAACTAGGCCTAGGCCTACTATAACAGTAGTTGATTATTAGATTATTGATTATTAATTCCTTACTGTCTTACACAAGTCAAGTCTGCAAGCTAGGCCCACTGATAACAGTAGTTTGTCATCTGCTTTCCATTGAAATGAGGGAGCTTGTGAATATTTAAAGAAATTGATAACGGCACACTATCACTCACCATCAACGAAGTGCTGTCCGCAAACAGTGAAACACAAGTAAGATGGCTTCTGGACTTGACACCCAGCAGTTCTGCCAATAGGCAATAGATGATATCCACATTGCGCGACGTTCAGGATCTTTTGAAATCAGTGGAATATTACTGAAGATCCATTTCGTTGTCTATACTATACGTACAGCCAACAGAACAACGAAATAACCATTTTCAACAGCCAAACGAAACGCAAACGTATGATCCGACTTGCAACTGACAGGATCCAAATGGACGTTTTTGTTTTATTGCCGTCCAGTAACAATGTCACGTGACCCGTGCAAGTCCTCTATTGTCAATGCAAATGTTCAGCTTGGTCGCAAACATCAGTATGTTGGTATTAATACTTAACAAAAAGGTTGTCGCTAGCAAAGGTCCAGCATTTTTTAATGAAAGGTTGAATCTTGCGACGATTTGTTCATATATAATATATATATATTACGAACAATATAACGACGATAACGCGAGCCGTGAACAATTGCTGTATTATAAATATCCAGGCTTGTCCATGGGACATATATTTCTGCCCCATCCCATCCCATGGTATTCCGATTGAAGTACAATTCAATAAAAATCATTGAATTTAGGTTTAGCGTCTATTAAACAGGACTACATGTACGAAGAGACATGCAAAACAACAAAATTTACAGACTTTGTTAACTTTATATTCATAACTATTATCATTGTCCATCAGCCCCTTCACGAAGTATATTGTTCATGCTGCATATAGTTTATTCTTCATAACTAACAAGAGAGCTATGCTCAAATATATGGACACAAAGTCCATAACGAAATGTTTTACCATCGTTTCCCCGAAAATTATACGGTTTTCGTGTCCCATGGGAAATACAAATGTGTGCGGTCTCATCCCATGGGACGTTTGATTCCCATGACGAGCCTGTAAATATCCGAAGGCAGACAAAAGATGTCGCATGTTTAAAAAGTGTCACGAAAACTGCATATTCTCTATAATGAAACCTATTACTGCATTACTAATACAAGAGTAACAAATTTAACACCCAAAGTAATATATATTTCGACAAAAAGACAACAACAAGCAAGCACCATTCAAACGTTTAAAACATAAAAAGACAGTTTAATCTCACAAAGACATATATATTATCGCCTCTTTTAAAAGAAATTAAAGTGCATTATTATTGCTGTGTAGTATCAATAAAGGACTGGTCTCGTTCTCACAGTTGACGGTATGAGAAGATTCCTTCAAATCCAGGTGTTCGGGCGGGGACCGAGTTTGTGTTACCTGTGCCTCACTCATCGGTACAACACTGTGCAAAGGGCTAACAACTTTTGCTCCATTGAGCTCTTCGCATGGGCTGCCACCATTGACTGCAGTCGATTTGGGACTATCAGATGCTTTATCAGATAAAGGTTCATCAGTAAATTCTTTGGATTCGTATCCAGGTTGCAAGCGTAGATATTCTTTAAATGCGTCATCATAAGCAATTCGATCACTTCCGCCTAAAGACTGGAACTCGAGAGACAGCGAACTACCTGTATATTCAGAACGAAGTAAGTAAAATAATTAGCATTGTTGCGTTGCATATAGCTTTAACTCATGGAAGAATTGAATAAAGCCGTTTAGAAAAAAAAAAAAAAATCGAAGCGTCAAGACTCAATGCCAACACGAATATCATACAAACACAGGTTGGACTGGACTACGTTTAGACAAGACTATAGTATGTATGTTACTAGATACATACAGTATGTTCTAGCACACATGTAGCACAACACTGAATATACAAATACAGTGCAAGACTAACTGACTATTGTTTTTTTCAAAAGCAAGACAATATGAAAGGCTTGGACCCTACACAAATACATTGCTAGTGGTTGAAGCAAAATTAATCTTATAGCGATAAAAGCATGTTCAATATTTATATATGTATAAATATTGAAGATTTTTGAGATATTGCATCTGAAATTCAATGAAAATCTGCAGCAATATCACTAGATCTTTCACCACAGTGTCTAATAAGTTAAAGTTGGTAAAACATGAGTTTATATTTATGCTTCTATAAATTGATTTAAAATTCAGCTGTCATTCAGACTTTGGAGTTTTAATTTAGTAGCAGCAATACTAAGATGAATCACAATAGACTACACATTTGCTACGGCTTTTAGTTGATGATAAAATAGCGGTGTTAAAGTGTCACACACCTAAATAATACTGCATAGTGCACACACACCAAAATAATCATCCATCTTCTTAAGACTAAGGAAACATCTTTTACTGACGAATCTATATTCATACACGAATTTGGTTTATCAAAAAAATCAGAATGAAACATTTTAATTCTAAGAAGCCATGATGGAAAGATTAAACAGAGAGCACCTTCTACAATGAATCTATGAACTGCTGAAAAATCAAGGTGTGATAAGCTGTGGATTTTATTTTTAATTGTGGTGAATGAAGCACTCGAATATAAGCACAATATTGTAATCATAATCTGGAAAGAGTGATTTATTGAATCAGACAATTTTATGAGGAAACGGTAGCACATATTTGTAACTACTCTTGGATCTTGGTGTTAAACTGTACAATGATGTTGAGAGTGAAAGGTCAGAGGCCGCTAGTATATCATATAATTTCATACCATAATATAGACTCAGTCTTTAACATCACACCAGCAAAGCAGCAAATTCCATTAAATAATTCAGAGTACGGGCGTATTCTATATCGAGCGTGGAACATCGATGAAATTCCTATTTTAGCTGCACCTTGGGTGCATTTATGTGAAAAGGGATTAAAGGATTAGAATTCTGGAATGAAAATGGCACCAAATGCTTCTATAGAAAGTTCAATAAAGGCGAGTTAAGTTGAAAAAGTAACATCAATTGCCACATTACCGATAAAAATTGAAGAGTCCTGCTATTTTTCACTGCTCGTAGGCGAAGAACTTGACTTAGAGTCTGAAAGATAACTGTTTTCATTTCACAGAATTTTCGAAAAGTAATATAAAATTTAGATCTCTAGCGGCAAATCAATCTGGAACTCCAGTTTAAACATGACAAGAATGATATTTATTCTTGTTAGTGAATACAATGTTTTTAAATCATAAAGTTAGTTTCACTTGTTTTTTCGGGACTGTTTGAAATCACCCAGTGGAAATATGTGTCAATGCTATTTTTATACTTCACACTGGCATTAATGGATATTATTTATTTGTAGATGATAGGCTTATTAGACAAAAAATGTGATTAGTACGAGATAGAGACAATCAAAGGAAGGATATTTGTTTATTTCATAGCACAGGTCTTTTAGATACCTAACAAGAGACTTTGCAAAGTTTTGCGTTGAGTATGAATGTAGACTAGAAACCATTTACTTCATCTTTATAATTATTTATACCAAACTGATCTTATAATCCTGATCAAGAATTTGTAGCAGAAAGAAATTGATAACAGATAACTTTATAACAAATAAAGAAATTCACTATTCATTATTACTCAATGACAGAATGGATTTTTATCACCGATATAAACAATGCATACATTTGCATGATAGAAATCAATTCAACTAATTCGTGTTAACAAGATCAGAAGTTGAGATCTCACGCAAGGAATGGAATACATGATCAGCCATGCCATTAATTTTGCTAGCAGACCAAGCGCACACCGACTGCAGTAAAGCCAAGCAATGTAAAACAAGTATAGCAGAATGTATCATGCATAGCAGAGTAAATATACAGCAGTCGTACACCGTCTTTTAAGTTTCAAGAGAATAAAACTTTACCTTTATCTTCTTCATAGAGAGTGAAATTTTGCTGAACAGGTGTACAATTCTTCAAACAAAAAAAATGTATATAAAACATTAAGAAAATGTCTCCGCAGTCCGCTCTTTGGCTGATGAAATATACTTTTGTAATATTAAAGTACAGGACTTTTGACTCACTGACGCGGCACACTGACAATAGATCGCTAAGATTGGGTTTTTGTTCATACATGAGGCACATTGAACCATGAGACGAAATGGGGAGTTTTAAGAAGTTAAGGCCACGATTTCTATATAATAAAACCAGAACCGGTACTGGTTTTGAGCGTAGGCAATAAAGCATTACTGATCTATACATTAGGTGCACAATCTTTTAAAAAAAAAATAGGATTTAAAGTACGCCTTATGGCCCGTAAAATATGGAACTTGTTTTTTCATCTGATGGAAGATGCAACAATAATTAGAAATGAACAATTCCCAGTCTTGAGTGGCTGTCATGGTTACCATTTCACAGGGATTTTTCACAACTAAGAATTTTTATTCGAAACTTGGCGGAAATCGAACACCATATAAATGCTATATTTCGACCAATAAAAAGATAAAAAATTTACAAGTGTTGATGGTAAGCCAGGTAGTGAGTACACAAAGTTGAACATCACAATAAAAATGGTGTAAATTACTTCATTAACTCCAGTCGATCTCATTATTAAAATCCATTGTTTGATCAGACACCAATCACCAAAAGGAGCAAATAATTCCTTCTTCAAATCATCAAGTTCACAAGCAGCCAGCACAGATCCATTGATATTGTTAAGATTCACAAAATTTATGTATTTTTCCACATTTTCAGGGGCCAAACCTATATAAGTAAAAAAAATAATAATAGTTATCGTCAATACATAAACATCTTTGCTTCATATGAAAAACATATAAAGAATTCATTCTCTATAACCATACAACTTGGAAAACAAAACTGAATTTGGAAAGAACAATATTCTACCGAATAGCTCAAGAATAAAAAAACGATTAAATACATCTGTAATAACTCAGGGCACACAGTGGAAACTGGTGTAGAAAAACTCGTGCGTCGCATCACTATGAGTTTAGTTAAAAAACTCAATACACTAATGCATTACACTCAAAATGAGATGGAGAACTCAAAATATGAAGGCATAACACTCGTGTTTCATAACGGAGGAGAAATTTTGTTATTCCTGGGGATGTATTTTGATTTGTATATGTTGTAGTGTTACTGCAATACTTAAATATCATAAACTAATTAAAACTGTACAACAGTGGGATACTGGGAGTGCGACTTGCGCATAACACTAGATAAGGGTCCAATAAAATTGGATTAAGAACTAAGAAGCTCCAAAAGAGACAAAGGGAGGTATCAACGAAAAGGTTTGGACCACCATGTCAAATATTACACTCTGGTGATTTTATGATATCTCTTGGGTGTACATATAAGAGAGTAATAAAAAACAGGCAAGCGATAAAAGTACGAACCTTTTATCTCGTATAATTTATTGGCAACATCTTCTGTTGACAACTCCCCCAACTGTACGGATGGCAGTGGCTGATAAGTAGGAGACGCAATACTTGGTTGACGTGATGCTACCGTTCCAAGTGGCAAGCTCTGAAATAAAATGAATAATATCTGAATTTGTTTTCCACTAAAACAGGAATAGGTATTCAACTCACTTGAATAGCATCTTACGTCTCAACATATGACAAAGGTACAATAGATATGATTAGAATGTTATTAATACTTTCTAAAAACATGAGCAAACTTGGGTGCTCCAGAAGTATGTGTACCAATATGGAGAAAACTAATTTCGTTCGCCTACTTTACATCAAGCTGTGTACAGGAACTGATTACTATAGGCAGCAGGTGTATTCACTTGGCTAACACAGACAGTCCCCAAACTCGTATTAGAACTAAAATAAGGAAAATAGGAATAAAATTATGGCCTAACGCTAACATGGTGCACATACTACGGGAGTACCCCAAACAGAGCTACGACCTATCGGGACCACAAAAATATCAAGAGTTACTGAGACTATGAAGAATTAGTTGAGAATTGCAAGTTAAAAAATATTATTCAACGCAACACTTTCATGTCAATACAATCATGAAAACATCTATGAGTGAATTTTACGTAACTGAACTTCTTGGAAAAAAAATTGCGCAGAAAATTTTTATGACTGGTAGATTACATTGACAGCAAACAAATGAGAGCTCACAGCCAAATGAGTTTGATGACTGAAAACTTTTTAAAGAGGGACAAGTTACGAAAGTTCAGAAGAACATACAATATATACTTTGTATCATTACCTGTGTTTCAGCTTTTTGCATGTCACTACTGACTGAAGGATATCTTCTATAATTTGCGGAATCTGTAATTTGAAAGTTAACACAAAATTGTAATTGTGTAAAAGAACATCTGAATCTTAATTTAAATGGTAGGCCTATATATGAAGTTCACTTCTCAAGATAAAATTATATATACAATAGCTATAATTATTTGCTGCCTATAAAGTATGGGAAACTATTGTCATATGACATATAGGTAAATTTAGTTACCAAAACAAAACATAAAAGATGAATTTTGAAATTCCCCAAAATTTTTTTTGAATACATTACAAATATGTGCTCTTTAAGCTGGTTTTAATCATAGTTTGAAGCACAATGAAAAGTTACATGTCAAAAAAATATTTTTACTCGATTTTTAAAAAACAGCTTTTTCAGTGTTGCCCTTTTTTGGGTTAAAGCCCCAAACTGTATACGAACATATGTTAAGATATACATATAGTCAAGAACTCACAATTAAAAGAATTTGGGGTCCCCAGTTGTTTGTAAGGATCCTGTTCAATTGATTCAAGCAATTTTGGATCAAGATTGATGGTGGATGGTAAAAAATCTCTGACGTCTCGAACAGTCAGTAATCTTGCAGATAAAAAAGCACGAAAAGAGCGACCATCAGACGAATCAATTGTTAGCATTGAGTCACTCGGATTCAAGTCTTGTTGGTTCCTGGAAATGAATATCATGATAAAAAACCTATATTATATGTGGGCAATTCGTGACCCCTCAATAATCAGGAATTGTACAATTATTTAATCTCGATAATCGTCAAAATGCACACTATTACTCAAAATTTTATAATGTTTTACGATGTGCTCTTGAATTACAAACTATTCGCCTTTTATCTAACTTGTTTATGCGACAGTGATGTCCACGATCGCATAGACTAATGATGTAAGCGAGTGAAAACAAAACTGGACTTGTTTGTGTGAATTTGTGCAGATTTCAGGGATATTGATCAATCAATTTGAAATATTTGTTACTTTGAAGTAATATTTGTATTCATATTTCATATGTTTAAAATTATTTAGTAAATTACAGTATGTTTCATCGAATGTAACACAATTTAACATCAAAATGACAATGATCGCTAGTCTAATGACTAGTCTAAACCTATAAAGTTCTCCAATGCAAAGGGGAATATTATTCAAATGCTTGTTAATTTTTTAAGGTATGTTAGAGCAGTTCTTCTCAAACTTTCTCGATCTGTGACTCCCTTTCAGAGACTCTCAACACTCTGTGGCCCCATGCTTTTCAATAAAAAAAATTTATTTTGTTTCGAAAAAGTCCCCCCTCCCTAATTGGGACGAGGAACCAGCTTGAGAAGAGCTCAAATAATAACTAAACATACTTGTCGAATACATTTCTTAACAACTCTGCACCAGGCAAAAGGGTTTCTGATTTTTCCAAAGTGTGAATCAGGAATGAGGTTCGATAAGGCCATTGTTCTGTCAAATTGATCCAAGCTGCAAGTTTTCCCCATGAAAAATCAACGCCATCTGCTCTAAGTAATCGACCTTAACAAAAATAGAAAACGAAATAGCGGTGAATCAACAGATAAGACCAATGATTTAACGTTTCAGTGAATTTCATAAGGAAATTGTGATTGTTCCTTCCCTCTTGACAACGATGGAAGATAAAATGCAAACATTTCTGATACATGTAGCCTACACATTCATTCTGATTCAAATAGTTTATCGTGACGGAAGCGTGCAAGACTGGTAATCAACAAGCTTAAAGCAAAGTGAGTTCATGACCCCTCGGAGATCTGTAAAATCAGCACTGAACTCACATAATAATGAAGGTTAATCAAGAAAGATGCTTCATCACACCATATACCTGGGGACTTGGTACCTTCACTCACAGCACTGGGACAACGTTCAATAACCTTGTGGTCTTCTCATTGGTTCCAAAGTAGGTGGTGTGAATAATGTAATGAATGACATATGACTTCATATATCATTCATATATTAATATCATGCTTGATAGGAAAATACAGTCTTTTTATAGAATTGTGATAAATATTTCATCGGAAAATTGTAGTGAAATTCGTCATTTGCAGTGAGGGATTCGCAGATGATAAATTTTTTATACAACACATTTGTATGCCTTTCTCTCAAATATGTTAAGAGCTAATTTCATTTGGAAAGTTCGAAATTTCGCCGGTTCGCCATCTCATACCCAATTTTCTACAACATGAGTGAGGTAGTGGACATGTGATTTGAACCCGAGACTACAATTAATCAGCGATTTCACCATAGCACACTAAATAGAGGTATTCATGAATTACCTGTCAATGAGACAATATTTAATATTCTTTTCATCAACTGAGGACTGACACTATTGAACCAATCTTCACTGAACATTAATTTTCCGAGATCGAGAGACTTCGCACTACGACGTACTCCATTCACTCTAAAAATCAAAGGTGAATCAATTAAAATGAGCAGTAAACAATAAAAGAAGTACTTTTTTAGGGCAAATAAGCGGCATATTAGAAGCACAGCTCATATTCTTTGAGAACATTTGTAATAATTGGAAATGAAATAAGTCAATTCAGTTGTGTACAACCATTATCATTTATAACACACTTTATTTTTGGCAATAACTTTTACACTGGGCTGTGCTTATCAAACATATGATAAGGACTAAAATTACCTAACCATTCAACTGCACTTTCTGAAATTCATGATATTTTTATATGCATTAAGACGACAATGAATACTACCATAATAATGGCTTCTAGATAACTTATACGACATACTGAAAAGCAGTTCACTCAGAACAAGACTCTACACAATTCGCCACTGCTAGGTAAAAAGCTACCACAGTTGGTAGAACTGGAATCAATTCGTTTTGGAATTTATGAGAATTATAATATATTCAATCAAACTCAATATTAAAAATAATCAAATAGTCCATACATACTCAAGCGCCTTTACATACCTTCTACCTGGGAAAGAATTAGTTCTTGTGGTTGTTGATATTTTCTTTGTATTATCTAAAACAACTCCATTAGTTTCAGGCTCTGTTTCATCATCTGAAGTCTTGTCCTCGCGATCAGTTGCATTCCTACGTTTTATATAAAGCATGACAACAAGTTTTATACAATAAAGTAAATATAGTTTTATAAAGGCTTCAATGATGGCCGATATTTTCAATTACCTATATCAGTTAGAACAGTGATTCTTCAATTGGGCCCAAAAGGGCGAAAGAAATACAATACGGGGAAAAATAGAAAGAGCGATGGCACATTCTCAAAAAAATCAGAATTACCATGAAACTTGGATGGGGTTTATTCAAACATAAGGTGCAATGGTATAGGCATAGCATAGGTATAGGCAATGAAGCACTACCTGATCCACCGGTTTATAAAGCACACGATGGATCAATAAAAAAATTTTTTTTAATTGCGCCCTATAGTCTGTAAAATACATTACTTGTTTAGTTGATATGTGTAATAAATCAGCCTCTATATTTTTCGGTTTTACCATTTGGGTGATAAACATGTATACTTAGAGTGAATAGTACAGTATATAAAGCTTGAGAACCACCGAGATATATTCCTTTTTTCATTAAAATAATAGTATTTGAAATTCTATTCAAACAAAAAAGGTTGTATAACTTGTATTCATAATGCAATTTTCACAAATCAGGCAATAATTTATTACTAGTATTCACTGAAAATTTCTGGTTAGTGCAACAAAGGATCAGTGGACGACATGTTTCTGTATTATTAATAAGTAAACCAACAATTAATTAAAAAAATATCATTACAAACCTCTTGTACTGCGTATTTTTTGTCCGGTCTTTCAGATAAAAAGGCAGATGTACAATATTTTTCAGGTAATCGTATCCACTGATATTTGCATCACGGAATACACTGTCATTAAAAAAGATAGGGAAATTAATTAATACAGAATTCAATTGTTCAATAATTAATTACAATTAGACAAACAATACACATACCTGTTTAAATTTCCATGTATAGCCTTCGAAATGATAACCGGATCTATCGCAAGTATTGTAACGTAAGGACGTTGTGAAAATAAAACATGAACGGTGTCCAATACCTTAACATTATATAAAAACAAAGTTATATGTAGTTGCATAGACTTGTTAAATTACGAGAAGTCAAGCACCATTTGAACAGATATAACATCTAAATAGAACAGAAATATGAAGAAACCGAGGATGGCCAAAGTCAAATAATTTAGTATTTTGAATGCATTCTAAAATAATCTTATCGAATATGTAATATCTTTCCTCTCCCCAGTGATAAAAAATGTAAATCCATCTGGAATCAAGTATATTCAATTTTCCAGATATAATATGTCTTGCAACTAGCTGTACAAAATCCACATTATTTTACAAAATAATTTGCATATTATTGAAATAGATAATGAGTAGTTTGATGGTTTTGCCCTCAGAGTCACCATAATTTTACTTTTTGGCCAATTGCAATAAACGAGAATATCGGTCAGAGACCAAAAACTTATCGATCGAAAGTTAGGGGATCCCCAAAACAGCGCTCTTACTCCATAGTGACACCTTGTGTCCCATCACTTATCACTAATTAATTAATAACTCTCTAATTATACGACATAATTCATCCAAAATCAATAGGCTTTTGGTACGACATATGATGAATGCACATGCAAAATCTGGAGCAGATTCAATCTCGCTTTCGTGAGATATCGCGTGCATCTAACAGACAGACAGACAAACAGACAAATACCTATCAACATACTTACCGATTAAAATCGACAAGTAACAATTACACATCCCAGTTTAATAACATAATGATCGTTAGATCATGTTTACCTGTAAGACTTTGTCTTGTTCACAAGAGTCGAGGCCATTTATTGTCACACACATTCTTGTTTGCGTATCTGTAAATGCATCGATCGCAATAACCGTTCGACACAATAAATCGACTTCGTGTTTTAATTGTTGCATTAATCTTTCTTGTGACTTTGTGTGATGAGCAGCAGACAAAACTCTTTTCCGTTGTGACCAAATCAGAGCACCGCACATAGCTACGATAGTAGGCGCAGCCAAAAACAAAATGAAAATATCCAATGCACCTATAGCAAGCATTGTTCCATCAACTGCTGACAAATAATTTTGCGTTGAATTCGCGGACTTGATAAGGGTAGGTTCAGGGCCATAAGCAGATGTTATCATCAGAATAATTGTACCAACAGAAATTAGCAAGAAAGCGCCCAAAACAAACGTTGGTATACAACAAAATTTTTTGTATTTAGGTACCGGATGCCGTTCTTGCATTTCATCTCTGAACGCTCTGTTAAAATGAAATAGATCAAAATTAAAGAAAAAATAATTTCAAAGTGAAAGTATCTATAAATAAAAAATTCAATTTTTGAAAAGACTACAGTACCTGTATTTCTAAATATTAGAACATTTTGGATTAGGAGTGTAACAGATGAAATAATGTATGAAAATATTTTATACTGGAAGATTACTATAATAGCTCAGTCTTATTCAAAGCAAAATGTGTATAAACAAATACATCATATAACAAAGAGATGTGAAAATTATAAAAAGCATTTTCAAATACTCAATTAGTAAACCATCACTGCATTCAGGCCATAATTGTAAAATCAAAGCTGTTTAACTCATGTATAGATATTAAGTATTTGTTCATTTTAATGTTACATTCATTACATTACCTGTACAAACGAACAGCAAGAAATCCTAAATTTTTTTCTGCCAGACAACTAAGCAAACCGATCATTTCAGCCAGAGAAGTTTCACCACCAACTGAAGTTAAACGACTATAGTTTGTGAATAAAAATCTGAAATAAATCATTGTTTTATTCTTCAAATTTTGACAGTTTTGAGTGAACAGCAGCCAAGATGACAACGTAGTATATTAGAGCCATATTTCAGAGATAAAATACCAATTTCAAATTACCACTTGAAAAATCATCCTCTCCACTTACCTCACTGGAATTGCCTTTCCATCATCAGTTTGTTTGGTAGAGGGTGGATCCATAAACCATAATTTAAATAGCAATGTTATATATGAATATTGTTTATGTAAAACTAACCAAAATGATTTGGCCCATTTCCATTTACCAACAACAACTCCAATAACGACTATACCTGGGAATAGAAACAATTAAAATGGTTAAATTCAACACAAAGCAAAGGATGCGAGACTAACTATTCACAACACAGAGGGTGTGGGTGTGACATCCTGGCGGTGAAAGCGTTACGACTAACTCAAATGGGTTAGCATTCCGGGTTGCATCCCAGGCCCACCACCTCACCCATAATGTAATAAATTGGACAGACGAATGCCGGAAGAGAAAGCGTCCTGTCCTTCCTAATAACAGTAGCTCCTTACATATCGAGAGTTATGAGTGGATCCTTGTAAAGAGCATTGTTTAGAGCAGAAGTCAGAAATAGGTATTAAATAAGAAAAGAGAAAAAAAATTCCATTTAACAATTCGATATGAGGGAGGCTAAAATAAAAATAAACAATACTCACAAATAAGTGAACAGTATATCAGAAATATAGAAAATCCAGTGATCAATTCCCGAAACAACTCTCGTAGAATCGTCAGCCGTTAGCGTTGCTGCCAGAAACCCAAAGAACAGTGATACGAACAGAACAACAATGAAGGATATGATACTTGGTTTTTCAAATAATTTCAGTTTGTTAGCACTAGTGAATGCAGTCATCTGCCCTGCGTTAAAGAAAAATATCATAATTTTATTTTCTACTTTATAAATTTTGCTTCACAAATACGTCGGTTCATAGTATTACGGTAAGATAAAACTTTGTCATGTGTACTGTTGTATAATTTGTTGATTCAATTAAATATGAAATTAATTGCTCAATTAATTATGAATAAATTAAGTCAAATTATTAATAAGATAGAATTTCCATGAGAGAAGGATGAGAAAAGTCGAAAAGACGACTTAATCATATTACGTACTAGTCGTATAGGACAGTTACCAGTCAGTGTCAGGTTTAGAATTAGTTAGCCAGTTATTTGTTCCAGATGTACGGTCTTGATGGTGGAGATGATGGAACTGACCAGCGGTTATGTGAACCCCCTACGACGATGAGGAGCCCAGCAATCCTCACGCACGTAATTATTCCCCCACAGGATTCGAACCTGCGAACCCATGCGTGAGTGTAAACAGAGGTTTGATGGCAAGAGTTTTCTTAATATCGGATGGAATAATGAAACCTGAACTTTATAATTAACACTTTATTAACTAACTCTCTTGTATACTAAATAGCCTGGTAATCAGTTGTTTGGTGAAACAAATAAAACAATCTGGGAAATACAACAAGCAACAATTATTCACTTTCAAGTCTCTTCAATAAAAAAGATTTTCCGCTTCCCCATTTAGCATACAATCCAACTGTTATTGGTGGAATCAATGTGGGTTCACATAGAATATCCGCCAAAGCACTGCTGTATAGATCATAGCTTTGAGGAATTCCTTGTCCACTAATGTGTTGCATTGTACTTTCAGGAGACATGTTTTCTAGAAGAAGAATGTATAGGAATCTTTACAAAATACATACATATTATATACAATGCTGAAAAAAACTTGAGCGAAATAAACAATTTAAGTTTAATCCTTCAGTAGCCAGCAGATATCATCCATAATATTGCCCAAAGATGGATTTCCAATAAGATGTACCAATATCATATCATTAAGCTAATTTTATTATCAGCTTTGGGTCGCGATGCATAGGTTGGAGAGAGCGAAGTGGACCGAGCTATGGAAGAAATTCAAGTGGGCTTTGATGGTGGCTCTGCAGTCTTCTTGGAATTATGATAAAAATGGCAGTGGTTGTAAAATGAACATTGAGACGGAAGAAAAAGGTGAGAAATCAATAGTAATACACACATTACCATTATTCATATCATGAATAAAATAACTTACTTGCTCCGAAAACACTCGCAAGTATGCTCTTATTATGGGCAGCATCCAAATTGTATGGCGTTTCTCCTGATTTGTTTGGTTGATAAAGCAACCGACCATCTTGTGGATTACGCAATAGTAGTTTAACAAGACGAAGACTGCGGGCACGAATCGCGATGTGCAAAGGGGTGTCGTTTTTCTGAAAATAGCATAACAAAAGATTTATTTGGATGGCCAACTGCGATTCTGCATCATAAAAAGTTTAATATTCGAAATCTAATTCGAAAGAGTCTTGAATTCCAAATTTTACAACTACCGTGATTTTACTATGCCAAAAATTTTAGTATGTATCATGATTTGCTAAATATCGTTATCACGAGATCACATAATGAGAGAGGCAAAAAAGCCTGACCACAGCTTAATCTTGGTAAAAAGTCACTCGCCTGTTTAAAAAAGGAAAATACGACTAATGAATATACATCGCCGAATTACTGGCAATGCTATTACAGAAGAAACAAATCTAAATGCTTTCAAAATCAATTTAAAATCCATATATCATTTCTATACCTACCTTATCAGTGGCCGAAACTCTCGCACCCTTGTCTAAAAGCATTCTGGTTATCGGAACATTTTTATTTTTGACAGCACGGAGCAAAGGCAGTGTCTCCATCATCAGTTACAGCCTCTGTGTCAGCATTACAAGCTAAAAATTTCTCGAGTGATTGCAACGTGCCCAAGCTCACAGGAATAATGAAGAGCAGTCATATTATTCTAGAATGAACGAGAGGTAAAATTAGTAAATAAAAGTATCTATATTTTGTAAACAAGAGAACAATCCTTAAATATATGGACTCAAAAGCCAAAACGAAGTAGTACGAGTATCAAATCTCTCCCAGTACCAGTTTTGGGACTGACAACCATATCAAAGATCGCAAACATGAAGGCGGAACAGCAACAAATTGCACAATTTTAAATTTTGATGATGCCATCACTCAAAACAAACAAATCATATGTATAGAACCCACAGAAATTTTTGAAAGTAATAGCCTTCTAACGTCAACGGGAAAGTTTCAAATTAATTGAACTAATAATTTGAGAGGAAAGCAATTTTTCGTATCAACAAGAAAAGTAATAACAACAACAGCATAATAAAAAAACGTTCTATAGGTCCACTTTGTGTCCAATAAAAAAAATCAAAACCAATAATTACTATTAATGAAATATCTGCAACATTTTATTTGCCATGATAATGTGAGCAAAATCTTTTTCTGATTTTATTTTATTAACTTAGGGTCAGGACTAAAAAGATTTATCTGTAAAGGACTCTACGCAGAGTTTTCCGGAAAGTCGCCCAGTCTTTAGTCCCCCATTAGCGCTTATTTGAGGGGAGTGTATCTGTATAGTGCTGAGATTTAACCCTTTACAACCCTATATCAGCCACATAGTACACTGAAATTGCCATTTCACAATAAAAAAATTACTGGCAAAATCTCTCTTTGTTTCCTACTGGAAAACCTTGGTAACAATCAAAGTTGGTCGAAAGAATATCATACCTTTCCTTTTATGTCAACATCTGCAAATCGACTCAGCAGTGCCCTAACGGCATCGAGATGTCCGTGTTTCACTGCTTTTATCAAAGGAGTATCACCGTTCTTGTCAGCAAGGTTAAGATAAGCACCCGTATTCAGAAGCATCAAGATGACCTCATATTTTCCTGTTTAGACAAAAAGTAAACCACTATTAGTGAACATAAATTTTTTGATTTGTTGAGTGAAAACTATTCTAATTATCACCTATTAGAGAAAAAGGTGTCGAAATTTCCATGTATTGTTCATATCAATCAAATCTTAATTCAGTGAAATTCTCTATCACTAAGGCTCTGGACATTGTGGACAAGTGGGTGAAAATACCTAAAAACTACAGTGAAGAACAAATTATTGAATTACCAAGTTTTGCCGCATAGTTTAATGCTGAGTTTGTATTTTTATCCGTATGATTAACGTTAACGCTGCTTTGGTTCAAAATCAACTTCACACAACTTTCATGTCCATTCTGTATTGCTGCTATCAGTGCGTTTGCTCCATTTGCACCGACAGCATCCACATCAACCCGATATTCAAGCAAAATAGTGACAACTTCGGAAAATCCTCTACGACAAGCCCAAAATAATGGGGTGCTGCCAAACTGAGTAAATAAAATAGAATACGTATATTAAAGTAGATAGACATTGATGACATCTAGGGATTGGTTTTTTCGAATACCTGATCCTTTTTCTGCGTATGGGATCTTAAATACTTCCAAGTTATTCAATTGTATGTGCCTTTTTTATTGTGATGGGCCCTCAAGGCACATAAAATACTGAAAACATAGATCACTCAGACAATTTGTGAATGTTCACACACAAAAAGAAACATGTTTTATCAATACCTCATTAAAATGAAAAGAGTCGCATGTACAAATTGCATTGTAAAAATATTTCTTCAATAAAAAAATTGAGGAATTCATCTCTACCTTTGGTAGCCAAATAAAAAGCAAGCTAGCGGCAAAGTTCAAAATTTTTAAAACAATTAAAACTCTATTTATTTTACAATGGAGCTAGATATCCACAGCCATTGAGGATTTTTGATATGGCCACGTCCACCACCATGAAACATCAGCCCAAATGAAGTTTCATGAAAGCGCGACTCAATACTATGATACAAGAGTTTTGAATCAAAAGTTTATTTTTAATTAATTTCTTAAATTAATAATAGATATTAAATTTTACAAAGCTAAAAGGGATAGGTTTTGCTATTTGTAAGAAATATTGGAAAACTATAAATGTGAAAAAATAATTAGATGTTTAGGAGCTGGAGTCACTATAATTTCTGGTAGCTCCAGCTCCATCAGTTATAGTAAGCTTTGCTCTGGTTTCCCAGCGCTGAATGTTGGGCATCAAAAGCAGTAAAAAATACCTTATCAGTTGAATTGACTTTAGCTCCCTTTTCTAGCAACAATTTGACAATTCTTGCATGCCCACGACCTGCCGCCCACATGAGTGGTGTCATGTTGTACTGGAAAAAACAATATAGCCTATTTCATTTGTTGAGATAAATATGCACAACCATATATTTACAAGCTGGTTTGACAAAGAAATAGCCAAACAATCTAAAATGTATGGACATGGATGGTAGAGGATGATACTAGAAAGCAGTCTGAAAAGTTTAGCAATTCTTCATATTAATCCTACAAACAACCTTCTTCAAGTATGTTCATCAGCATCATGATGGCAAGTATGTCCCTAATGATTAGTCACATAAGCCAAAACAAAATATAATAATGAAACCAATGGAAATACCACTATACCTCTAGATTTGGTAACAGATCACATGCCTTGGCCAAGAAATAGCAAATTTTAGATTATCATTGGATCTGTCATTGAAAATTAATTGCAAAATTCAAAACAAGGTACTTATTTTCTATCATGAAAATTCAAATTTAGAAGGTCTGGAAAAATAGGGAATCATGTTGCACATTATCTTGAAATATATAACAATCAGCAGAAAACCATTTTTATTGCATAAATTGACTTAGAGGGCCTGAAAAAAGCATTTCCCATTCATAAAATATTTATAACGTTAGTGGAAGACAGGTCGGAATTCATTCGAGTTTATACGAGTAAGCTACATAAAATATTTATTAATGTAAGTTGCCTGAAGGAATGAAAACGCATTAAATTAACTTTTTAAACATACCAATAAACATTTAGAAACACATGGAAATAAATTTAGAAATCTAAACTATCAAATTATGTTCTTCTTATTTCATGTTAGATGGTTTCATTTGAAAAGCGTACAAATATCTTTCATTGAGTGCACATGTATCAATCACTAATATGTTTCTTCATGAAGCAAATGTCTAATTCAGTACCAACACCCTTGTATCTCTATCTTCTTAGTCACATTCAATAGGGAATACCAGATGGGCCCAAATTTGGGCAACAGCAAATCTGTTGTCTTGGGCATGGCTTGTGTAGACTGCCAATCTGACATGTATGAATCAGATTTCAATAAGTGCCAAATTTGGGCAATTCGAATTACCATAAACATTGTATTATTTGCAGTATAACCGCTCCGATGCTCTCCCAACAGGACGCCACAATCGCAATAAAAGTTAAATTTTTATAAAATGATTTCTAAAGCATATTCATTATAATATAAAAATTCTAAAAATTGAGAAGAGTAGGCTAGTCAACATACTCACCGCTACGAGCACATGAACATTTGCACCCTCATTGAGTAAAACAGATACTATTTCAGTGTATCCTTTATATGAAGCCCACATGAGTGATGTCCAACCAACCTGAGAAAAAAGATTATGGTCTGTTTGAAATTATTATAAAATGCAAACAACTACACTGATAATCAAAATGATTATGTAAATGTAAAATTATACCAATTTCACAATATTCATTCTATGTTCAGATATATATATAGAATATTTTTATATTTAAGATATTCAAGAATAATAAAATAATTGAAAAATCACTTGCTGACAAAAGTAAATATTTATATGTGAAGAAAAAAAGTAAAAGGTTATCAATCAACTCACAACTGAAAGTTCTATAAAATTAGTCAATCATACAACAATTTGTTGTAAGCGCAGTGTTTTCGTATGGCTCCATCATTCATGAAAAATGATTTATCATAAAACTAAAGTCATATTTTGAATAAAAAATAAGCTGCCACAAACACTTTAAAAAAGTCTTTATCTGAAATCAAACTGTATCAACTCACATTGTCCGTTACATGCACATCAGCATTATCTTTCAATAATAACTGCACACATGCCAAAGATCCACTTCTACTTGCAGCAATTAATGGAGTTGTTCCTTCCTGATCTTTTGCTTCTGTATTAGCTTCAGAAGAAATAAAAATTGTTGCAACTTCTGGTCTTCCTAATTCACACGCAACATGTAAAGCAGTTTGCTGAAACTGAATTAGGCATGAGATATTATTAAGTGACCAGAATACAATAACACCTACCGTATATTAGGGATGCGACAAAATTCGGGCTTGTGCTCGGATTCGTGACCGAATCACTTGTAATTTGATACTCGGATTCGGACCGAGCCCTTGATGATTTTATCCGAGTCCGGGACATCATACGTCAATCGCAGACTGATGGTGTATTCAACGAGAAATTCAATTTTTCGCTCTTTTCTGCCACGCAAAGTGCATATTCACGACGCCGTAAGGCGTTTAAGAACAAAACAGTCTGCTGAATAAATTCCAGAGTTGCGTGTAGCTCGCCTCCCCTTGCCAGACGACGTTTGGTGAATGTTAGGCACGTCCTATTTTTAAGCATATATTTGCTAATCCTTGAACAGTAACTAATCCGTAATCTGCGGTAACCGTGTCACCCTGTTCGCTTTTTATGGTTCCATAAATGAGCTATTTCCAGAGAGAAACAAATGTCAGAAATGTTAGAAATAAGCGATAAAAATAGTGAAAATTAATTCTGAGAGAAAGGTATAACTCTCAGATGTCAGTGGCTTTACAATCGTATATATGCAGAAAACGAGCTCACAAGTAGAATTGATTAAATGTGCATAAAATGTGAAACTATTACTCGTGGTAATTTAATGTTAATCGGGCTGAATTTTCATTGTTATTCAATAAATATTTACATCTGAGACATCATGCGTCAATCGCAGACTGATAACGCATTCAACGAGAAATTCAACTTTTTCTTTCTGTTTTACCACGCAAAGTGCATATTCACGACGCCCTAAGGTGTTTAAAAACAAAAAAATGTCAGTGAAAGTCTTCTGAATAAATTCCAGAGTTGCGTGTAGCTCACCTACCCTTGCCAGTCGTCGTTTGGTGAATGTTTGGCACGTCCTATCTCAAGCATATTTTTGCTAATCCTCAAACAGTAACTAATCCGTAATCAGCGGTAAACATGTCACGCTGTTCGCTTTTTATTGGTCAATAAATGAACAACAAATGTGAGAAATATAACGATAAAATTGTAAAAACTAAATTTGAGAAAAAAGTATAACTCACAGATGTCAGTGGCGTTACATTCGTATATACGCAGGGTTACCATGACATGCTAAGCTTATTTCTAAGATTTGTGCTATTTTCTAGCCCGCGTCTTATAAAGTAATAAAGTAATGATGTGCTTATTTCTAAGAAAAGTGCTAATTTTTGACTTATTTTGTCTTAGGGAGCATGGATGACTCGTTCATGTTTTGCGTACAAAACTTCCGCGGAAAAGATGTTGAGATGTTTATCATTATTCACGCTTCGTTTTGTTATTATTGTGACGGAAGGGTTTGCGGTATTTCCAGGCAGCAATATCAACCTAGAGGCTATGGAGAAAACATCAATTAATGTCCACAATACCACCACAAGGATTGCATTGTGGGAAACCAAAGTATGAAAACTTTAGAGGTTGCGAATGGCTGTGACTTCGTGTCTTCCACGGCTTTTTGCGGTTTCGGGTCTGCACACAACCTTGTCTGAAGCGACTTATAATAAAAATAAAAATTTAGAAGTGCGAAAAAGGCTAGTGTATGATTTCTTTGTCATTTTTATTCTATGTTTCTGCCGTTGTTAAGTACCCCCCAAAAAATAAAAATTTCAACACCTGTGATTATTTTTGGCATTGGGTATATGGTAACCCTGTGCACAAAAAAGCTCGCAAGTCGCATCGAATAAATGTGCATGAAACGTGATATTATTACTCGTGGTAATTTAATGTTTATCGGGCTGAATTTTTATTATTTTTGTTACTCAATAAATATTTACATATGCGGCGATCAGTGACAGGTAAAATCTAATTTTTCCTGGTCGAATAATTCAAATATTCCTTTTTATTTACTGATAATAAGAAATTACTTTTTCAGTTCTTAATTTGATCACAATCGCGAATTGTTTTTTTTCTGTCACCACGATCGTTTCGGCGACCGACATCATAATTATTGTTGGTAAACTATATTTCAAAGTACTAGTATTAGTTCTCACGCAACGGCGGACAACGAAGTTTGATTTTTATATTTCAGGCAGAAATATATCGGGATCATTACGACCAGAAACGAGAGAAGTAGCTTGCTTGATTTCGGGTGATCGTCTGTGCGTTTTGGTCGACAAAACGTATACTTTGACAGGCCTTATTTCGTCACTGTGACGTTATAGTGATGTAATTTATGGATGGCATAGTCAGGTGGGGGTTAGAAATGACATATGCGAAAATGGCTACGCCACGTCAACTAGAAGTAGCCTACTTGATGGCATTTAGTGAACTAGCCTCGATAGTTTGATTTGAGAAATTCATAATATTATACACAAATCAAAAATGGAGAATTCTGGAGTGAGAGTAAAACCTTTAAAAAATTTAAAACATGAAAAATGTCATGTGATGCTCACCGGCACAAACACAAAAAAAATTACAAAGGACACGAACCTAGTTAAACAAGGCTTGTGCCAGAAATAAAATTATACGAATGTATTGAACTTTTGGCTGTTATACTTTTAAAACTTCTGAATATGGCAACAAACCAGAGGATATAATCCAACTCATGTAATATTAAAATGGCATAGGTCAGTATGGGTATCATTGTTTACCTCTCTCATAGAATAAATATGAAAACCTAGCATATCATAACAACACAAGGTAAATATGCAAATGCAAAAATGACTAACCTGATTTCGTTGATCCACTGGGATGTTTTTAAGTGCATTTTCCACTTCAGTTGTTGTTCCATTGGATACAATATCATGCAATAACAAAGGTTCCAAAAATTGTAACTCGACAACTTTTCCCCGATCTTGGGTCATTTCTGTCCCGGTACTTAAGTATAAAGCTTGATATTACTTAGGGGGAATGACTAAAAGTAGGCACTTCAATAAAGAATGATTGACGTTAGATTAATTATTACAGTATTAGTTATAACGCCAATATCGAATTGCAGTATCGGTCTATTTTAGCATTTTCTACAGTTCTAATACAGTAATAGTCATAAATACAAGTTATGATAAACAAAACAGCTGCTGAAAGTATCGAGAAGATTCTTTTGGATATATTTCACTATTGGTCTGCACCAAGATCTGAAGATACAGAGACAATGTAGATAAGATAAGTCCATTTCGACTCCATAATCACCATAAAAGGTGATTGATCAATTGATAAAAATAAATAAATAAAAACTGATTATGAAATTAGGAGAGCAAACAAAACCTTGGATAAGGGTACAGAATATAAGATGAAAGGTTTTGCGAAAAAGAAGTCGTACATGTTCCATTACCCAAAATTATTGAATCAATTCACACACACACGCACAACCATGGGGGTAAAATAAAGTTAGAAAAATGAGCTTTAGATAAATTTAAATGACACAAACAAACGAAAAGATAAATAAATGAAAAAGAAATTAAAATAAAAAATAAGAATTGTAATTAAAAATAAGAATCATTTGCCACACCATTTTAATAATTTTATAAAAGTTCTCAAATTGAATACAGATTATGTAAACAAGAGTTAACAGTATTCATTATGGACATAAAGCAGTAAAGACATAAAAAAAAGATTTCCCCAAGCTCATTAAAGTTGGGAGCCAAATTGCCCAACCAAAGTTGGGAGTCAAATTGCCCAACCAAAGTTGGGTGCATGACTGCATAAAGAGGTCCGGGGCCAATTCCTTGTCAGATCTCCAAGCCATTCCACCCACTATCACAGATTTTATTTATACTTTGCATATATCCAGAATAACTTCCTACAAGCAAAATAAAAAAAATTTGAACAAATTTCGTCAAGTATTAGAGAAGTTAGAGCATTTTGAAGATTGCCAATATTTATGAACGAGACAATCTTTTGGAGGTTTTATAAAATCAAGTTTTAAACATTTATGTGCTTTTTTTAGATTATTTTTTGATTATTATACCCAATTTTTGGTGCTGTTGAAGAAAATACAATTGCGCCTCAGGAGGGTAAAAAAAAATTATTTTTTCACTTTCCGAACCTCCCGAAATTCCTGATTTAAACTCAAAACAGCCTTCAGAATCAGTCATGCGCGACGAAGACTTCATCTTCAAATTACAAAAATGGGTAAGTTTTGTTTTTGATAAAATGGATATTTTCTGAAAGCTTGGTAACAATGCAAGTCTGTGTAAAAATTTCATTTTGTATTTTAAAAAATACAACTTATTTTTGCTCTGTCAAAGTCGTGTTCAAATTCTAGGTCAAAATGTTATATAAAGTAATATTTTCTCTATGACGTCATAATGGTGAATAAGTGATAACACAATAAACATAACACATTTATGAATCAGATGCCCAATCAATTGGAACTGAACATAGTTTTTTATTAAATAACATAATAAACATATTAACACATTAAATAACATTTAATAACAGGCAATAATTAATTGAGAATCACAAACAAGGAATACCCAAATAACTGCATGAAACAGTGTATGAAACAGTGTAATGAAACAGTGTAAAACATTTAAATTATTCTCTGTTGGGTTGTTTTTATGGGAATCTTTCATTCCAAACAGATGATATAAGGGAAGCCGATTGTTCTGTTAGTTGATACTGTCCCCTAGTTGTTTGTAATATGGGGCATTCTATTGGGCAGATCACATTTTCAAAGGGAACCCAGCATCTGTCATTATTGGTTGGCCAGTAGAATGAAACAGCCGGCCCAGCTGGATGGAAAAAATCGACATTCAAATCACCTTGGGCTTCATCCACCTCTGAAACCATTCCTATATACCATTTTCTCTCATAAACACAACATACATATTTCCCAACATTAAAATTGTTTCTAGGTGTTACATTTTTGTTAAAGTTCCAAATTAAGCTGTATTCATAATCATTACTAATCCTTTTCATTCCTATTTGATAATTTGATAGTGGTGTAAAATTGTGGAATGTTCTGGTTCCTTTGATGGTCGAAGCCCCAATCCGAGTTTGCAGTTTGGACCTTGATAATTTTAAATCTTCAGAAGGAAGGTGAAAAAAGTGAATCGATGGCATATGTTTTTTACAGAATTCCATCATTTTAGAAACATCATCAATCTGATGTTCTGGTTCGCTTCTGATATTTTTTAAAGCAGTTGTGCGTTTGATGGTACCACCGAGACCATCACAAGCGGACTTACCATGACTAGTGGCAAAAAAAGACCATGAGGCTTTGATGTTAAAATCTTTGTGATGTTGGCACAAATTAAAAAAATTTTTGCAGTTTTTATACTGGGCAGCACACCCATCACTAAAATACTCAACTGAAAAGAGGTTGGGTATTTTATCTTTTAAGAATTCGATTGATTTTTTTTGAATAAGGTACACCATACCAACATCATGTTGGAGGTCTTCAGAAATAAAGCACATACTGATATGTTTCGGTATCTCATCTTTGTAGTAACACACCACTGGATGAACGGTGCAATGATTTTGTGTCCAGTGATATCCTTGCGCTTCATTTTGAAATCGAAAACGATAATTTTCGCTGAAATCCATCAGTATGAGAGCTGTTGTTTGTTCCATATTTAATTTTCGGTTTTTGAAATAATTTGATTGGGCCTTCGAAATGTACGAGTGAGGTGCTAGAGCCAAAATTTTTTCCACTAAATATTCGATGAATTCTTCTACATTGAGGGTATTATCAATAAGGTCTGTTCTATCTGTGTTAACCCACTGTTTGAAACGCACTTCCTCTTGACACTGGAGTCTTTCTTTCAACCATTCAACTAAATTACTTTCTTTCGGACACTTGTCACATTGCCCCAACATACACTGCCTGTTACTGAGACTGCATACTGTCATTTTAATTATATCCGAATATGTTTCTTTAATCTGTGCGGCACGTAATAACAGGATGACATTTTGGTGTATGGTGCATACACACACTCTGTGCATACCAGGAGATGATACGGACATACACCATTTAGGACGAAGGGTACAGAATGTGGAAAAGCCAATTTTCAATTGTGGATACTTGTCTTTAAAAGCGATATACAACTCTTTTAGCGTACATAAAATTAATCTTTTTTGCATATAACTATTTTTTGCTATACTAACTTTATCTTTAGTACCAGGAAGCAAACGCGTGAATTCATCATCTTGAAAAAAATCCTCAACATGCTTGATCACTTCTACTGGCAGCTTCTTACCACTTGGTTTAGGTGGAACAGCTAAAATTCCTTCTTTTTTCACTAAAGCTTTGGCTGATTTGACCAAACTTTGATTAACATTAAAATAATTTGAAATCTTAGTGCGAGACCAGCTTTTAGGGGCCAAAGTCAAAAGTCTTAATTTTTCTGATCGTGTTATTGCATCTCCAATTTTTTCTTTTATTTCGTCGAGAAGTCTATAATAGTCTTTTTCCATTGTGGTAAGGGTATGCATATCTCTATCTGGATTCGGAATACTTCCTTCGCATCCTGTAAGTGTGAATGACAATTTTTTCCTGAATTTTGATTCCACCTTTTCCAGTTTCCTCTTTCCATATTTCAAACGACTTTTCTGTGAAAGACTATGCAATTTTAGAGGCGATTCTCCAATAGATATTAAACTAGCATTTACAGCTTCTTTGCAGGCAGTTGCAGTGAATCCAGGAGTTTCATCAGCTAAAATTTGATGGGGTTCTTTGTTTTCATCATATTTATTTTCTATTGTAAAAGTTTTGACATGGCAATTCGTACAGATTCTTCTACCAGGGGCGATGAAAATATTCTGGCTCTTTAGGATGTTATGGATACTCCAATTTATGCTTCTTAAACCATTTGTTACAGGCCTTTTGTGACTATTAAAAGGATTACAGCACTTTTTTGGCTGCAAAAATTCATACTTTGATATATATTTGGCCCTATGGTGATTGCAAATCGTAGCAAAATTTGACACTTCCACTCCTGTTCTGCAAGTCAGAAGGTTTCTTTCATTCTCATTGAAATCACTAATTTGTGCTATCCCAAAATCCTTGCTATAGGTCTTGATATTACATTCCTCATTTAAAATATCCCCCAAGCTACAACTGCCTGTTGTCATTGTCCAGAAAATAATTTTGGTCTTGCACAAATATAAGAAGTCCAAAATTTCAAGCTTTAAATTAGAAGATGACACCAGTTGTGAAGCATTGTGATGTAAACAATGGTTCACTTTGTAAATTAGGTTCTTGTTATGTCACAATTGCACATTATGCATGAAAGGTTGAAATAACATATGAATATGTGATAAACACTGTGCTGTACGTCCATGGGTTAGGCAACAGCTGTGTTTTCCGTTTTTTCCTGAATCAGCAAAACGGAAGGGTCATAAATCAATCACTTTATTTCCTGGTAGCCGTTTCTTTCTGAAGTGCCGTTATCGGGCAGTGAGTGCTTCATTGCACCGGCCACGTTTTTGTTTTTAGGATTAATACAAATAACAGCTGGTATACAAAGTCAATTAAACAATCGGCAGACACTTTGGCATACATTATATTTTTCAATCAAAAATGTTCTCATGTTATACGTTTGGTACTTCAAGTCGGCGCTGATTTAATTCCTTTCATGTTGGCAGTAATTTAGTTGCGCCGCAAAGTGCTGTCTTCCATTACGATAAAACAGAAAATATAATAATCGAAAATTGTTTTAATCAAAATGTGGACAGCGGCGCTAGAATGTGTGTGCGGTATACAAGAAGGTAGCGAATCGGGATATTTGAATATTAAATTTGAATTGAACATCATTGACTGTAATAGATGCGTGCGCCGTGTTGCGATTTGTGGAAACGGCGTATATGCGAATTTTCATAAATTCACTATTTCGAAGCTGTTATTAGGGAGTCGGCTTATCCGCGTGATAGGCGTATAGTCGAGAAAATACGTATTTGCTGTGAACCCACAAAAAGGTTTGCACTAAAAGCAGGAATTAGATATTAGACAAAACAAAGCTGTCATAAAAATGAAATACAGGTCATTGTACACAAAATCATTTTTTTGGTCTTGGTGGTACCATCAAACGCACAACTGCTTTAAAAAATATCAGAAGCGAACCAGAACATCAGATTGATGATGTTTCTAAAATGATGGAATTCTGTAAAAAACACATGCCATCGATTCACTTTTTTCACCTTCTGAAGATTTAAAATTATCGAGGTCCAAACTGCAAACTCGGATCAGGGCTTCGACCATCAAAGGAACCAGAACATTCCACAATTTTACACCACTCTCAAATTATCAAATAGGAATGAAAAGGATTAGTAATGATTATGAAAAAATGGTATATAGGAATAGTTTCAGAGGTGGATGAAACCCAAGGTGATTTGAATGTCGATTTTTTCCATCCAGCTGGGCCGGCTGTTTCATTTTACTGGCCAACCAATAATGACAGATGCTGGGTTCCCTTTGAAAATGTGATCTGCCCAATAGAATGCTCCATATTACAAACAACTAGGGGACAGTATCAACTAACAGAACAATCGTCTTCCCTTATATCAACTGTTTGGCATGAAAGATGGAATAATTTAAATGTTTGACACTGTTTCATGCATTTTGAGCTGGTGGATGAAGCAAGACGTGTGTAACTAATAGTAAATTCTTTCTTATGTTAAAATTTTATTTTAAAATGTTAATTAAATTGTATTATTGGATGGTGATAAAACATGTATGTTTTTTAAGCCCAGCAGTTATTTGGGTATTCCTTGTTCATATTCCCAACTGTTTGTGATTGTCAATTAATTATTGCGTGTTATTAAATGTTATTTAATAAAAAACTATGTTCAGTTCCAATTGATTGGGCATCTGATTCATAAATGTGTTATGTTTATTGTGTTATCACTTTTCACCATTATGACGTCATAGAGAAAATATCACTTTATATAACATTTTGATCTAGAATTTGAACACGACTTTGACAGAGCAAAAATAGGTTGTATTTTTTAAAATACAAAATGAAATTTTTACACAGACTTGCATTGTTACCAAGCTTTCAGAAAATATCCATTTTATCAAAAACAAAACTTACCCATTTTTGTAATTTGAAGATGAAGTCTTCGTCGCGCATGACTGATTCTGAAGGCTGTTTTGAGTTTAAATCAGGAATTTCAGGAGGTTCGGAAAGTGAAAAAAAATTTTTTTTTACCCTCCTGATTCGCAATTGTATTTTCTTCAACAGCACCAAAAATTGGGTATAATAATGAAAAAATAATCTGAAAAAAGCTCACAAATGTTTAATAATTGATTTTAAAAAACTTTCAAAAGATTGTCTCGTTCATAAATATTGGCAATTTTCAAAATGCTCTAACTTCTCTAATACTTGACGAAATTTGTTCAAATTTTTTTTATTTTGCTTGTAGGAAGTTATTCTGGATATATGCAAAGCATAAATAAAATCTGTGGTAGTGGGTGGACTTTTCAAATTTTTTTGTCTTGTCTGACATGGAATTGGCCGTGGGTTAACCGCATGTTATCTTCTTTTGCTACATGACAAATAGTAAGAACTCATTTCAGCATTTGTCTTGAATTATCACATACCGTACCTAATTCAATTAGCATTGGGGTGATACAGTGATAGGCTAGTCACATCAACAACAGAACAGAGTCTAACCAAATAAACTATAACCTGACCTGATGTCTGACAATCTTGCAATCTGACATTGCGAATCTACCCTACAGCCATGTTTCTTTCAAAAACTGAAGAATACCGGTACAGGTCTCAGGTCTGCAGGTCAATCAAATTGTTTTATTAGCTGTTCAGGAAAGTCACAATAAAATGTAAGCAAATAAATTCACGAAATATTCATATTATTCAGGTTTTGCCCGGAATTATCATGATATCCGTGACTATTCGGTATAGTGTACTTGGGGTAGCGGATATCGAGTACCTTATTTACGCCCAGCTGCGTGAATAAAAACTTAGGAAACAAAATTACCAGAAACGCTTTTGTGCGAGAACATCATCGCCTCAAGATGGCGCTAAAGGGCAATAATCATCTTGTTATTATTTTTGGGATTGGAGAATTCCCCTATAGGGTAGGATAGGATTTTACATATTTATCCCGGGGGAGAGGAAAGCCGATAAGACGGCTTATCCATATGGCGAACCACCGCCTCTCGTCCGGTTACCATTCCAAGTCAGGTATGGGATTAGTTTTACTGTATTGTTTGTTTTCGGAAGCATGGTCTTGGTGGTGGAGGAAGCCGTAACCGACCAGCGGTTACGTGAACCACCCAACGACGGCGAGGAGTCCAGCAATCCTCTCGCACATAACCATCCCTGCATGGGATTCGAACCTGCGAACCCACGCAGAGTAGTTAGAGGTGCGGTGGCGAGCGTATTCCTAACGCTTAGCCCGTTGCGCCACACCGCCGCGCCTATATATTATAAGGCAATTTTAGCTTGATGTTTTTAAAAGAGAATTCAAGGGAAAAGCAGTTATGTATTAATTTAGAACTCTGTGTACACATAATAGATAAAATAGTGTAATATTAAAGAGGTACCAGTACTCATACTGGTAGCTGAAGATAGAAGGCGTTAGTAGTGGTAGTAACAGAATGAACGGTAATGCAGTAATGGTGTGTTATCTCATTTATTCTACTTATTATGGTGCGTGACAATTTGAAATAGTCTCAGATAGGGCTGGGCATTTTCGAAACACTGGTGTTTCGAAATCGAAACGAAATTTTGCTTTCGTAACGAAACACACGTTTGTCATAAACAGTAAAATATGATACCATTATTAACCATCGAATTTAATGTATAATGACATATATTTTCCACAATTAAATCCACAAAAGGATATCACTGGATGCTAATTCGAGAGGATAAAACGATAATGATAATTCCACGAATGTTTCTGCTCAATGACAAAGCAGCGGCCAAATGGCACCAGGATAATACGAATTACGTCATTGTTAGAGATGGGGCTCACAAGCAGCATAGCATGGGGCCTCTCAACGCGACCCTGCCCTCATCTAATGTAATGGGTGGGGTCATTTTCTAATTTATCCGATGCCACAAATCCTTGTGATCCAGTGTGGTAATTATACCAGGGAGAGCCATAACCGAGTACCTGACTATTTCAAATACATTCTGGAAAAAGATATTTTTGAATCTTCCGAATTCCGAATACATTCTAAACTCCAGGAACATAAAAATTGGGCTTTTATTGAAATTAGTTATTTTTTTGCTCTAAGGAAATGGACTTGGTAAACATTACAGTATTTATGAATTATGGTGTATCGTGGCAAGCACAGAAAAAAGAACAACTAGGTGGAATGTTTAAATTATACAGTAAAATCAACAATTACTCGGATTTTTGATACGCCTAATTTTCGTTATGACCCTGACTGTTTATCGTCAGCGTTACATCGACATCGTTGAGCTAAATTTGATTTGATTTTAGATTTATTGCGCAGTTACCCAGACTATCTCAACTATGTTGAAATATACCATAATAATTGTAAAATATTTTCAATTAAAAACTTCCTCGACGTGGTATAAGTAAGTACTTCAAGTCGGCGCTGACTTAAATCCTTTTATGTCGGCAGTAATTTATTGCGCCTCGCAAAGAGTGTCTTCGAATACGATAAAACATAAAATGAAATGATTGTAAAAATTTTCAATCAAAACGTGGACGGCGGCGCTAGGACATTTGCGCGATATTTAATATTTTTATAAACACTAAAAACGATATTTGAGAGTCACAATATTCGAATAAATTTTGATATTAAATTCGAATTGGACATCCCAGAATGATACCTTGACTAATTTCAGGTTGCATTTGCTATGACGTCATAATATCCGTTTCGAAGGTCGAAACGCCGCCGTTTCGACATATCAGTGTTTCGAAACGCCCAGCCCTAGTCTCAGACAATCATGGTAAATGAAATAATTGTTAAGTCAAGTTTGCAGTACATCATGTTTTTTAATGTTAATCGATATTGATCTTTGTCCCAATGTTTTCGATGTCTTTAAAGTAGGAACGTGAATTCCAATCCACTCAACGTTGTTATAAGGAAATCCTATTTGCACCCGCATCCGTCTTGAAGAATTATGCGCAATCTCCCAGCTTCTAGTAACTGCACAACCAAAGTAAAAAGGCAACGAGATCCTTAGAAAACGAACTGTATTCATCGATCTCCACATATAAGTAAAATGTTGCTACAGCACAGAAACTTGAAGACCAACGATAAAACTAATTTATAACGACACGGATGCACTATTATAAATAAGCAATGAACGAATGATAAAATAACATTTACAATAACAAGCAATGTTAGTCAATACTAAATAGGGCCCAACTAAGCTAACTTAATATGACAGATTTCACGAAGCCCGCACCCCTAATATAAACTATATCCAAGGCAAATCTCAATATTAAACGACACTTTTGCAATCCCACAGTGTCGTATAGAACAAAGTATCAGAAAAGGGCATTATATCAAAACCCGGGGAAAAGTTTCGCGTCCTATGTCTTCACTATGGCGCAATAATGAGTCACTGTCAACAGGAAATCAAGATAATAAAGATATAACATAATTTGTCTGGGATTGTTAAGATAATAAAGAAATAGCTACATAATACATAATAGCTAGAGAACGAAGCTGATGAAACGGCTAGTAGGGCCAACATAGTATTGACAATGACCCTGACTCTATGACTTTCTAAACCTTCTCATTCTAGAGTTATACCCATTGCCCCGACCTTTTCCCTATCCCTCTAGACTAGACCATCTACCTCGGTCACTCCACTCGCTAGGCACTCGCCCCTTTGCCCTCAACTCCAGTAGTGCTCTACGCATGCCCCGGTAATTAAATCTAGCTTCATAGGGCACAAGTATACCAACGAGTTTAATGGAATCCTACGTAGAAACACTCGTTTGAGACTAAATGCATTTATGAAATATTGGAGATGCTCGAAATTGCGTCTTGTTTACATCACTTATCAAGCCATAGATTATAGGCGTATTATATGGAAGCTCAAATTGTAATTAACCATCATAATTGGTAGCTTAAAATAATATTCTACTTTTACTTTGCTATTCCACTTCCAAGCGTGTTCATATAAGTGACTCGAAAAAAGGGCGACATTTTAAAATTGACGACGACGGAACCTCGTTTCAATCTTATTTATTCATAAAAAAGACCCACCCATCGCATTAACATTTGCGTAGTAAATTTCCTTAAAGCTAATTTTATTTTTTACAAGTGTGCCGCAAAAAAATTTCTATTTGCTTAGTGCGCCGCAAGCAAAAAAAGTTCGAGAGCCGCTTGTAGATGCTTTGCACTGCCAGGGTTGTGTAGGCCAAGCGCAGCCATATATATTTTTTTTTTATTTGATTATTTCAGTCTGTCCATACTGAATGCTTTGTTGTTCTTGCAATATTGGCATTTGAATTTTATAAAGCTGAAAGTGTGAAACGATAAACTGCTGAAATAATAATTTCCATACCCCATGCAACTGAACTAGCAAACGGACGAACGGTCTGATCGACTTAGCCTACTTCTTTTCTACTATGAATATGGAAATCCACTCATCATACTAATTTAACGTTATTAATCCCAGTGTATATAACAAAATAGAGACCTCTTGCCATTACAAGCAAAGAAAATTGAAAAACATGCATGTATTTGTATATATCATTGCCGATCATTAATTAAAATTATATGAATATACAATTTATATGTAACATCCAGTGGTGGGATTCAATTTTTTTGTCAGCCGGTTTCATCACAAAAGTCATATTTTTCCCCCGGTTTTGTTACAAAAAGTCATTGGGAGTAAACAGTAATGCTAACCGGTTCTCTGATCTCATAAAATTCCGTGAGATGGTTCTATAAAACCATTGCGAACCGGCTGATTCCCACCACTGGTAACATCCCTTTTTGTATAGAAGAAAGTGCCGGTTACAGAGAATTTCATTCCTTCAAAACGATCCCCTTTTTCTGGCCTCCCATTTATATTCCATCCTAATATGAGCACTTTCAATTTAAACAAACATAATGATGCTCCTTATGGTGATGCTTTTTCGCTCCATTCTCCATCATTGTCAATCCATGGAAACTTGGGTGAGTAATGAAGTGAGGTTTAAAAAGAAATTCACGAGAGGGTTTTTCATACTTAGCCTGAAATATATTCAATCAGTATTACGGTAATTTTAAAATTGAGGTGACAACACTTTTAAATACACTCCAAGCACATGAGCCAAGTTTATTCATCATAGTGAAATGTTTTATCACGTATGCTCTTAACCCACTCGGGTAAAAAAGTAATATCGTTACATAAACATTTGCAACCAAAAACTTCCTTTAGTTTCCATAACGTTGCTATCACTTTAACCTTAACATAATATTAATACAAATCAAAAAATGAAATATACGACCTAACCATAAAAAACATATTTTGTGAATACCTGCTGAATGAAGCTTTTGTTTGTAGAATTCAATTTGAAAATACCGAAATACAGTTTTGTCGTCCAAAAAGAGAAATGGCAATCTATCGTGGGGAAAAGCTCCGTTTGTAAATCCCTAAAATTATTTTTTATAATCGAATTCAATTGTGATGAGAACCTCAATTCTGCTGTGAATTGCGTAATATGCGTATAGGTCATACCCGAGATATAAATCAACGTTGCCAATCGGTATCCCGATTATCTCTGGCTTCTGAGTTGAAGATCGAATCTACAGTTGGCTCTGAACTCTTGGTCGGTTGAATGCTGATTCTCAATTATTAGATTGTGTTCAAATTTGCTTTGCTTGCCACAGCAGTCCCATAGTTAACCTATAGGAAACAATTTATGTATGTAATGTAAAAATAATAAAGCGGGGATAATTTCATGAACAAAATATATTTATATATTTTATTATATATTATTAAAATATAGTTATATAAATCGTCCAGTCAGGAAAACAGCATAATAGGGATCCGTGGATCTATACTTATCTGCATCATTTAGTTAAATGATATCAAATGTTATTCTAAGTAGATTTAAGGGAAACTTTATTAAAAAAAACTAATCAATCATGCAGAATAAATACGCCAGATTCGAACTAAAGAGAAGATAATGAAAATTCACCTTTGGAGTACAGAGATACAGAATACATATATCATCATGTCCAAAATTCTATTTTGACAATGTGATGACTCCGCCTAAAAAGCGCGGTCAATCTTTCACTTTTGAGGGTTGAAGTCAGAATATCAGTTTTCCTTTTAAATTTTCAGCGTTCGGAGTGCCAGTCCATTTTATTCGGACTGGGTAGCGACAGAATTTTGAATTGAATCTGTGTAAGTTTTTTCCACATTTGTATTCTGGTTATAAGAACCAGAGTCGTCAGCCTGAAGTCCAACGGTGAATGTGATGAAAGTTCCATTCGTACCAACATAGTCCTTGCGGCAATGTCGTCGGATGATTCCACACTGACATTTAGTTGGCACCGAAATTCAAGCATCTGAGTCACTCATCGATCTGATGAAATTTTAAAATTTATACTTCGAATGAAAATTTGAGGGACAATGCGCTTTAGTAAGTACAGAAATAACAACCGTCCCAAAATTCTGAACAATTATAGGTTAAATATTTTATCTATATACACAAAAAATACCTTCGAATTCGAACTAAACTTTTTCATCTCGGTGCCCCAAGTTTAGTTCGTCGTTGGGTTGATGCTCTGGAATTTGAATAAAAAAATTATTATGCTAAAAAAATTCATCTGATGTATTAAATTTCATCGAATTACGCCAGTTGATACAGTTTTATCTTTCATTTGTCATTCATGGCAATCGCATAAACAAACAATTTATACAAAGCTCTGAATGTTTAGGCACTCAGCTATAAAATTTAACGGTTAGAAAATAGAAAAGGTTTAGAACGATTTGTATGAAAATATCAATGTACACTTACTAGAATGTTGGGATTTTCCAACATATGTTATCGGATGATTCCAGAGTGACATCCAGTGGACACCAAAATCGAATTGATGGACCTGTGGGCCGTTCTCCAGCCTGGCAAAATATGAATATAACCTAGAATTCGAAAATATAGCTGTACTATGTCATAAACTTCTAATGAATATATTATTATACTCATCTTGCTAATTTTAAAATTCTATTAAATCAACAGATCGATTTTAGTATAACATTACTTAATTAAAATTTTTAATCCATATCAAAGTATTATTTCGAAATCGAATCAAACCTTTGTTGTTGTCACGGCGTCGCATTTAGAATTGCTCCTTCTTTGAATCAACTTGCTCTGAAAAAAGACACACTGTTTGCTTCATATTCCGTACGTTTGGTAATTTCACCAATAAAACATCAAAAATGATGTTTTCTTCCATAACAAATTACCCTTCTTGATTGATGGAATATACAAAAATGTGTTGATCCACACAAAAATCTTCCATATTTCTATACCGAGACAACAAATTTATAATTAAGAATTTATGTAAAAATAGTAATACCTCGTCGAAGTCCGGGAGCGTCCAACATATGTCATCTGTGGAGTCTACGTCAGCATTTAGAGGGCACCAGAATGCAATAGCTTTTTTCTGGTAAACAAAAAAATATTAGTGACGTCAATAAAAATTACTACTGCTATTAGTATAATTCTTTATAGTGTCAGTAGGCCTTGGCACTTCAGTGGTCATCCGTAACTTGTCACATAGATAATCTTTTTTGCTTCCAAGTGCGCGCGAACTTTTCATAAACGCAACGGCGTTGCGAACAAATTAGCCCTCACCCCAAGTCTCCAAATATTACTGTTAATCTATTTTTCTAATATCATACCCATGTAATACCGCCATTTAAATTGAATATGAGAGTTTAATAAACTAAAATGCTCATGAATAATCTTCATCACCATTAACCAAAACTTAAAATTTGAGAATTCATTGAAATTTTCTATTCAGCTTATCATGATTTAGTATATATAAGGAGAGGCAACTGGAGTGAAGACGCCCGATTTTCACTAATGAACTATGAATAGATTAAGCATAAATGAGTTTTCACTCAAATTACATGCAATAGGTTCGGAGGGAAAAAATAAGGTTTAAATTTCAAATACTTGCTCTCTTTCTTTGTCTCCTTGCTTCTCCTCGACCTTAATGACAGATCAATAAAAGTTAGTTTGCTTTATTTACTAGCAGTAAATAACAACAATATTTCTTGTTGGTAAAAAGAAGAAAAAGAAAATAACATACCCGATAAGTATGCACATACGAATCTTCGGGTCCGTAAAAAGGTAGTTTCCATTTGATCTCCTGGAAAAATAGAAAATTATAAAATTCAAGAACTAGCAATTTGTTGTTATAAAATAATTCTAAATAAACATTTATCAAGAGCTAGAATGATAATTTGAGACATTTAATTCAAATTTTATCCCTAAATTTAGTTTCCTCACCCATTCTATTTCTTTCACTGAAGCTTGATGTTCAATCTAAACCAAAACAAAGAAATAAAGGTACTCCTGAAGTATGCGCACCAAGATGTCACATAACCTGAACCCTAATCTGGTACACAACCTGAGTTCAGGTTGTGCGCCATCTTGGTGCGTATACTTCAGGAGGTCCGAAATAAATATAAAGCCCACGCACGCTTTAATTATTTCTAATTATTTTACGACTATTTCTCACCTGGGATTATTTAATTACAATATATACTTTTATTTAGTCATTGTTGCACTTGCATCCCTAAAATATTTTAATATCCGGCTGTATTATATCAATGTGGAATATTTATTGTTTTGAAATTGCGTAAGTAAATAGCCTACTTTTTCAAACCAGTCCAAGAGTTCTTTCTGTTCCACGTAAGCTCCAAATGGTCGCGGAGAAGGATGGCGAGAAATGATCTGAAAATCAACAATTTCAATTTAAGGAGAATTCTAACGATTTTTTTGGAGCTAAGAAGAAATAAAAAAGCAATCGTATGGTAAATGAAAAAAAAAAACCAGCTCACATGTTTTTACCTGGCTTCATTAGAGGGGTCTAAGTAAAAACCGAATTTATGTAACCGTGACGCCATTCATTAGTAGGCTATATATAAAATTTTAATCGAGCAGGGGTTAGGTACCGTAACGCGATCGTAAGCTATAACGATAGTATATAAAATATAAGGCGGTCTTTTATCACCGCTAATCAATGAAATTTGAAAAAAAATGTCCATCACTGATTGTTAGTAAAAAATTAATAATATACAAAGGTTACCGATCAATATACTAGAAACATAATTGACCTCGTCGTCATCTGCAGAGAGTGGATTGGGGCAAATTCCTGGAGTGAATAGAGTCACATACTGCCAATCTCCATCGTGGCATGAAGGCCCCGGCACGTTGAATAAATCATAAAATTTATCCCGGAGGCATGAAGGCGTCGGCGGGTCGAACAAATCGTCAAAATCCTCGTAATATTCAATATCACATATTTCCCAATACAAGCAACAACAGAAAGTCTAGAAAGAAAGGTAGGTATTAACAACCGGTTTAGTATAATTCGGTTTTAAGATATAGACAAGACAAAAAGTTTTTATAAAGAAAATGTGCGAAAGTGGAGCAGCCCTGGGTTCCTCAAACCCAGAAACGTTATTCAAATTTAAGTGGTCGGTCACGGCTTCCTCCGTCATCGATTCCATGCTTTCGAAAACAAGTAACTGGCTAACTAATCCCATAGCCTACTCGACATGAACTGGTTGGTAAGCGGACGAGAGGCCATGGTTCGCCCTATGATTAAGCCGTCTTATCGGCTTTCCTCTCTCCCGGGATAAATATGTAAATCATATTCTAAGTCTAAGTAGGGTCAACTGCAAAATCATGTCTGCTGCTAGTTTTGAATCTAAATTCAAACCTTTTTCAGTTGTTTTCTTGTCAATCGACCGATCTCTGTCGCCCTTGTCACGAAACGATTCTAAAATAAAAACATTCTAAATTCTAAACGATTCTAAAATAACTAACCAAACGCAAAAGTACACTGACACGCTAATTTTGCCCAATGCCGACATCATGAGTATGACACAATAGTCAATTTGATGATCAGCTGATGCCAAGATCTTTCTGTGATGTCATAGATAGCTAGAACACATAGATATTTCCTCAAAATCGATAAAAACGACTGAGGGTTTCGTTCCGTCCTATCTTCTTTGCCGATTATCACAAAATCTCTGTTAAACCCTATTTCTCTACCTATATATATGTAAATATAAACACAAATATATTTTAGGGAGAGAACTAGTGACAGATACGCGTAGCAAAACCGTAAATACCAACCATTAAATCTTTACTGTTTCTCCTCTTCTTTTTAATATAACGAACGATATTTTTTATCGCCTTTTTTATGAGCCTTGTTGGTCGTCGTTTATCCTCAAAGATACTCCTCCTCGCTCTTATTTTATCTTTCAACTCCTTAGTAGGCATCTTGCTATAGCAATTACCCATCCCGAGTATACATGCACAATCGCTTCCAAATATTTCATGGAATAAATGAATTCATATCATTAATTTCTATTTTATCGATGAAATGAACCAATTATTAGTCAACAATGCCGTTAATTGTTGTGTCATAATTTCGAAATAAATTAGAATAAAATGGTGGCTTTAGAGTTTACCGTAGATGAGCGATTCTCAATGTGGGCAATATCGAAAAATACATAACTTGTACTCTTTGGAAATTTTATCGCCACTTTGGGATTTTTTAAACGGCGATATATTACAAATAAACTTAGTAATAGTGTTCCAAGAACAGCTCAAAATTGTCAAATTCCCGAGATTGCAAAAAAAAAAAGTGTCAAATCTAAATTCTACGTATTTTTAGGCCTACACGGATTATAGAAAAGTATTTTCGGATATTAATACTTTTACTTTATCGTAATAAATTGTACTCATAGGATTTTATTGCCGACTTTGTGATTTTGCTGACAGCGATATCTTAAATAATCGTCAGCAGCTCTATTCTAACAAATTATCAAGATCGCAAAAAATCTAATCAATTCTAATTATAATCGGGCAGTATACCACGTAATTTTATGTACGCAGATTGTAGTATTACAGAGAAGTAATACTTTTATTTTATCGTAAGTCGGGTCGACGGCGAGTTATGTGAAAATAATAAATTAATAGGGCAAAACATTTTTAATGCTGATATCGGCCATGGACTGAATATTTTGCGCAACAGAAAATTCATTATCATTGAAAAAGTCTGCAATTTCAACGAATGGCTTAATCGCGACGACTGTTTCATTCGGAATTTACGTTTCCGATTTTTAATACAGAATAAAATTCACCGAAAATATAGTTTGGTGCATGTCATTTGGCAATTTTGAAGAAGTAGAACTGTTAATTTTGGTAGAAAAGGAGTCATCATATCAAATAATGATGATTTGAGATTGTACCTGACCAAAATGTCTTCGAATAATGAAAAATAAACTTGTTGAAAATCATCCATTCTATGCATCATTAGTCTATTTGTTGTTTAATTGATTTGCAATGAATTCGTTTGGGACTTGTTGTTGAATTGCTGGGGGGCAATGATAACGTAAAAAGAACTGTAGGCGGGCGACGGTTCAAAAAAGTTTGAAAACCACTGGTTTAGATGTTGGGTATCGTCTGCAAGAGACTAACATATCAATTCTTGACAGCGTAGTTTTAGGTTTTTTCATATTCATTTTTTGTAGAGGAATTTTGATACTGTTTATTTTACATGGCGTACCATGGCCTCGCCTCTGGTTACCCGTCCATTTCGAGTATGGGATTAGGGTGGAGGAGGTCGTAACCGACCAGCGATTATATGAACCACCCTGCGCACGATGCGCCATACCGCCGAACTCAAATTCTTAGTGGGATGTCCCTAAATCATTTCGCAATAACATCCTTTGTTCCCCCAAATGGCGTCTGCATTTTTTTGTAATTCTTCACAAAATCCCATAGTGAGGCTCTCTAGCGCTGGTGTTCACCTTGAGAAGATGGGTAGTTGTTATTTCCATTTATTTACATAAATAGAGTAATAGACAGAAAAGAAAAAGGGAAGTGAACAAAAACAGTGAAATAGAAATTTAGAGTAAGTCCGAAACGTGTTGAACGCATTAACCAAAGTAGAAAGAAAACAAATGTCAGCCAACAAATACTACAGTACTGAATATTATAAACCTATACCTATACCCTTCCTGCCTTCTAAATTTGTAAATGGAACTGAACACTTTCGAGCAGCTATACCGTATTTCAGTATTTAGTTACATACCGTACCGGTACAGTACTTGTTCGTGAGTACTGGTGTGAGTAAGTTGCACGAAACCTGATTACAGGATTACAAATGAAGCAAGACACCTGGCAGCCCGAATACCAGAATACGTTGATCATTATATACCGGTACCGGTACCGGTACCGTACAATTTTTGCGTTCAGGCGCTGTATCGCACATTTCTAATCCTGCAGATACCGGTCTACTGGTCTGGTATAGTTTAGTACCACATGCACTTCTAGTTGACCTGGCTCAACAATTTTTGCATATGTCATTCCTAACACCCACCTGACTATGTCACCGAAAAATTCCCAGTACTGCATTAGCCTGATTACTGATTAGGCCCTCTAAAGTGTACAGATGGTCGTCCAAAACTCGAAAACGGGCAGACGATAACCCAAAATCGAGCAAACTGTTTTTTTTTTGTTTATCGTCGCAACGATCCCAATGCGATATGAGAGAGAACGCTGGCGTTGGTGAGTTCGTTATCAGCGGCGCAAATGCTGTATGGCAGGTGATTGTGACGTCGTAGTGCAGTGGTGACATAATTTTTGGATGACATATTCTTCAGGTGTGGGTTAGGAATATCATATGCAAAATTTGTCACGCTATCTGGCTATGCCTGTATGTCTACCCCAAGTACTTGTGGTACTAAACTATCTGACTATACTAGACCCAAAATTTGCTAATTCTTGATGTCACGAAGTAGTCTATTTTCTTTTTGCACATAAATTTCTTCTCACACCAAATTACTTCCCTACCTGTCTGTCTGTAGTGTGTGTCAATGTCTAACCTTCCATTGACAATTAGTAAATTTCTGATAGATTGTAGCGATATGAATCGCGTTTCGCAATGCAAATTGTCAGAAGACAGTGCAAATAGACTATCATTATATCTATGTGTAGGTATGATGGTTCTTGTGCTTAGATGCACATCAGCACATGGTCGACATTACACACATTATACATGCTTTTTCATTAATTTGAGCAGGAAGATTGTGCAAGGAAAAACCCGATACTCTGAGAAGAGTAGCAAGTCATGTTACAGTAGGGCGCAGTTTTTTGATTCCAAAATCTATAAAACAAACACTTTATTTGTCTCTGAAATGAGGATATCTGTCACAACAGCAGATTCATCATATCGCGCCATACTCATCTCTATAATAAATCAAATCACATATTAACACATATTATATCTGCTGCCGTGCTTGGCAATCATTCTGTGTTCCATGATAATATTTCCTATTTATATTAGTGACATAGGCCTAGTTATTTTTCATAATTGCTTTAAAATTTTAATCTTTTATCACTAGAACTGGTCTAATCTACTATACCAGTAGATTCAAGAGATACTACTTCTTATCATTCAAAGTCCTCAAATATGACTGACCTGCCCTGAATTGCTGATGCATTACATGACATTCTGGTTTGGGTGCTCCCGAAGTATGTGCACCAAGATGGCGCACAACCTAAACCCTAATCTAGTACACATACTATGTTCAGGATGTGCGCTATCTTGGTGCACATATTTCTGGAGCTCCTTGGTTTGTGATATTTTTGAAAAAAAATTGTATTTTTTTTTTAATATGCATTTTAGCTCATACTGATCTATAGTTATATAAAATGTAAGAAAATCTTGTCGAGACTAAATCCAGCAAAGTTTTGAAGTTTGTTAGCGCACAAACTACTTCGTCCAGAGTACATCTGAGTGATTGGATTATACTCAACAGAGAAAATACAATGAATTATAAACACTTATTTTTTGTGATATTTATGTGCAATATTGTGACGGCAAAAAAGTTGTTTTTTCAAGATAATCGGCCACCAAATTTGGATGATGAAGGCCATTATGTTTTTACAATGCAGGATTCTGCCGCGAAAAGTTGGATGCAAAAGTTACAGAGAGATGTGTAAGTTGTCTTCAATAACATAACTTAACTCAAACCATCTTTGTATACCATCAAAATTGAACAAAGTGCAAGCTGTAAATTAAAAATTAGCCTTGCGTTATTTCTTGTCATCTGTGTCCATTTAGATTATCATATGTGATAAGTTTGTTTATTGCACTGTAATTGATGCTGATTAATCTACAATTTGACAAATAATTGACAAATCTTGAACCAGTCTGAAATCACCTTTTATATTCTAGCTTCTATTATTTTTTCTACATTACAAATTTTTTCCTAATTTAGCTTATATTTTTGTGTGCATTTTAGACATGGAAAACAATTATTGTTGTTAAATCTTTTTCTTAAATCAATTCTAGGACCAAAATGGAGTCGTTTTCTCCGATACTCGATCGTAGTGTTGATGACGATGGGATCTTGGATATAGACTCTGAAGACTATAAATCACCAAGACACAAACGATCAGTGGATCCGACAGGTCTACCACAATCTCCATTGAAAAACAACGTAACTAAATGCGTGTTAAACGATTCATTGAGGTTAGTTGATAAATGATTTATTTATAGAATCACACTCGGATACTCTGTAGTGACTAATACCCAAATGTCTTGCATTTGAATTTTTATGACACACCAGAACACCACTCAATTAGAGCTAAGATCTGAAGCCCGAGCCAAACCCGACAATTCGGGGCAGGTTGAGCCTAAAAGTCAATCATTAAGTTCGGGTCGGGTCTGTCTTCTCAATCGTTGACTTTTTTTAAAATAAATACGTTTATAAAAAATAAATATCAAAACTATGTGTGGATACTAAACTAAGGAATACTTGTTTTAATATAAATAATTTGAATAAAACAGAGAAGAAGTGTAATATGGACTTTTCCCCAACCTCTGACTCCCGAAAATACTCTTCCTAAACTCCTGCTCGGGTCGGGTTTCGGGCCCAAACCCTATCTTATCTCTACAGTCAATCATATGATACAGGTGCCTAATATGTATCTGAGCGGCACCAGTTGACTTAACTTAATGATCTTTATTAAGCATTGTGAAGCTATAGATCAAAGCATTATTTAGTATAGAACAAATTGCAGAGGATTTGACTTTTTATGGATGATTGCTATTCAGAAGATATATTTTAATATTATTTTGACCGAAGCTTTCCTGATGGTCTCACTATTACTATATGACTATTGTTATGGCATTTAAAAGATTAAAATCTTGTTTTAATGTTAATAAAAATTGCAAATCAATTGCACAGTTTTGATTTTGTAAAATAACATCATTATTGAAATAGGATAGAATCAGTTGAAAACTGAGATAAAATTGCTTGAATTTAGAATATATCATGATTTATTGTAAATTAAATTTATAATATTTGAAATAGATTTTGAATTGCAAAATGATATTTTAAAATCTTCAATTTTTTTTATTTACACATTCTACACAGTTATTTACTAGCCTAATAAATGTAATTCATGCTATTAAACATAAATCTTAGAGGATCAAAAGTGTTATTATACAAGGCTTACTAGATTGCTGGAAATTTGTTTGTAATAGTCCTATTTCGCCGTTGACCGTTACATAATACACTATTATTCTAAAAATTCAATAAAATAGAATTGTGCGGTTCTTACACAAAAGAATACCCATCTGAAGTTTTCAGTAGTGTCTAAGTCAGCTCAAGTTACATGAAAAATGACTCGCTTAATTTGTGAAGCAATTGCTTGCGGTTGAAACAATGAATCGCAGAAATTTGACACAACACTGAGAGCAGACAGGCTTTTATTTATCGACTTTTCTAAATTTGTTTCCTATAAAAATGTTACAAATTGTATATTGAATTAGAAAATATCAATTCATTTACCATCAACCAAATACATTTATTTGGATACGTATAAAATATAATTATAATAAGATAACAGACATACGAATGGTATGCCATGCCTCTCCAGTTATATTCTAAACCATAGCCCAAGCCCAATGTTTTTATGTTTGTATGTAACCTCACATGATGCTGATAATTGATTCTCAAGAAAAAAAATTAAACTCGATGTAATTTTCCCATCTGTTGCAAATTAGTATATATAAGTATTTGTTCAGATGCTTGTTTTTATCTTCTAATATTTTATCTAAAAAAATCATGATTATACCATCACTGATGAGTTTGTGGGATTTTATTCTCGAGAAAGAATTAAATTTGATGATGTCATATCACAGATTTCTTGTTCCTATTTTACTATAGCTTTTGATTGATCCGCGTATCATCACTTTATCTTTTTTATTAAGAAATCGTAGTAAATTTTATCTTTAAATTAAATATCAAGTAAGAAATAAGTTGTAAAGAAAATTCAAGTTCAGTCACTTTAGTTAATTTCGGTTGGAAAAAGTACCAATAAATAAATGTGCGCCGATCAAGGAAAAAATTTATTCATGGATGACTAACCAAAGGTCTTTTCTTGCTTTAAATTCAATGAGAAAGCATGGCAATTTTTTCATTGGAACCTAACTTCACTTACACAGTTGTTTTCAATTAAATACAATTCTCCCCACTGCCAATGTACTACAACATGAATAAATAAATTTTATCACCGGAGCATAATACATTTTTCCTGAGTAGTAGCTCAAACACATAATTAAAGGAACTACATGTTCAACATTCCATTAACTACCATCATTTTGGCATCACGATTCACAACATTTTTATGTACATCCGAAAACCCATTTTCACTCTTGAATTCTATCAATATTCTAACGTCAAATCCTGTGCAAAAACATAGAGTGAAATCACTTGAAAGCTAAATTGAAAGTGGTTTATTTGGATTGTATTTTATTGATTTTTTCTCAAACACTTATGTGTGGGCGGGTATATTGCAAAGCCTTACAATTACAAATATATAATATTTACATCAATATACATCAATGGGTAAGCATGTCGTCAAAATCAGTATACAAGCTATACTGTGACACTGTGTATTGAAAGTGTTACCAAACCTGTAGTCAAGTCATGATCTATTCATTGTATGTTGATGTCATAACCACAACTATAGATGACTGGTTTAGATTCTAATGCCAGTATATATCTTCCAGGAAATCTACCGCATGTATTAATATATAATTTTACTGTTTAGTGTTTGGTTTCATAAACAAATCTAACCATTCCTGTCAAATTTTATGATCCAAATTAATGATTAATTTTATCAAGAGTGTGAAATGAAAATGTCTTAACAAGGTTTGGTTGATGTTGAATCTAAAGTAAATATGTTTGAAAGGTTGGCGACATGTAAACTTGATTTAAGGTATATTGATAAGATGATTTCAATCAAGCTGTGAGGTTGAAGGTATATATGCTCCCACTGTAGCTCTCAAACAGTCTTTGAAGCCGTATGTTACAAGAGTGACTAAGTTTGAGGACCCAATTTCGTTTCTAACCTGAACTTTTTGAACAAAAACATTTTGGAACATCTTAGGCCGGTGGTTCCCAACCTTTTTTGATATATTTCATACTGGAAACTACCACTTCGTCTTTTGTACAGTTTGACTAGTTTATTATTTGTGCATGAATAGGTATATAAAAGGTATTAAACAAGTAAAAAATATTGGCAATATTACAAGCAAATACAAAATAAAATTTCCCCCCGATTGGGAAACACCAGTTGTGATGAACATTTATTTTTTCAACTGTTCTCACATGCTTACAAATACAAATTTTTTTATTTTAATCTAATTTTTTTCTTTTTTTTTCTTGCTACATCATTATCTGAGCTGATCTGTGATTCAGCAAGTGATCACCAATCCATTGGCATATTCATAAAACGTTACCTAATTAATATGGTTGACGTCCACATATTGGCTATAACTTACTTCCTTATTTTTTGACTACCAGTTTGCCCTCCCTAAGCTCTTTCACTGTCTATGTGCATGCAAATTGCATTATCATAGTCATTTATTATTGTAGAGTGAATCATGGACGTATGTGCAAACTTCATTGCTCATCACTAATGCCTAATGCTTCCTGGTGTAATTTACAGAACATGCCACTTGAAAATTTTCATTTTTTTCAATAGCTAAAAATGCTATCCGTGGCTATATGAGACTGGATTAACGGCCATTATGTAACCATTGAAGCCATTATTAATAAAGAAGTAAAATTATTTCCAAAATCTAAATTTTGAGTTGATTCATTTTTCTGATTTATTTTGAATATTTTTGCTTGTATGAGTAAATTTTCCTGTGAATTAAAAAAATTGTAATTGAGTCAATAAATAAAACTTGTTTTTTAATTGACCTGGGGCATACTGGAAATACATAAAGAAAACTGTTAACTTTTTCATATATTAATATTTTAAATTTTTTATTTATTTTAGACAAATGATCATCCATTGGGCTGGTAAAGGAAATTCCTCAATTGTTGTTCTAACGAAAGACGTTGGTTCCGAAGAGGTTGCTTCAAAGTCAAATGTGTATTTTTCTTACGATTATGGACAAACCTTCAAAGTATGTTTCTTTATATAGCACTATACAAACGGCATTGATTACCGGTAGTTGTTTTTGTGTTTCCACGATATGCTTATCTTTTATATTTTTACATTCTTTTCTATAAAATAACTTGATCTTTCTTGCAACTATTCTGCTTTATCAAATATCGCAGTGGGATTGAATTTTGTCAATTTTTATGTCTTGATTAATGATATGGAAATTGAAAATTTGATTACAATACATTCTGCAGTGAAATATGTTGCAAAACAATGAAATTTCTATCCTTATTTTCTTATTTGTTTTCAAAATTCCTGTGGTACTTATTCAAATGTCAATTTGAAATAAAAATTCATCTACGGTATTCTTATTGCTCTGAATGCTTTATGTAGTAAAACGATAATAAACACTCATTTTGGTCTGAGTTTTATTGCAATCGTATACATTACTTTTTTAACAGTTACATTTTATGTATCAAGTCAGTCAACATATTGAATAAATATTTACCTAGAAGTGATTTTCTTATGGACATATTGTATCTAGGCAGTAATACCTAGTACATTGTTATTGACTAATAAGGATTTTTACCTACTGGTGCATAATTATGTTCTAAATAATTAATTACACATAATATAGGTTTCCATTAGGAACGGTTGCCAACAAATTTGAACTCGTTCAATCTGTGTAGTTGCCATGGAATACGTTTCCATGCTATTGGTTTTAATTTGTGTATGTTAGTTTCATATATGGTTGGATTATAAGTAACTCAAATATGTTTTGCTTTATAATTCTTAGTAACAGTCAGTGTTTTTTGCGTAACACATTTGTGCCTAAGGCAGGTTAGTCGTCACATGATTCTGATTCCCACTCTCGAAACTGTTGTTTCTCTTGTATTATGAAGTCATAAGAGAAATCTATTGTCTGCAATATGAAAAAGCAATTCAAATTGAAATGTGAATATTCAGTCATCGATTTTTTTTATTTTCATCGGTATTTTTGTAGGCTTTGGAAGAGCTAAATAATCACCAAATCGATATCTATTTTTGTGTTGGATAATTATTAACTCATAAAAAATTTATAACACAATCCTATCGATGATAACCATGCTATTAGGCTCATTTTTTTCAAAAATATCAAATGAATGAATAAATTTATGTCAGTTACTTAAGTAATTCTGGATCATAGGATATGTATTACTGTTATTCGTGAACATGAACAGGGAAGTGCGATACTCGAAAAAGCTGCTTTGAGAAAATTAGTAAAATATTTTTAAACCTTCATAAGTTTTTATCAAAACACTTCGCTGACAACTGCATCATATAACTATGATCAAATAACATCTTATAGAGCTCATTGTAATATTTTCAAATAACATTTTTTGAAATTTCAACATTCACCATTTTGTCTTGAAACCTTTGATATATTGCATTCTCATTTTAAAGCTTTGAATATTTCATGATTTTAGAAGTTAGACATCAATGGAGTCGTCAGTAAATTTTACCATGCTCCAAGCAATATTAATGCATATGTGTTTGTGGATTACGAAGCTAAAAAGCTTTACACAACAGCAGATATGGGAGGTACAACAAAAGTGAGAGAAAATTTTTTTATGTTTTACTCTTATAGGTAATTTGTTGTTTTTTGAATAGCCTGACTATGATTGGGTTTTATAAAAAGAGAAAGTTGTAACAGTAGTGAATTTAATACTGGTATTCTTGATCTACTGAAATGCAATGATATTTAATTTAATATTATGTGTTATTTTACATGTCTCACATGACAGTACATAATATTTTGCCAATATATTTGCAAACACAATTTAGCGGTCTAGAAGTATGTGTACCAATATGGAGGTAACTATTTTGTTCGTTTACTTTACATCAAGTTGTGTAAAGGGATGTAAGCCTATGATCAGGGGGTATATTCACTTGGCTGACACGGACAGTCCCCGAACTCGTAATAGAAATAAAATAAGGAAAATCGGAATAAATTATGGCCTAACCTAGTACTCATACTAGGGAATACCCATAACTGTATTTTGAACTTTTTACTCATTTATTCATCGTATTAATGTCATTTTACTCCCACATCTATATATATTATTTATATGATGCTTATTCTTATCTTTGTGCTAATGTTACTAATTAGGAGGATCAAAATCTTTTTGGGGTTGCATTGCCTAACTAATTTACCACACCCTAAGTGAGGTGAGGGCATCAAATTTAAATCTGAGACGTTTAATCTCCGATGCCAACAAATTTAATTCTAAGGCTTTGATAACTAAGGGGCCTGTTGCACTGCTCAAACTTTGCATAATCACAGATCAATGCACTTTTTGTATAGATATATATTATTTTCATACACAGGTTTCATCCTGCCCGTTCACTCCAAGTTACTTGAACTTTCACCCTGTCGATTACACTAAACTGATTGGTTATGATAAAGACAGCAACAATAAATCTCTCTGGCTTTCAAGAGATTTTGGCAACACTTGGGAACAAATTCAACTCAATATAAAAGATGCCCAATGGGGACATACAAATGGAGGTTTGTATGTTTTTGATGAAATTTGTGAACATTTGTGTTTCAAAATTTTTTCTGTAGTATGGGCTATGGCACGAAAAATGTACATCAGATTTAAAAAAAAATATATTTTCAAAATACAGTTTAACCCCCTCAAAAAAACAGAAAGCCTAAACTTTGTAATTACTTGTACGAAAATGAAGAAAATTTATTTAACACTTGTACTTTTGTTTGTGTATGATTGTACCTTAAAGTTTTAGTAATCTGGTACGCTTTGCACAAAAGTTATGTTCTCTCTAAAATGTGTTTCAAAGGATCTGGGTTCTCTATTTCTGAGGTCACTTTTCACAAAAAATTTTGGGGCTCCCGAAGTATGCGAACCAAGATGGCGGACATCGGAATGTAATATGTGTATAGGTTAGGGTTAGGCCATAATTTTAGGTATAAATACTACGGGAGGCTCTTGGCTAGTCTTCTACTGATAATAGGACTAAAATAAGGAAAATTGGAAAGAAATTATCGCCCAACCCTAACCTGTTACCCATGTTACGTTCCGATGTCCGCCATCTTGGTTCGCAGACTTCGGGAGCACCAAATTTTTACTTAGAGTCATGATCTTGCTGCACAATGTTTTGGAAAAAGTCAATATTTTATTTCAACTTCTGATTCAACAAAAATATATTTAGGCCCAATTTTGGACATTATAATAGCTTAAAATTTTACTTCAGATGAACATTGATTGAATACCCATACTGGCAAGCTTTTACATCCACCAATTACTTCTGTTATATGAAAATACGTTTTTATCTTATTTTAATTCCATTTCAGGTCTTTATGATAATCCAAATACTCTTTATGTGGAACGTTTGGAACCATCCGGTAAAGTTTCAATTCTGAGAACCGAAACATTTTTCCAGCATGATGCCAAAGAAGAAGTTTTGATTTCAAACGTTGAAGACTTTGCCATTCGAAATAACTCTATCTTTGCCACAAGACGAGGAAAAATTTGTGAGTACCGGTAGTTATAATTAGTTATTCAGTTATATAATAAAAATAAATTATAGTTTGACTGTAACCTACAAATGTCTTTGTGTAGACAGAAAATATTTCAAATTAGAATTTCCCACAAGAATTCAACGTGTAAGGAAATTCTCCCCAAGCTTGTTTGCTTTGCCAGATACACAGGGTGACCCTGAAAACCGAACTCATAAATATTTTAAACACTTCTATTGGAATGAAAAAACAAATTTGAAAACACATGAACTTCTGTTTGTGTATGATTGTACCCAAAAGTTTCAGTAATCTAAGATGCTTTGCTGCAACAATGTTATGTTCTCTCCAGACCTGGGTTCTGTTTTTTGGGGGTGTCACCCTTTACTTCATCTGTTGTTTTTGCTCAAAATCGAAATGACAATTTTTTTTCAATTCTCATACTTTCTATAGTTCCAAGGTAAGAATGTGTCAAACATTTTGTCACAAAACAATTATTATTATTTTTTAAATCTGTCCAGTTGGTGACAATGATTTGTTGATTGCAATAACACGTCACGCACCATTTGTGACTGCAAACTTTCCAACAAAACTGGCAAAAAAAGAATTTTTTGTCATCGATGCCGCAGATGGTCAGGTGAGAAAAATATTTTAATTATCTTTTTCAAATCTCAGTTTATGGCAAGCTGGCGTATTAAGGACTTTTTACCCAAAAGGGCGAGTCTTTAAAAACGGGTGTTAGATCAGAACAAGGTTATCCAAACTTGGCCCTCGGTCCCCTTAGGGGCCACTGGCTAAGGCCTTCACTGGTTACCATTTGCCATGAATATATTAATTTGAAGTATGGCGCAAGAAGTAACAACTAATGGAATTGTTGTAAAAACAAAACTATGTATTTTTATAAAAGAGCACAATTGTTGAGCGTAGTTGGAAGGGGCCACAGAGCATAAAGTTTAAGAACCACTGGTTTCGAAGTTATAAGTATGACCCTTTGATTAAAGCATTTTTTGAAAAGAATATGAAATTTGAAAAAATATTTAAAAAATTTGAAATTCTGATTTGTTTGAATCGCTGTTTGCATTAATTATTGTAATTTTGAATATTTGAACCTCATTATTATTGAGGAAGGATGTGTGTCATTTTTGAATCCCTGATATGATTCAATCACTGTTTGCGTCAATTACTGTACTTTTAAATGTTTGGCCCTAAATCTTATTGAAGGAGGATGTGTGTCATTTTTTGTAATGTTTACTTTATTAAAAATCATTAACTTCATGTTTATATGCATATAAAGCTAGAAAGAACATGATTTTATTTTTTTTCATTTATTCTTTATATTTTATTTTAGATCATGGTATTAGTTGCTCACAAGTTTGGAAGAACGGATCTATACATCTCGGAACCAAATCGAATTGATTTCTCATTCTCTTTAGCCAATGTAACATATTTTAATCCAAAAGGGGTCGGAGCTACTCAGAATTTCCTGTGAGTATTGATGAAAATTGAAAAATTAAATGACATGGACATACAAATTTTTTGTAATCTTACAAACTTGAGGGTCGTATTAGAGGGTAACATTCACATACGTCCCACGGTGACTGGCGGGTTTGACACCCCCGGATTGATAGACAATTGTTTTATATATTCTGAGATTATAAATATCATTAATACCTGCCTGTGTTATTTTTCTCTGCCTGTGGTATTTTTCTCTCTATTTGCAGTTCAAGTAATAACAACTATTCATCACTAATACAAATCTGAGTCATCACATGCATTATAATATTGTCAAAATATATTAATCATCAATATGACATCATAATGCATCTAATCTGCTGTCAATAATATTATGGCTTAAGGATTATTTGTTAATTCTTTTTCTTACACTGGATAAAATATACTGGTTTTTAATTCATACAAAATGGGATCATGGTTAATTAGTAAATTATATAATAGGTGCGATAGCAATTAAAGCATTAGAATTAACTTTGTTGACATCGTTGGTTACACATCTCTGGTTTAAATCACATGCCTACCACATATCCTAACCTAAGGTGTAATAAATTGGGTGGACAATGGCGTACTAGAATAATCTCAATCTTTCTTAAAACAGTAGCTTAAAGGCGCTAATAAGCGTCCTGTAAAAATGCATTTTTTTTATCAATCGTGATCCTTATCTATTTTTACACTAAATAAAAACTCATTTAGAGTTTTAGACAAGTATAAATTTAAAATCTTTCTTTTTTAAGGATTAATCGAGACGACCGTTTTGCCGACATTCACAAAATTAAAGGACTGAGAACAATTTTCATTGCAAACACAGCTAAGACTTTGGCAGGAGGAAGTGGGCAATACGATATGTCATCCATGAAAACGTATATAACATTTGATAAAGGTGGGATATGGGAATCTGTTCCATCACCCAGAACAGATATAGATGGCAAGCCGATGTGTGAAGACAGGTAATGAAATTTATGATTTAATTAGCAAGCTGTGATGCAAAGATATATACAAGGTGGCCATAAAAACTATGCATTTCTTAATTACTATGAAAATGAAGAAAATTCATTTAACACTCAAACTTCTATTCGTGTATGATTTTACCCCAAAATTTCAGTGATCTAGGACTCTTTGCACAAAAGTTATGTTCAATGTATGATATGTTCTGTGACTCGAAAAAACAGTACCCATAGTTTTCTTAATTCTGTGAAAATTGGGAAAATTTATTTAACACTTGAACTTGTATGATTACCGGTATATCTAAAAGTTTCATTAATCTAGGCTTTTTTGCACAAAAGTTATTCTCTCATCAGAATATATTCTGTGCCCCAAAACAGCAACCATAAATTTCTTGATTACTTTTATGAAAATAGAAATAATTAATACTTGAAATTATGTTTGTGTATAAATGTGTATAAAACGCTCTGCAAAAAAGTTGTATTTTTTACAGAATATATTCTGTGACCCTAAAAAAGCACACATAAATTTCTTGATTACTTTTATGAAAATAGAAATAATTAATACTTGAAATTATGTTTGTGTATAAATGTACCTAAAAGTTTCAGTAATTTAGGACGCTTCCCAAAAAAGTTGTGTTGTTTCCAAAATATGTTCCTTGCCCCCAAAAACAGAATCCATTAACTTTTTAATCACTTGAGGAAAATTTATATAACACTTGAATTTCTGTTTGTGTATGCTTGAACCCAAAAGTTTCAGTAAGCTGGGACGCTTTGTACAAAGTTATGTCCACCCAGAATATGTTCCGTGACCCAGAAGACTGTAGCCATTCATAAATTTATTGATTACTTCTATGAAAATATAGATAATTTAATCAACACTCAAAATTCTGTTTGTGTATGATTGTATGTGAAAGTTCCAGTAATCTAGAGTACACTACACTAAAGTTGTGTTCTCTGTTGAATATGTTCCAAATGACCTGGGTTCTTTTATTAATAAGTCATTCTGTAGCTTTTAAAGGTATGTTATTCCAATAAATAATCTGCCTATCACTGGTAAAGCCTTTCTTTCTTGTGTCTGTTAAAATGATATACAGCTTGGCATTATAATTTTGTTTCCTGAGCGTTTAAATGCTACATCTCGTGATGTTTGTTAAACCGCATACAAATTACTTACAATTTTATATGCCTTTTTCCATGCTCCATGCTTGGTAAATGATAAATAAAGTAATGTGTTGTTCATTTTGATGACACACACTCATTTCCTGGTTAAGCGAAGTGCAAACTGATCCATTCGTTTCAGTTTCAAATTTTTACACAAAGGGGGTTTTGCTGTACAATTGTTTGATGCTGATTTTTCAAGTTTGTCATAAAATATTCCTGGAATGACCATACACACCACCGTCAGCATGTTTATGCAATTTTATTCATTCATGTCACTTATTTCCTTTTCCACAACTCCGCTATTGTTATGGTCATAGTCATACACATTCCATGTTTTGGGTAGGCTATATATTACTCAGATTGAAAAGTAGCATGGGAATTCTCCTAGAATAAAATTACCTAGTGCTTCCAACATCCTATATTAGACTGATTTGATTTTTTTTAATTTAATGTCTATTGATTTAAAAATTAAATTAAAACGTGTTTGCCGATCTAAGGTTGTGTATTTCCTTGATTTATACTGCTTTATCAATGTAACTTTTTATACTTACAAGACAACATGGAATATTAACAATAGCTCTATCAGTCAACCCCAAATATAGCTTTTTGATATTTCTTATTGGAGAAACGAATAAATGAAATTATTCAATTGGGTACATCTTGTTCCCACTAAATCGAGAACAATGATTCTTAACCTTTTTTCCTTTCCTTAACCTTTCTGAAATCATCACTTGATTCTCCTACCCTCATTCTAGAGTTGTATAAAAAAAGAATATTATCCTCATATTTGACTAATAATTCCGCATTATCACACCCACTAGGAACAGCTCGGCAGTTAGCGCATTGTGCTAATCGATGGAATACGCTTGCCATCGCACCCCTGATTACCCTGGATAATTATGTGCGAGGGTTGCTGGACTCCTCCACCTTGTAGGATGGTTCATGTAACTACTTACTGGTCGATAACGACTTCTTCCACCATCAAGTCCATGCATCTGAAACTGATAACTAATCCAAAACCCCACATGAAGTGGTAACCAGCTGATAGGATTTGTTTGGCCAGGTGATTAAGCCATCTTATCGGCTTCTCACCCCATCAGATCTGAGAACTCTATTCTTCTTGCACCTCTTAGTAAGAAATACTGATCTATAACATTTGATTCTTTTCAAAACTCAGGGCTCGTTAGAGAATTTACCTTTTTAAAAAAATCTTTTTCAGTTCATGCTCTCTCCATCTTACGCAAGAATTTCATCATGCACATGGAAGTGCATTGAGCTCTCTAATAATGACGGCATCTTCTGCACCTGGATATGTTCTAGCTATGGGAAATATTGGAACTAATATAAAAGGACACAGAGATCTATTCTTTTCACCAAATGGAGGAAAAGATTGGAGAGAAGTATGTTAGGCTTTGCCACTTTATTTCACCCTGGGTAAGGTGATGGGCATGGGATTTGAACCTGAAGCTTTTATCTTGTGATGCCATGGTCAAGTCTAACGTTTTATCCACTAGGCCACCGCACTGTCTAAAATGAAGATTTTGCCGCAAAATATCTTCATTATTTGAAAACCGAAATATAAATTACCATATAAATATTTGGTTATTGATTTCTCAACTTTAAAGTGGAAGACCTTGCTTTCAATCTGTATGGAGTGTTTTTTTTTTTGCAAAGCCTTACCAATTACCATTGTAATGAACAGGGAATTTCCTGGGATATTAAGTTTCGTTTTTATTTTTGGATCTCTTAGTGTCACCGTATTGATTCAAGTTTTACTTACGTTTTCATTTAGTGATGAATTTTATATTACAGTGTAAATAATAATGATGAATACTAATTAAAAGCAATAAAAATTTAAGATTTAGTAAATGTGCTATAAAATCTTTTTTGTAGTCCAGAATACTGATATTCTTTCAGCTTTCAGATATGATCTGGCTTTGAACTGTGTTATTTAATTTTTTAAAACAAGAAATTTTGTATTTTTGAATTTTTGTGTTTCTGAGATTATTCGATGTATATATTATTTTCAATATTTCAGATTCGTAAAGGTACTTGGTATTATACATGGTCAGATCATGGAGGAATAATAGCAATTGTGCCCAAGGTTAAGAAGACAAAAGAATTGCTGTACACAATTGATGAAGGTAGGCTTGAGCAATGATCCGTTAATAAAAACAAGGTTGCGAGTACTTCGTGGAATAAGTTGAAAGATGTTTTTTAATGGTTGTAATAAGAATATCCTTGTAGTTAACATGCTAGGGACTTCTCTATAATATATTGCATTTGGTATAATTCCCTTGCGCTAATGATTTGGTTCTGCGAGACTACCTACTTATCCTTCTTCTATGCTTATGTGCCGGTGGATCCGTGCATATAATGCAAGGATGCTGTAGCAAGAGTAAATATTTTCTTCAGATTGTTACAGTCTTTTCTGTGATGTTTGTAAGTGCTTTTCTTCAGATTCACTGATTATTCAAATATGCATGTAACTGCTTTTTTTTTTTCGTTGAACTATGTATGTCTGAAGAAGTCTGGCCTAGGTCAGATGAAACATTACAGAAATATATTTGTGTTAGTGTGCAGCAAGACTCTTGAATCACTTGATATAATCCAACTGGGAATTTTTATAAAGAAAATATATCATTCGAAATATTTTGAACTTTAATTAAAGATATTTTGGATAATATTTTTAATACAGTTAGTGATTTAATATATAATATGGTCATCAGTTTCAATATCGGATATAAAGATTTTGCAGAATAAACTTTGTGGCGTGCGATTCGACAATTTTTTTATATGACGTGCCTTTTACTATGAACAAGGCCTTGTAAAAAAGCTGGAATTATTTTAAAGCAACAGAATCTTCCATTTTCTGCATTGCCCACCAAATTTGCTAACCATGAGTGCGGTGGTGGGCATGGGATTTAAACTCGAGTTGTCTAACTCGACCACTAGGCCACTCAGCGCCTTTTCAGAATTCTCCAAACATTGCTCATCTGTTTACTTAATCTTTTATAAAACTCTTTATCTTCACAATTTCTATTACTTATCGTCTATATCATAGGAAAATCATGGAAAAATTTAACATTTTACAACGAAGAAATCAATGTTTATGGATTGATGACAGAACCTGGTGAAGCAACAACTGTTTTTACTGTGTTCGGATCCACAAACGACGATACTGACTCATGGGTTATTATACAGGTAAATTCAACTTTGTCACCTCTGTATGACTCTAAAATTTTACTGTTGTACTTTGCTTACTAATCGAAATCCATATGTTTCAAGATAATTTCCTGGTCGTTCTAAATTTGAACCCTTTGAATCATTGTCCTTATTCATTCATTTTGGCATATGATGTTTTTTTCATTTACATAGCTTGCAAATTCAAAAAGGTTATTTCCTGATTGAATTTTGGTTTCAAATAGACATACATCATTTCTAGGTTGACTTGCTTCACGCGTTCAAACAAAAATGCAGCATATGGCAGTATCGAACATGGTCACCGGAAGATGAAAATGGAATGTCTTGTTTATTGGGAGCTAAGTTGACTTTCCGAAGAAAGAGCACCGTGAGTTTCGTGACGGTTTTTTGGTGTTCATCCTTTCCTGCTAGAACAGTTTTGAATTTTCTTATACAACACTTTACCTTTCGCTGTGTATAAGTACAAGCTATTTAAATGTGATAAGCTATTATTTTTTTTCACCTGAAATTTTTCCGGTTCCGGCATAACTGATTTTACTTTCTCCCTTGTAATAAAACTTCCAGTTCTTTGTAATTTCACTAGGCCGTTGTGACCTCAAATAGCCATTGTGGCCTCAAATGATAACACTTTGTTCTTTTAATTGTTCCCATTAAATGAATTATTACGATCTGAATGTCACTTAGGATGTCATGTCTAAAGTGAGTCAAACAGTTCGAATCGTGTTAAAATTTGAAATATTCGATATTTTCAAATTCTTGATTTGAGAAATAATTTAGAATAGTTTTGTGTCAAAAGTTATCGTTTTAAGCTATTGAAGTCTAACAGTATATACATTTTTGACAACTTACATCGTTTTTACTATCTTTTCAATTCAATTTCAATTCAACTGAGAGAACTTCAAAATGATAGAAAGTCTGTCTGAGCGCCAGGCTAAATTTGAATTGCTTCATTACCATTACGAATTTCCTCTTTAGCTATTACTAATAAAATAAATGAGGAAGTGGAGTTTCTGAAAAATATAGAAGCAAATTTTAACAAGGATTGTGCAGTTTCAAATTTATTGGAATTAATGGAGCCTCGTAAACAAACCATTTTTTTTTAGTTTGTGGTTTCTAGAACCGTTCAACAAAGAGTATTGTACTGTTTTACTCAGCCACAGTTTACGATTATTACAAAATCACTTTTTAGTAGGAGTTGGTTTTAACAGTCTAACATAAAAATGTACATAGGCATTATACCTGATATAAAAACTAAAACAGGTACAGCTTCGAAATGCAAACCAAAATATGGTCCTTGGTCCTCAATGACATTAGTTTGAAAAGTACATTTTCAAAAGATGTAACATATGCTACTTTGGTTTGGTTTGGCGACGACTTGTTTCATACTGTGTATTTTTTACATATTTAAATGACTGTATAGCTGTTTTAAAAGATATTTATACATTCTAGTACGATCCATCTAGCTGTTACAATGGACGAGATTTTGACCGACCCACGTCCGTACTAAGCTGTAGGTGTACAAGACTCGATTTTGAATGTGGAAGGGGATTTTATCTTTCTCCGAATACGCACTCGCTTTCATGCAGAAGAGATCTAAATATGGATTACAAATCCATACCAGGTAGGTGTTTGTAATTTGTCAAATTATTGCGTGAATAATGCTTTACAGATTTTCGTATCATAAAGATTCACGTCTTTTGCTGAGAACAAGGCTCTATGTAAGTAGCCACTGATGTGAGGTGCTGCTATTATTCGAAAGGAACAGGATCTTTCTCGTTGAGCAACCAAGACACGCTGGGTGAGGGGCTTGGGATTTGAACCCGATCTTTCAAAAAATATTCATATAGTCAATCCCTCACACAGTTTTCCACGCAAATTCTTATAGCATTTACAGACGATTATTATCATCCAATATGTTCCTAGGTCCCACCTAACTGTCGCAGCGGTGCAACATACAAAAGAACCAGAGGTTATCAACGAATAGCTGGTGATATTTGTGCTGGTGGTAATGCTGAGGAGCATTATGGCCCGGTTGATGCACCATGCCCAGTTATTGAAGAAAACGAATTTTTGTTGATAACAAGCGCAGCAGGTAATGTTTCATAATAAATTCAGTATAAAGTCAGTAGAATTTGATGCCATGCATCCCACAAGTACAAATTGAGATTTACTTCGTTTAAGAGTTTTTAACTTTGCGTTCAATGTATATTTTATTTTTTTGTTCAATATATTTCACTGGTTAAAGGTATTAAGCCTGGCTGACCTATCTACCTTTTTCAATATTTAATACAAATCTGTCGATTCCCCTAAGATGGCAGGCCAAGAAATTCTTCATGTGTTCAATACCTCAGTTGAATTCTAACTGTAGAAAAACTGAAATCTGACATGGATTTCCCCTATCATGATAACTGGTCCATTCATCTCTCAACAACGAAATAAAAAGTTTATCATATTTGTATAGCGGTGAAATCGTTTTTATTGAACAAATATTTTATTGGAACATTTTAACGGGCAACCACATATGAATAAACCTTATGAATCTGTTTTGATATGAAAAACAGTCTGGCAATTTTCAACTGCTTCATTTTGTTATTCTTTGCTCTCTCAAAATACAATGAGAACTACCGTTATTGTGACAACAGAAATACAACGATCCTATTATAATATCTCTCTTTTGTATTTTGGTCCATTGAAATGTAATTTGATACATAGCACACCGCACACAATAGATAAGAAAATCCAAACGTTGCAATGTTTTTGTTATTGTTCTTTGAATTGAGTGGTGTTATTTACCTCAGTTTATTATTATAAGTTTTGAAAGATGGTCGCTCTATTTATCTTGAGATTTATGTTTACCAATTTTATAAAATACATAATAAGTGTGGTATGTTTTGAACTAAATCCTATGAAATATCAGTAATCGCAGGGAAACTATTTATTTTGAATTTAACTTTCTCGAAGCAACGGTGTGCTGGAATTAATTATGTTTAACTAATATTTCTCTTTCCCCAAGGCTGATTGATCATGAGTTAGTTCCCATTCCTGCTCATATAAGCGAACAACTTACTACGTGTCGTAATCTTGTCAATTGTGGAATCAATCATCCACAAACTGAGTAATATCCCTGGACAAAAGTTTTCGATCATGCTTTCATAATCATTTCCTAAATTTGCTTTTGATATAGTTGTAGACTAGTGATATGCACTAAGCGGGCCCATGTGCCACTGTATGGTTTTGGAAGTTATTATTGGCCCATAACATACTTTTTATTTTTTCAAGGCTTTTTCTCATTTGTAACGTCATCATAGTTAGTTTTATGGCATATTTCAGCCGAAAAATTTGTTGTGAACTCAACATGCTCAAGCCCTTGCATTGTCAACTTCGATTTAATAAAAACTGATGAGTTTATCAATAGTAATTTTATAGCACATTGCGATAAATAGTTGTACGATGTCATGGACCAGTGGCTGGTCTGAAAGAGCCACTGTACGTCACGTAGAACTTATTTACGCGGCCAATAACAGACTTATCCCATTATTTTTTGAAGATTTTTCTTACCATCAGTGATTTTGACTTTGTTCTACGTTGAATTTTAAATGAAAATTTGTCATGTCATATAACATGAAAAAGTACTTTTCTTTTGTTTTCAAATCACAGGTATCACTCGAATCGATTTGTCAAATGAAAAATCAGAAGTTTTGCCTCTTAATGTTGCATATGCTGCTGGAATTAAAAACATTGATTTCGAGTATTCGACCAATTGTTTTTATTATGCACAAGGCAGTAAAATTGAAAGAGTCTGTTTGGATGAAAAATTAAATGGTGCGAATTGTTTAATCTTTTATAAATAGAAATTTCTATTAATGACTTTGTTTTTGATATCGATCCAAAAATATCAAAGTGAAGAAAATTAGGGGTATTGGATTATTTTTTTTCTGAAAAATTTGCATTGAGCAAAATCACATGCACTCACTCACTGGTAAAAAAGACTCAATATTTTTGAGAGCCTCCAAAAAAAAACTCTTGGCATCAAACACTTCACTTGATATTTGGTGCGAAAATTGTGCATGTTTGTTGTAAATAATTTCCTAACTCTAGGAGTATGAAAGCTGTAGAGTCCGATTATAATTAACAATCGACTTCAGCTCCGAACCCAGAGAAATTAAATTTTGATAACAAAACATTAGCGAATGCAAGCCTTCTTCTGAATTTCAAACAAAAAAATTGACTTTCATTATCATTAATAAAAGTATTAGATTTTGTCTCTGTGGTTATTGAAATTTTACCTACTGGAGGTTTGAAAATTTTATTTCTGTTCCAATGATAATGTGCAAAACTCGGACTCCACATCTGCGAACCCCAGATTGAGAACCCCTGGTGTAGAGGGTACACCGACAGTCATCAGGAAGAGATCTCAAATCCTATGTTATTACATGTTTTTTTCCCTTTAGATAACAGGACCATTGTTTCCGAGAGCCAATCGATAACATCAATGGCATTTGATTGGGACTCTAAGAATGTTTATTGGGCAGTATCGTCGTCTCCTCCTAAAATCAAGGTTATGAATCTATATTCTGATCTCCAACCTACACAATTCACAAGAATTCTGGATGTGAATTCTTCATTGATTCATCAACCAACTTCAATGGCGGTTTACCCAAGAAAAGGATACCTCTTTTACGCAGGTATGAATTTCATCACGAACAATGGTGTATAATTTTTCGATATAAAAGTATTTTAAATGAGTTTTGTTAAATGAATTTGAAAAAAACTTTCCAATTACTCTGATGATGGAGACTGTCATTTATTTACTAGGTCTAGGTGTATAAAGGTGTATTAAATGGAACTTCAATAAGCACTAAAAAAACAAAAATAAACCTGATTGAGTTATTAAGAACTTCATAATAGAATTTTTATTTTTTCTCATCACAATCATATCATTTTCTATTACAGATACTGATCGATACAACACAGGTAGTCATATTATTCGTGCCAATCTTGATGGAACAAATGCAACAACAATCAGTTTTGATTACTCGTTACGATGGTATAGTTCTCTCACAGTGGATGAGGGATCGAATCGCTTGTACTATATATCAAAAGGATCATACTTTTCCAAAATTGCATCGGTTGATTTGGATGGCAGAAATCAAAGATCTATTCTTTATGGTATTACTTTCGTTATATATTTTCCTGTCATTTCTTTTTTGGGTACTCCCAAAGTATGTGAACTAAGATGGCGGACACCGGATCGTAGTATGTGTACCAGATTAGGGTTAGGACATAATTTTATCCCAATTTTCCTTATTTAGTTCTATTACGAGTTCGGGGACTAGCCAAGTGACTCCCGTACTATTTGTACCTGAAATTATGGCCGATCCGGTACACATACTACGTTCCTGTGTCCGCCATCTTGGTTCACATACTTCGGCAGTACCCTTTTTGTGGTTGCAATGGGCTTGTGCAGTGGTTCCCAACCTTTTTCGTCAAATTCCCCCTTCGTCTATGCAGGAACCCTTCATTCCTCCTGCAATACGCATAAAACTACTTTATTTGTTCTATCTTTAATGAATCCTCAGGTAGTTCATTAGCACTCATGCTTCTGTACAGTTTGAGTAGTTTATGTGTGCATAAACAAGCAATACAGAAATATTATTTGAGAATATTAATAGTTACTACACAAAGTAAGAATAAACAAAATTCCTCCCGAGAATGAAAAAATTCCTGTCTGGGGAATTCTCCTCCGGTTGGAAAGCATTGGTCTAGTGTTTAGAGCGTTAGATTGAAATGTGCTGGCATCACAATACACTCGGATTTTAATCCCATGCTTGTACTTGACCTTGTTCAAAACGAAAAACGTTAATATCAGTACTTATTGAGTGTTTCGGGATTTCATGACTTTAAATTTTTAATAATACATAGCAAGCGTCAAAACATTACTAATTAATGTCATTTCCTTTACAATTATGTAATTCTGCAAGTGAAATTTGCATAGCACAATCACGTTCAAATTATTTTGTAATCCTATATATATATATATGTAATTTTATTGTGATGAACTGATGGCCAACCTTTGATGTTCATGCTAATTGATAATCGGTAAACAACATCAAATTCTGGTTGTAATTAAATTTTAAATCTGTACCTCAAGAATTTCCAATTTGTCTCACATTTAAAAATGCTTCCTAACAAAGACTGCATTAATGACAACAGCAGCGATTTTTCTAAATGATCCATTGGGATTGATGTTAATAGGCCAAAAGTATTGAATTCTAGTTCGATTTAAATTTTCAATCACTACTTTGCGGATTTACAAATTTTTTCCATCAAAAATGTCGCTCAAACAACAACAACCCTAACGAATCAGCACAACAATCCGCGTCCAATACCTGAATATTTTTTTTGATATTCTTAGATTCTCAAGTCCGGGCAGTGGTGACTTTCAAAACCCTTCACTTATTACTGGAGAGAACCGGGAGATCTTCAACGAGGAGATAAATTTGGATATCCAGCAAATCATACTGTCGCATTTAATCTAAAAGATGTCGGAGCACTAACGGTGAGAATTGTTTTGCACTTGCATGTTTGTTGCAGTGAAATATCAGTAATACTGCTTGAAATTTTTGAATGTTTACATATGACTAGAATTATATCACTTTATATCCCAACCTTTTTGTATATATTCCTCCCATTGAATTTTTCGAAACCATTTATTCCTCCTTTACTTTGCATGAAAACTCTGCTTCCGTTATTTGTTTAACCTAGTGTTATTTGCAATTCACAAGAATACCAAATGACTGGATAATATTAGTAAAACTACACCAAACAAAGTAATGATTCTGTAATTTCTATCAAAAATTTTCCTCGGTTAGGGAACGCACTGGCATTTAACTTTGTTCTTCAAGTATTCAAAAACGGCGATACTAAATATTCAGTCTGTAATAACCTGTTAGGCAAATATTTCTTTCGACTGAGACAGATAATTACGTAATAGGAATTTATGCCTCTGGCTGCGTAATTTTTGAGATGTAACAGATATACGATTTGGACTTTTTATGATGTAATATATATTTAAAGCGGATTATAAAATTTCGCGAAAAGAATAGATTGATTTTTGCGGTTATGAATTGGTGGTGACTCGTATTCTTTGAAATGTTTTGTTTCGAAAGCTTTTATATTTTTGTTTCAATTTTCACTTCGGCTGAAATGTCTCATTAGGAATGACCGAATCTTGTACCAATCAATATGTTTGACTTATAATTAATTATAAGCATAATGAAATATTTAAGTTTTTATCGACTGAGACTGAGTATTTATTAGTCTTGTGTTTTGTCACTAAGCAGCGCATTAAAAGGCTACTTAAGGAAATGATTGCTAATTTTGATGTAAAATCGTGTTCAATTTCATGAAATAGACTGTAATTTGTAGAATCGAACTTTTTATCTTAGGAAGATAATATCAATACATACGGTAGCAACAAATATATCAAAATCAGCGATTAATTTCCGAAAACCATATAGATGATTTACATTTTCACACGCTCACATTGTGAATTTGGGCCAGCGTGGACATCGCTGTCGCAAAAACAGGCTAGATAATAGGCAAATAGTCCTGCTATGTATTTCCAATGCACATTGCGAAGCATCATAAAATTTGAAGTAATCGTGGTATTTTGTCAAATATCAAATTCAAATAATCATACAATTGCCGATTATCAAAAAGTCGCTAATTGCTCACCTCAACATAATACATATAGAATTTCATAAAGTTTTAAATTCAATTTATTATTCATAGATTGTGAGAAAAGGACTTCAGGTATATCCAAACAAATGTGGCAACAGAACATCAAAATGTACTCAGTTGTGCATTCCGGTTGCTGCACAAAACAAGGTAAATTGTATTTTTTTAAATTTTCCCACATCCAACGTTAAATATATTGATACCGTTTTTATTAAGGTCTATATTTGCTTATTCACTATCCTAAATATTACATCATACTTATAAAAACATTCTGTCGTGTTATTATGTATTATTGCTTGATGTCAAATGTTTCAGCTAATAATAATTTGAATTGAATTGAATAATTTCTGACAAATTTTCAAGGTCTTTAATGAAACTTACTTAGGTAAATGTCAAATTAAGTTTCGTGGGTACGTCCTCTTGAAAACAAAATTAATTTTATTCATTTTTTAAATAAAAAAAACATTCTTTTTATTTATATTAGGATAAAGACGCAGTTGATAAATGTTATTGCGACAACGTCAATTACTCCCCAGACAAAAAAGGACATTGCGCTTGCCGAAGCAATGAAGTTTTGACACCAAGTGGCCAATGTGAGGTAAGATTTAAAACTTATTTCTAACACATTCTCTGCTTATTTTCTCTTCTTTTTTATATAATCTTCTCTCCAAACAAGGCTTCACACAAGCAGCCTCTAATAGTTAGGAGAAAACATACTTCGAAATGACCAGAATCTACTCAATTTATTACACTCTGAATGAGGGGGTGGGCATGATGGGATTTTAACCTGTGATACCAATATAGTTAAATCTCACACTTTAACCACTTGATCCACCTAACAAGATTGTGGACAAGATCGGTCATTGGATGGCGTAAAAATATCTTTTATTCAACAGCCTAATACGACAAGCTGCAATACGAATGAATTCCGATGCAGTGATGGTAGATGTATACTTGCTAGTTGGAAATGTGATCATGCTAAAGATTGTGCTGACGAGTCTGATGAAATCAACTGTCCATATGAAAAGTGCAAAGGTAATTAATAATTCAATTTAAAATTTATTTTTTGAAATATTTTTCTCTGAAAACTCGATACAAATTTGTGAATAGTCAACATACATTTTTCAACAAAAAATATTTCTTGTATGTACAGAAATCCGAGGGCTTTGATCTAGGCTAGGAGTATATATTTTTTGTTTTAAGCTGTTTTAAGAAAATGGGAAAAATTTATATTTCTGATTTTTAAACTCGTATAACTTTTATTGAAAAACAGAAATTTGAGAAATTCAATTAAATGTACAGAAATTCGAGGGCTTTGACAAAAGGTATTTTTAAGAAAATGGGGACAATTTATATTTTTGATTTTAAACTTTATACAACTTTTTGAAAAAACTGGCGAATATCACTTCAAACTATGATTAGACACTAGGTGGGTAGATGATGACATTTCATTATAAAAATGTCACATTTATTGAAACTACCCCAAATTCAAATTCCCTTTCATATTTTTATAAAATGCACATTTATACTTTATATGACCATTTATAGGTTAGGCTAAATTTGGGTATTACAAATTCTAACCAATTTCTCTTTACAGTTTTAGCTGACTTTGCATACTGCAATAATTACAAGTCAAGCCTGTCAACTTACTTTTTCACAGATTCCAATTCTAATTTTATTAAAACTAATATATAAATTAAATATGACTGGTTCACAGAATTCTGAACTTGAATATTTTATCTTCATTCTAGTGGGGAAATAATACTGAGTTACAAGTTATCTTCTGTTGACTTGGTGTAATCTTTAGCACTACTGACCAATGACTACATTTTACAAAAGCCAATAGAAATGTGACTATTTTCAAAATGATCATTCATATGCCTGAACAAGACTCTGCAGAGTCTGCACTAGCACCCACTGCTATTCGAGGAGCTATTATAGTTTGCCTGGACATGGGATTTTAACCCGAGATTATAAATTGTGATGCCAACACAGTTCAGTCGGTACTCCCGAAGTATGTGAACCAAGATGGCAGACACTGGAGCGTAGTATGTGTATCGGTTCAGGTTTATGCCATAATTTCAAGTACAAGTACTACTGGAGTCTCTTGGCTAGTCCCCAAACTTATAATAGAACTAAAATAAGGAAATTGGAGTAAAATTATGGCCTAACCCTAACCTGGTACACATGCTATGTCCCGGTGTTCGCCATCTTGGTGCTTTTTGATTTTGACACTGTTATGTAGTAATGTAAAATCTAGAACTTTTTATTATCAAAATTTCTTTATTGTTTAGCAAATTTCACCGCATGCAAAGGGTCGTCCTATTGCGTGAACAACAAGTGGTTATGTGATGGACAAAAAGATTGTGCCGACGGCTCCGATGAAGATGGTTGTCCTGATGTTCAATGCAATTCTACTACACAGTTCAGCTGTGCTAATAAGCAATGCATCAATATCCAGTATGTGGTTGCTTTGTAATTTTTTGTTCATCGAAAACTGTCATTACCAAACTTTTTTTTCGATAAATCCCTATTTTTACCCATTTACGAATTTTTTTTATTTCCCCTTCATGTTTAAAATTGTGTTTTCATTATTGGTTCAATCTTTATTAGATTGTTAGCTTAGCTGGTCACACCATGGCTTTTGCTCAGTTTGATTACTTTGTTAATGTGTCTTCAAATAATAATATTATAAATATAATAATATTGAAGGAATGAATAATATCAATGGAACCACACCAATACAAAGTAATTTTTCCTTGCCAAGAACACCAATCTCTGTCCGATTTGTATGTGAAGGTTGTGTGTCATTTTAATAACCAAATGAATTCACAAAAGCCAGCTTCAAAACACCATGCCTGTTATTAACATCATTCACTAAAAATATACCAGTCATACCGTTTACATTATGATATGCACTGATACAAGCCAGCAAATATCATTTAGATTTATTCTCTATGGGAGAGCAATGAAGCAGAATAGCCCAAAATAACTATTGCTGCTATTTCACGCTACTTTGATACACCAGTCAAGACGGCGTGAAATACTACTTAAAAACCGATAGCACAATAATCATATGTCTTTGATCTGAACAAGGCTCTGCATAAGCTGGCAGCCACTATTTGAATGATTGGAATTTTTTCGCTTCGGCGTTGCCTCACTAATTTATTGCATTTATTGAGTGATGAGACATGGAATTTTGATCTGTGATGGTATCATAGTTAGTTTAACGTTTTATCCGCCGGGCCACCACAGCAATTACTGCGATACATCAACACTTTACAGCAGTAGTTCCCAATTGCGGCCTGCGGGCTAATTAAGGATTGCGTAACGATTTGATATGGCCTGCCGAACTTAAGTGAAATAGTTTAACATTTTATGTTTTTACCTTTTTGCGTTCTAGATACCGCCGATTGTTATGTCATTATCACATTCCAAGCATGTATATATTCGTAACAATTCAATTATACCGTTATCTCAACTTTACGTACTGGTACTGCCGCCTTGCGTCGTTCCCCCCTCCCAGCCCGCGAATATCCTTACGCTTCTAATTTCGGCCCTGGCCCCCGGGCATTCAACTTTGGGAATCACTACTTTACAGTCTGACAGTGAATTCATCATATGTAGCTAATATACTCACTTTAAGCATTAACATTTTATAATTTTTATAGTCAAGTTTAAAAAAGCAACAATAAAATAGTCATTGACCACTTTCAATTGTGTAACCAAAAAGCTATTCATGCAGCATTCTTTGAAATTAAATTGTCTTTTCACTCTATATGATGTCTTCCAACCTGTTATTCTTTACCCTTTTCATCCAGATACAAATGTGATGGTGATTATGATTGCGATGACAGATCTGAATGAGTTGAATTGTGGCGGAGGAACTTCAGAATGTAATTCTGATTTATCGTTTAAATGTCAAACAAAGTAAGTGTCATTTTCAAATGTGAGTCACACTTGTATTTCTGACAGACATATGTTTTTACACAACTCTTTACGCTTTTCGCTTCGAACATGGAGGCCCTATACAAGCGGCCACTGATATTTGAGGAGATACTATTATTTAGAAGGACCAAATTTTTCCTGATTCTGCATTGCTTACCCAATTTAATACATCCTGGGTGATGTGAGGCATGGGTTTTGAACCCCGAAATGTGTGATCTGCAATGAAAACACAGTTAGTTCTAATGCAGAGATGTGCAACATTTCTTGTCGGGCCATATAACCCCCAACTCCAGACATCTAGCTGGCCCACAAAAAAATTGGTTTTTCCATGGACACAATGAAAAAAAAATAGCTCACCTGTCCAGTAATAAAGGCACCGGGCAAAATGGCGAAAGATTTAATGCAGCGACAGGGGCAAAACTCATTACGTATTTTCACCCATGGGAGCAGAGCGCCTTTTCAATCATAAACTCATATTATGATTTTATGCTCGATGGGGAAAAAGGGTTTGGTAAGGGCCACACTAAATGGCTTGTCGGATCGGGTTGGGCCGCCTGTTGCACACCTGTGGTGTCTCATGCTTTGACGGTTTGGCAATGCACTACATACATAATGTTGTTTCAATCCTAAATTACTTTAAGATTATATGGAGATAGATGTGTGCCCAAGATATGGAAATGTGACGGAGAGGTTGATTGTGATGATGGTGCCGATGAAAAAAATTGTGGTAATAACACGTGTTCAGAATATCAATTTGGGTAAGTTTTTTTGCTTTTTTGGATGCTATTTTGAGAAAAAAGAGAACTTTTAAGAATCTGAAGGTTAAACTTGTATTTGTGTTTCCAATGTACTTTTCTGTAAATCTTGATATCTGTTTTTTAGGATAATTTTTATGAACTCCAAAATCTAATTTAGCGGACTTTAACCCAAAACTTAAAAAATGTGAAAACAATATTTTTAAGCTCTCGTAACTTTGTTTGAATACTGTGGTTAATATTGCTTCAAGCTTTGTTTGGATGATACCAGTTTAAATAGTGCCTATGTATTTGCAGAATCTCAAAAAATCTTTTTTAAAATTTTAACATTCGGCGCTCCAGAAGTATGTGCACCAAGATGGCGCACAACCTGGTACACATACCAAGTTCAAGTTGTGCGCAATCTTGGTACACATACTTCGGGAGCACCCAACATTCTTATGGCTTATTCTGATCAAAATTTTCCTGGTGTTAATAACTAGAATATTTTCTGCCGCCAGTTACTTTCGAAAAAATATTCATCCAGAAATTCCAGTTGTGAGTATTTGAAAAAAAAATATGCTTGTAAAAACCTGGTAAAATTGATAAAATGTCACATTCTTTATAAATTATTCTTTTTCTTTGCCTTTCATTTTTCTCACATATTTTACTGTTATACAAGTTATTTATCCAATTCATAATTCGTGAATTTTCTTTAGATGTGGAGATGGAACGTGCATTTTTAATTTCTGGAAATGTGATGGCGATAATGACTGTAATAATGGTGCCGACGAAAAGAGTTGTCCATGTTAGTATAAAACTGTAATATCTTAGCTTTCTCAGAATGTTTACATAAAAAATTAATTGCATCATTTAGGAAATGTCTGTAAATTTTATAAAAACTATCGAGTCTTTAAGGGATAGGACAAGATGTGGATCCGGACTTTGATTCAAGTCGAATCCACACATTTTTGGACTTATAATTCAATATTGATTTACAAAGGCTGTCAGTTAACAAGAAAGCCAGCTTACATTTCTATGTTATAGACCAAATAACGAAGTTCAAATATATTTGAACTGTTAAATTCTGGTACAATCAAAGGTTCCATTTCACAACAGTCCTTTTTTATCAGCTACAAGCACCACCCCAAAAACAACAACATCGCTTCCCTTTGGACATGGTAAATGCACTGTGACAGAATTTCAGTGTGAAAATCATCCTACTTGCATTCCACTACAATGGAAATGTGATGGTACTAATGACTGCGGAGATCATAGCGATGAATATGATTGCCAAGCGCCAACAACTTCGGGAAATTCATCAACGGGAGCTCACACTTGTTTCAATTCCATCTTCCAATATAAGTAAGTAAATGTTGACTTTCAATTTGTAATCCTGTGTAAAGCTTACGTTAGTTACGCTTTTCGCTCCGAACAAGACTCTGTACAGGCAGCCACTGATAACTAACGATATAGGAGGAGCTATGATTCGTAACTTTAAAAATAAATAATCTATATTGCTCATTCAAATAAAAATAATTGTTACTCATTTTTAGGGATTTTTAATGTTGGTGCTACGGGTTAAGCATTAGGAATACGCTTGCCATCGCACCTTTACTTGCAGGTTTGAATACTGTGGGGGATAGTTATGTGTGAGAGGATTACTGGACCCCAGTTCCGTGGTTCACATAATTGCTGGTCAGACTGGTAACCATACCAGAGACCGTGGTCCAGCATATGATTAAGCTATCTTATCGGCTTTTCTCTCCCGGATGTTAAATAGGAAAATCTGATCCTGTCCTATCATGGTATTGTTGATTGACGAGTAGTAATCTCTGAGCAAATGTACGAATTACCATTGAGATGCAAAAAGCTAACGATGCCACATTGACTATTCGTGGTGCATTCATTACCCACCTGTCAATGCTGATTACGTGATTAGCGAGAGACTTGAGTAGTTTGAGGTAATTTGACCGGGAAAACAGCTGTGGGGTAGTGAAGTTCTCAAAAAAAAAATTTTAGGGTATGGCGACAATAAATTTATGAGCTATTCTGTCAGATTCAATTTTCAACTTTCAATACTTATTTTGAAATATATATTTTTGTAACAGCTGCAATAATGGATTATGCATACTCTCATTTTTTGAATGCGATGGTGACAATGACTGTGGGGATTGGTCCGATGAACGTCACTGTCAAAATTTTCCAGATCATCACAACCATCCAGGATGCTTTTATGGAAATGGATTTGATTATGCAGGTATTTGTGGCTTGATTATGGATGGCGTTTCTAAGTTTATTCAATCTAAAACTTATGACAAGTTGCACTAAAATTGTGCTGTTTTTGCGTTTGAAGAGATAAAAAATTACACGTCACTGAGAGCGAAAACCGCTGACTAAATTCTAGCATTGCGTCTTTGCTCGTCTCCGTTTCAACATTGAATTGCGGCGATGGCCTTACCCCCGTGTCATATGTAGTAGCACTAGAACGATGAGCCCACTTCAATCAATCCTGGTGGTGTATAGATACAATGATGTCAATTGTTAAATTCTGATATGACTTAAACTTGTATTTTAAACGATTCAGAAATATTGTATTATTATTTGTATATCATTTTCAAACACTTAAAATCAGTTATGGAGCGACTTTTGGATTATTTTCTATGCGCAATCTGGGTAACCATAAGTTTCTTAATACTTTCTGTGAAAATGATAAAAAATTGAACCCTTTAACTTCTGTTTGTGTATGATCGTAATTCAGTAATCTATGACACTCAACGCAAAACTCATGTTCTCTCTAAAATATGTTTCAAATGACCTAGGTTCTGTTATTTGGGGTCACATTATATAATATAACCAAATTTCAATTTACTTTACCAACATCTATCGATGCAAGCATTGAAAACATAGCGTACTAATAAAACAGAAAATCTTTGTTTGAAATCGATATTATTCATAATTTTGCAAGCATAAAATGACCAACCTTTATTTTCTTAGGGACCAGAAATTACACAAAAAGTGGACGAACGTGCCAAAAATGGTTGAAAAATTCTCCCCACAAGCCTCATTACTGGCCACAGGATCGGGATAATAACTATTGCAGAAACCCAGATAATGATGGATATGGACCGTGGTGTTATACCACTGATCCAAAGAAAAGGTATGGGGATGATGCTGTGAATATCCAGTGTAAAGATCAATTTGATTCATAAATATCCAATTGAATCACATACTTGAATGCAATCAAAATTGATATAACCGGTTTTCGATATCTTACAGACCATAAGACACATTTTTAAATACTTTTTTTAGTCTTCATTGCCTTAACTCAAAACCAGTACCGTTACCATTGTTTCATAAACAAACCGGCAATTTACATTTTTTTTGATTATATCAATAATCATAAAAATATTAAGATTTTTTTGTTTATTGAGCTTTTTACAGTTAACCGATACTCTTTAAAAACTGCCGCGTCTTATTGTCGGGCGCACCCCGTGTATGTACAAAACCCCCATCTAAGCAGTTTATTGATGGTGCGTCCTATAACCAGGTGTGGCTTATGGTCAGTGAAATATGGTAGTAAATTCCTGATTTTAGAGATATTCCCTATGTGACATGGTCCGGTAATCACACAAATAGTCGTTGTTTGCCGTCCTATCAGCTTCCCTTTCATTTGTAATAAAATGGAAATCCTATCCTAAATCATTCGTTAAATTTTTACAGATGGGAATATTGTGGAATACCTCGCTGTGCCAATTCCTCAAAACCTATTGTACCTGCCCCGACACCTGAACCCAATCAGTGCCAGGATGGCTATTACTCTTGTGGCCAGGACAAATGTATCCCTGACAGATGGGTCTGTGACGGAGAAGACGACTGCGACAATCAAGCAGATGAAGACTGGTGTAATTTCAAATGTGATGCAGCACGTATGTATCGTTAAAGTATTTATTTTCAGTCTCCGGTCCATTCCAAGCCATACTGTATGTAGTTTAGTGGGTTTCGATGTAATTTGCAAGTTATTAGTATACTGGTACAATATTCGTCATTCATACTTAACAGCAGCTATTACTATTGAGAGTGCAGACGAATGCTTGCGCATATAGTTTTAATACAAGATTAGCTGAATGTGACAGTTCCTCTTACATGATTTTGTGTCTAGATATTTGTCATTTTTGATCAACTGTGGTGTTACAATGACTGTTTTACGATGTTACTTTTTTGTACGTTCTGAGCAGCACGAGGATTTAGTAAAATAACGGAGAAGGCTAAGTATAAAAACATTTGCGGAGCACCCAGGCGCACAGTTTGATGTTGTCTAGTGTAATCTGATGTTTACTCTCTTTTCTCAGTTGAGATGATGTGCAAAAACGATCGATGTATTTTAAAAACGCTAATGTGCAACGACGCAAATGACTGCGGAGATAATACAGATGAGGCAAGTTGTACTCATGCTCATGCTCCATGCAACTCAAACACAGAATTCAGGTAGTATTGCAAGTTTTCAATACTCATTGATTGGCTAGATTCTTAGAGACTGTAGGATGGTTCACATAACTGCTGGATGGTATCAGCTTCCTCCTCATCAATTCCATGCATCTGAAACAAATATCGGACTTACTGAACCTATACCCTGCATGAACTTGTAATCCTATGAGAGCCCGATCATTATATGATTAGGCTATGTGTTTGACTTTACTCTCACCGGGATGAATATGGAAATCATACTCAAGCCTCTCGCCCCTTTGAATGATGAAATTTTTTATGCATGCTGAAATTTACATTATTGAAAAAAAAAACATGGGACCGAATCTGTTGTACTATTATTACTAACAGTCAAAAGACATTCCCATGTCTACAAACTAATTTTCATTTGTTTCAACTTAGGTGTCCTGATGATGGTAAATGTATTGCGAAATCAAAGGTATGCAACAATTACTTCGATTGTCCAGATCATTCAGATGAACACAATTGTACCTGGATCAACCATTTCTACTTGCCCTCGGTATTTTACCCATTGCATTGTTTATTACTTGTATTCAGTGGCGCAGCCAGGGGGGGTTTTCGGGGTCGAACCCCCCCTCCCCCCTTTGAATTTTCTGAAAAATGAAAAAGTTCCCGATAACACTGCAATTGCCTTCTGCTAAAATCGCCGTTAAAAATTTCGTGTGCCTATGGCGCACATTATGTTTGGTCGCCGTTTAGGAACATACCGTCACTAAAATCGAAACACGGTTAATTGTGGTGGAATTCCCCTTTAAACCATTACTTTAAAATTGTCGTAGAAAATTTTCGTGTTATCATTAAACAAGGTTGAAAACGCAATTTTTTCCCGGTTTGGATGATATATATATATATAAGATAATTAATCCGAAGTATATCCATCAATTTTTATTGTACTGAAATAAATTTTACTCCATGAGAATTTACAGCAGATTTAGGTTTTTTTTAGGAGGTTTTATCTTTAAAAATAATCGGAGTGTCAGCATTGCAATTGAACGGAGTCAATGTTACAAGCACATCTCAAATTTGTCGAATTTGCAAAATAGAAAAAAATACGGAACAAAACAATATATGATAGGTGACGGGCAGTTACCACAAATTTTATTTTATGTCGGCAAATGGCCGAGGTATTTTAAAATTGTGAATTGTAAAAAATTGTTTTGTTTTGTCGACGCAAACGCTGGTTTAAATTTGAAGACAATTAAATTAATAAAGCAAGACATTTTAAATATGCCCTTATCGGTCACGAATTGATTACTTTGCACAACAGAAAAATCATTTTTCGTTGTAAACGTCGGCTCTTTAACTAAGTGGAGTAATCCCGGCGATGAATATGTATTTTCGATTTAACGATTATACTTCATATGCATTTTCATTGTACGAAATAAAATTGTACTTTTCGGGATTTTATATGAGTTATTGAGATTTTGTAACGGCGATAACTAGTTGGGAAGATTCCAAAAATACGTATTAAAATTAAATACTCCATTTATCTCATATTTTTATTGTCCACCGATCGCTGTGGCATTTCAGAGAACTAATGTTTTAATTTTGACGTAAGAAGAAGCAACGTGAGTTACGTTGGACACAATTAAACTAATATATAAAGACATTTTAGAATTTTGTAGTGGTCAGAGATCGAATATTTTCATGCGCAAGAATAATCATTATACGCTGAAAAGACGTCCCTTTAACGAGCGCGTAATGCGAAGACTGTTACAGACCGCAATGGGAATTCATGATTATGAACCCCTCCCCCCTTTTGAAAATCCTGGCTGCGCGCCTGCTTGTATTGTATTTATTTCTTTAGAATCCTACTTAGAAACGAAGGCCAAAACGATGTAGTATCAAATCTATACAGTACCAATAGTGTGACCACCAAATTACTTAGATATGAAACATGGAACGCAAATTTTAATTTTGATAATGTCATCATCAGACAAAATATTGAGATTAAAACGAACCCCATGCAATATTAATTTCCATAATTTGCAATACAAATAAACCTTAATTCACACTTGTCAAATTGGGAAATAATTCACATTAGATAATTTTGGAATTATCCATTCTGTTGAATGTGCACCTTCTGTTATTCTTCTATTTTTGAATTTTCAGATGTTGCCATGTGCAGATTCAGGCAAATATATACATGTGACAGACAAATGTAACTACTTGGTGGACTGTCCTGATGCAAGAGATGAGATTGGATGTACAGTAAGTCTTTTTTATGGGGTCAAAATAATTTAAATCTGCTGCGAACTAATTATATTTTATGTGGTATATTTATATGCATTTTGCTGCGAACAAGGCTCTGCATAAGCAACAACTGATATGTAACAAGCTACTTTTTGAAAGACCAGAATAATTCCGTTTTGACATTGTCTACCCAAGTTATTACATCCTGGGTGAGGTGACAGTCATGTGATTTGAACCCAAGATTTGAATCTGCGATGCTATCATATTTAAATCTACCACTTTGATCACTAAGTTTCCGCTGTTATTCCATCTTAATTAAACCTTGTTGGACACTGAGTGTACCTATTGGATCGTTTTATTATTATGTTGTTGATGTTGGTGAGGATGGTATTCTTTTTCATGCTGGTAATGTTGCTATGAAGAACTCGCTTTTCTCTTTAATTACTGGATCGATCAATTGTTTTGAAATTTCCAGTGGATAAAGGTTGTTGTTGTTGCTAAGAGGATATTGCTTTTATTTATTCGAGAATTTATGTGGGCCTCATGGGATTCGTTTTTCATCTTGTAATTTTGTGTGTTGACGTCAACTGAATCAAAAATAAAAATTCATTGTAGCCTCCTGCTTAGCAAAATTTAGAAGTTTTTTGGGGGGTACTGTAAACTTCGATACCTGCACTGTAAAAGATTTGATAATAGAATTGTGACTCGGATTATTAGGTATTTCAGTTCACATTGAAACTGGAAGCATGAATCATCATCGTCTCATGACCTGGAAAAAGGTCTGTCTGTCTGGTACCCTGATACTGGTACTGATAAGTTACCCTATGTATCTGTTCCACAGTTCTAGCTACGTTCAGGATATCATTTTCGGGGAATTCAGGGTTGATGAAAAAAATTGTGAATTGTTGTTAAAAAATCGTTTCGCCCTTCGTGTTCATATACTTAAGCATTGCTCTCTTGTTTTTAGGATCACATCATCCCATTTTTATCAGTTTTCGACTGTTCAAATTATCTCGATGACTCTGCGTGTGAGAGACTTGACTGGAAACCACCTCAAAAACCAGTTCCATCAACACTTACTAGCCAAGCAAAATATAGGATTTATTACAGTGAAACTTTTATTTCATCACCAGATGAAGACAGCATGAAAAATCTACCTGCGATTTCACCAAAAATTACTGAAACCACTGCTAAAATAAAAGGTTTGTACAGTTTTATAGCACTTATTGGACACGAAGTGGACCTATGGACCGTTTTGTTATTATTTGTTGTTGTTAGTATTTTTCTTCTTGTTGTTAACGTATGAAAAAATTGTTTTCTCTTTGACCACTGGACCATTGCTCAGAAATTTTCTGTGGTTAAAAATTGTATTTTTCGTTACAAGGCTATTATATTTATTTCTTTCAAAAATTTCTGTGGTCTCTATAAAAGATTCGTTTTTTGCATGCAATGACGGCATCAAAATTAAAAATCGCTCTCCTTGTGGTTCTGTCTTCGCGTTACTTTTTTTGGTCTCGCGAAGTCGTGAACTGTGGTATCGGTAGGCTACTGCAACCAGGGGCGGACACTTTCCATAATTTTCGCCTACCGAAAAACACCGTGCCGTGTATTGTCACGTAACAATAACCTGTCGATGTCATTCTCTAAGTATTAGAATGTCAATTTGCTATTCATATATCGAATACCTGGATTCGATAAATTTGAGATGTACTTGTAACACTGACTCCGCTCAATCGCAATGCTGCCACTCGGATTATTTTTAAAACTAAAACCTTTCGCTTTTCAATCAAAAAATATAGATCTCGGATTTTACTCCTTCATTTGTCTTTAGAATCTCACCGCCGATAAACTTCTAAGAATTCTTGCCGCGTTCATAATTCCATGCTAATACAAAAATAAAATAATTATCATAGTCATCGTGTCACAAATTTGTGGAAAATTTTGTGATTTAATGAGAATAAACGCCAACGCAACAGGTCACAATGATGAAAACAATCGGCGATTTTAGCAAAAGGCAATTGAACGCGTTATTGGCGACTTTTTCAGTTTTTAAAAAACTTTGGAAGGGGGGTGTAATTTTTTCAGATAGTTTCTGTCGTCTGAAAAGTCGAATAAGCGTTTTGACATAGTAATTGCTTTGATATTTGCCCGCAAATTATGCTGGGTCTTGCACGAAATCCATGACGTGAAAAGATACGTCCAGCGGTGAAAATTGTTTATAACAACTTTAAATCTACCGTATTTATTCAATTATAACGCGCACTCGTGTATAACGAGCACCTTTAAATTTTGAATGAAAATTGGTATAAAATTCTTTTTTTTATTTTTTCTCTACTAACTACTGGTAAGCCTCCCTCGCCGCGCTTTCTTTGTTTTGTTCATATCTTTTAGAACAACTTTCTGCTTTCTCCAATTTCTGACATTTGTCTCTGGTACATTGAATTCTCTAGAAGCTTTTCTATTTCCATGAGTTTCCGCATAATCAACAACCTCCAGTTTGAATGCAGCCCTATATGCAGAACGTTTTTGTCTTGCCATAATAGATAATGGGTAATATATAATGGGTATCTACAGAACAGTACGATAATGGCAAATAAATATTCTCAACGCAGCGGGAATGTCAAACGCATGCTGAGCTGTCGCATGTGCGTGTGCTTGCACGAAATCGAACGCTTGCACGAATGTCAAAGGCACGCTGAGCTGTCGCATGTGCGTGTGCTTGCACGAAATCGTCCTGCATTGGAATGTGCATGCGCGAGCGCACGCACGTTTCAGATGTTTAAAACCACATTTTCAATACCGCATTTCTCAGACCTCGTGTATAACGCGCAGCATTGATTTTTGCCTAAAATTCAGTTCAAAATTTTGCGCGTTATAATCGAATAAATACGGTATTTATGTTTTAGCGATAATGATTAATTGTTGTAATGAAATACAGTTTGCCTCTTTCACTTCTCTCGCAAGTGCCAACAATAACACTATTGAAAGATTTGGATAATGAGAAAACCATATTAAATTGTAATTAGTTGTGCAAAACCGTGGCGCGTGATCGGGGGTGCGTTCGAAGACTGAGTATTACCCGTGCGGGTGCGCATGTTTCACGATAACGTAAGGTACTCAGAAGGCGCTCTGGTCTACATTATTGTAAGAAAACAGTTATAATATCGGTAAATAATAACCGTTTAATAGCGCTCAACTATCGCACTTTTCGGACATGATAATTTTGTAAGGCGGAAACAACATGTGTAAAAATTTTTTGCGAAATTATTGGGGGGGCGACCGCCCCCCTTCGCCCCCCTGGGTGTCCGCCCCTGACTGCAACAGACTGCATACCTGTACTACTTTGTTCCATATATTTGAGCATCGCTCCCTTGTTATCAATAAACAATACAATGTGCAAACTGCTGATTTGGAGCATACTGATAAAATAGATAAATGGGATTTGATGAATAAATTGGGTAGGAAGAAGATATGTAAACATTTAGGCAATTGCATAAGCTTTGAATTTGTGTGATAATGAGTCGTTCACTTCACACAATTCAAAATTTGAACCTGATCTTATTGATTTTACTTGATTGAAATATCCATTATGGAGCAAGCCTAACCTTTAACATTTTACTGATTTATTATTTGATTTTAATAAATATGATGGAATTTTTTTCAATCTTTTCATACCATAATCTCGTTTCTTGTTTCTGTTTGCAGGACTCAAGTTCAATCAACTGTATTATGCTTATATCACAATAAGCATCAATGGAGTTATCCTGCCTTTTCAACAAAGCAATTCGATAAGGTTTAGAACTGTTTATGGAAAGCCAAAAGCTCCGACCCACGTTGAGGCAATGGATGAGACCATTACGTCGTCCGGTTTATACTATGTTTCAATCTCTTGGAATAGTCCCAGTGGAAATAATGATGGGTTTCAAAGTATGAATAAATTTTTTTTTTGAATTTTTCCAGTGTTACTTATTGATATATGCTTCCATCAGTATTCCAGTCCATTATCATAATATGATGCCTTTCACTTAGTACAAGGCGCTGCACGAGCAGCCGCTATATGTAAGTAGCTACTCTTATCTCGGAAGGACCGAGGTCTATTGCCAGATATCATCAGTATCATAGTCTATTTTCTTTGTGTGAGGCGTATTTATATACATCTTGCACTGGACAAAGCTCTGCGCAGACATTCATGGATTTGAAGAAAATGAATCTTTGTTACAGTGAGGGGGTGGGTGTGGAATTTGAACCCGAGATTTTGACCTGCGATACCGCCATAGTTAATCTAACATGTTAACCACTGGACAACCGCGCCCATCATATTTACTAATAAAGGGGATTCGAGAAATCCCCGTTAAAGTTCAGTTTTGTAACCAGGTTTGTTCTATTATAATCAGTGTTCATTTAAATTTTTTGAATACACTAAGAGGGGCCAACAATCTAAAATTATGTGGCATTTGGAAAATTTTAAGAGTTTATGAATATAACGTACAACTTATTGTGAAATGAGGAAAAAGCATTATGACTTTCGATTACGACGTCAAAGTTGGACGTACTTGGAAAGGAAAGCTGATTTTTGTATTTTATTTGAATTCTAAATTTCTTGTTCAGCCTACTATGCCAGAGTTACTGATAAGAACAAACAGAATTCAACGTATAAGATGTACGTCGATAACTGTGCTCGATGCCGCTTTGGTTTGAACATAAAACAAGGTGCAGTCACTGTACACGTACTTGCAAACAACAAATATTATAATAGCTCATGGTCTGAACCACTACAGTTATGCGTTGGTAAGTACTCTTATTACTTATCGATATTTGTCTGTCTGTCTGTTAGATGCACGCGATATCTTACAAAAACGAGATTGAATCTGCTCCAGATTTTTCATGTGCATTCATCATATCTCGGACCAGAAGCCTATTGATTTTGGGCGAATTATGTCGTATAATTAGCGAGTTATTAATTAATTAGTGATGGGACACAAGGTGTCACTATGGAGTAAGAGCGCTATTTTGGGGGATCCCCTAACTTTTGATCGATAAGTCCTCGGTCTCTGACCGATATTGTCGTTTTTATATTGTAAGAAATTTATATTATATTTATATTTAATTCACAGACAGATAAATAAATATATATAGGTCGGTTGACTTCTCCCCCCCCCCCCCCCCTCTCTAAAAATAAAACAACAGAATCCGTATATTTCTCTTATTTCTACAAAAATGAAGAAAATTTATTTAACGCTTGAACTTTTGTTTGTGTGTGATTGTACCTAAAAGATTCTGTAATCTAGGACGCTTTACACAAAAGTTATGTTCTCTCTAGAACAGTGGTTTTCAAACAGCATTTAAGGATTTTAATATTCATTTCTGGGGAAAGGGGAGATCCTAAGATGACTGAATCATATGGCGAACCACTGACTCTCATCCAGCTACCAGTTCATGGCAGATATGGGGGTATTTGAACAGATAGACTATGTTGGTAGAGGAACCCATAGTCGGACAGTGGTTACATGAACCACTCAACAGTGGCGAAGAGTCCAGCAATCCTTTTGCACATTCGAACCCGCGAACTACATAGGGTAACTATCAGGGGTGATGGAAAAAGCAAGCCTCTTTTCAAAACAGAGTTTTTTTTAACTTTGACAATTACGGTACCTTTATTACACTTTGGTATGCTGTGCTTATTCAGTTATATATTTATAGGTTGTATTAAAAAACCCAAACTGACAGCTATTCCATATGGAAGCTATGGATGCAATTTGTCATGGACAATCGAAAACCCATTGGATATTGAAATCGCAAATTTCAGGTATTCAATTTTTATTGTTCAAACTTTAAAGTAGCATTAAAAACTATTAACAATAACAACAACAATTTTACAAAAGGTTTCTTTGCCAAAACCAGCTATCAATATACTTTCTGGTCCACAGTGACTCTTTTTGCTCAGCTATGCATTTTCATACACCGTTTTTAGACATCTTTTGCTCTAAACAAGGCTTTTCACAAGCAGACATTGCTGCATAAGGAGGTACTCTAGTTTGGAAGGACCGGCATATTTCCGGTTCTGCCTTGCCTACCCTATTTATCACATCCTGAATCTTTTTGGGGCATATCATTGGTAACTTTTTGCCTGTCTGTCTGTGCCGTGCTGGGGTATGTCTGCCTGTGTGTGCATTGTTGGCCTCATCATTGGTGTTTCTTGTTTGCCTGTCACTTTATTTCTTTTATCTAGTGATCTGACAATTTATGTATTTTTTTATTTAAAACCTTTTATTCTTCCAGTGTTCTACTCCAGTCTGACAACAACATTGCAGATCGCAGAATAGTTGCTGCTGCCAAACAGCGTTCTCTGACTTTAGATAAATTACGACCTCAAACTAAATATGACATCAGAATAGCAGCGTGGACAGAAGGTAACTGTAGTGTCTTACAACGGTTATGTTATTTTGTATTTGCAATCTAATAAGCCAATTTTCTGGACCCGATTTTTTGTCCTGATTTCTGTTTTTTTTTTCTTTTTTATTCGGTTGGCTTCGAAACAGAAAATACCGTAGAAGGGGGACAATAGCATACCTTCCTTGTCAGTTTTCGTGAATCCGACATTCTCACACCATGAATTCGGAATACCTCTGCTGTGATTATTATATTTGATGTTGTCGCATTTGTGTGTGCATCATGAGCAAAAGCAATTACTGATACCAATCATGTGTAGTAAATGCTGAAAATAAGATTTTGCCACTAAAGTAAACGTAGTTGAATATTGTAATACTTCTTACAAGGGATGTACAAAATTAATCATTTATTCAAAATTTACTGTTTTATATATTCCTGGTTTTTATATATTCCATTCGGTTTTGATAGCACATAAATACGATTCAAAACTGGATCTAATTTAGCGATTTACCGCGAATTTTTACGTCCGCAGATTGTTGTGAAATTTTAGGGTACAGTGCTTTCATTTTGCTGTAAGTTGATGCTCATTAATATGGCGGGATATTTTAAATGCTTTTATTGGCAATGGATTGAATATTTTGTGAAATTATCTTCTGCTAATAAAGACTGTTTTAAAAGCTGAGCTTTGAAAATTAAATTATTTCCTAAATTATCCATGTAATATCTTTTTTTCAGATTCCATGAGCTCCTATTCTGATTTTGCTACGATAAATCTAGCCGGCCCATCTCCCATTTCTCCTTACATTACCAGCGTGAAACCTAATTCAACTACCAGTTTCGTCATAAGTTGGAAAACAACGAAGAATAAAAGTCCGAGTGGATATTTATTTGAGGTTTGATAGCTTTTTCTGAGCTTGAAATTGTTTTTGTGACACATTCTTATTTTGTTTTCAAATTTGTGATTTTGGGTGCAGTCTACATTACTGCAATATTCTAGATAAAAAATGTTATTATAATTATATTTTGAGATACCTAAATATTAAAAAAAAACGACATTTTAACCATTTACCCGAAAGAATTTTCTCTGAAGGACGAATATCTATGAAGTTGCTTCGAGAAAATGGGCGAATATTTATTTGATTTACTGCAACTTTTACTTTGGTGAAAATGGCTTCAAACTATGATTGAATACCAGCATACAAAGCACATACATTTTTGTGATATTTCCAGTTAAACACTTTCGAGATTTAAACATTTACCCCTTTGTCTCGAAACCCTCGATAATCCAATATTTTTCAGGTTTCATGGAACGAACAAGACAATCGAGATCCAAACAAAAAAGTTACCAAAGTGTCTGGTTATTCAACCGTGGTCCAACATTTACCAAGTAATGTTGCGCAAATCTTCAAGGTATTTATTTATTATATATATTTTGTTAGTTATGTGTTTTTTTCTTGCCCTTAGATTTGCCATTCTGCAAATTTTTTTCATAATTCAAATTAGAAATATACTAATATAACATTTTTTATATGCTGTATTAGTACCCTTCTCACCTTGAGCAAGGCTGTGCACAAGCAAGCCCTGCTAGGAGCTACTATAATTAGAACAACCAGAATCTTTTCTGTCCGACATTGCTTACCCAATTTATTACACCCTGGATGGGTACACCCTTCATTGGGTTTGAATTTGAACCCAAGATTTTGACCAGTAATACCGTCATTGTTAAATCTAACGATTTAATCGCTAGGCGACCACGCCCACTAATATAATCTGTAATATTTAGTAACATCCCAGAATCATTTAATAGTAAAAATAAGCAGCAGGCTTGAGTTACATCATCTTCAGTCAAACAGATATAAAATAATATTTCAAATTATTTTTATAAAAACTTATGGTTATAGAGCTGTACAATAACCTGGAAAGTGCGATTGCCTTGTGTTTAAAGCGTTAGAAATTTGGTTCCCAACATTTTTCTGACACATTCCCCCCCTCAACCTATTTTTTAAGCTCTTAACTCCTCCCCACTACTTGTAAAATCTGTTTGCATTTATTATTTACTAATAACTCTTTAACGAAAGATTTGCCTGCGATATCTTCAAACTTGTACTTTGTACATTTTGAATAGTTTATATTTATAATGTATTATTGTATGCTCATATGTGCATAAAAATAATACTAAATGAGTAAAAAAATAATAATACTACACATACATACAAAGTAATATATTTTCAAGAACACTTCCTCCTCGGTTAGGGAACATTGCGTAAAACTCGACTGTGCTGACGTCACAGGTTACACATCCCTGGTTCAAACTCATGCTCACCCCCTCACTCAAGATGGAGTAGGATAGGTAGGCAATGTCGAACCAGCAAGATTTCTGTCATTCCAAAAAGAGTCGTTCCTTACATATCGTTAGTTATCAAGCTGTATTACTAGCGAAAGGCATGAATAATAGTCGTATAAAAGAGCAATTTTTCATATTTTCATTGCAGGTTCGAGTCATCCAGCCGTATATAGGTGCATACAGTCCGCCAGTATTCGGTACTCCATTGTATGATTATTCTGAGGCACCGAGAAATCTTGAGGCTTCAGCCAGACCAGACCATGTAACTGGAATTGTCAGCTGGGACAGACCCACAGATGGTGGCATTGTATCTTTGGTAAGTGCCGTTGTGCTTTAGATCAGGGGTGTGCGACCTTAAATACAGAAGGGCCAAATACAAATAACTGGGCCTTCCACGGGCCGCACACCATTCAAATTCGACACTTCTCAGACCGCACGATTTTTCATTGTGAGCCACATTTGGCCCAAGGGTTGCAGGTTGCACACCTCTGCTTTAGATATATTCGATATTCAGTTACACTAAAAGTATAAACTTTTTACTTTATATTTACAGAACTACATCCTCACAGTCACAGATTTGGGAACAAACAAAGCCAAGTCTATGGTTGTCAACGAAACAAAAAGCACATTGCACATTAGCCAAGTGATCTCGCATTTAGTGCCCAACACACATTATAATGTTTCTGTTAGAGTCAATACAAAGGGTATGTCTACTTGTTGATTCTTCTCGTCTAGTAATTAACTCAGTTAGTTTTTTTTTATCACCCACTTCATGGCCATCGTCCACTGGGATTTCTGTGTAAGAGGTTGCGGCATGCCATACAATGTCACTCGGAATATTACAGAACAGTTTTTTCAACACTCATACACTTTTTTTATTACCACTCTGGGTGAGGTGGTGGTGGACATGAGATTTAAACCCAAGATTTTTAACCTGCAATGCCAACACAGTGAGTCTAAAGCTTCCTTAAGGTTAACTGACTGTTTTATTGTATGAACAATTCAGATTCGAATCCAGCAGTTACAACATTTTATGACGGCATCATTCCAGGACCTCACATTGAGAGAGCTGAACCACTCGGGGCCAACATTACTAATTATGTGGTATGAGGAATTTTTATTTTATCGCTAAGCAATAATACATTTTATAACCTTCTTTTAATTGAGTCTGTTGTGGTTTATATGTCATAGCTCTGTTTCCTAATTTTAAAAATGAATCTTAGCCTTGAAAGTGTGTGTTGTAGGTCATATTTTGACTTGACTGAAAAGTATTTGATTATTCCATTTCATAAATTCCTGGTGAATTTTTTAAGGTCATCACTTCTTACCACAGTTAAAATATCTGTCCGTATCCATACCTAAATCTTAACTAAATCAAAAAAAAAATATTTCAGATCATTTTCTCAATTGACCCAACGTTCAAAAATTTTTATGACATACATGCCAGCAAGATACAAAGTTGGATATGTAATGGAACGAGTGTAAAATCACCATTGGAAAATGCAACTTTATGCAAAGAACAACCAGACGTATCAAGTAAAGAGAATGTTATAGAATTGCCGCCTCTAGTTCCTAATAATACGTAAGTAAAAAGTATATTCTAGGCCAGGGGTTCCCAAACTTTTGGTGTTATGGAGCCCCCGAAAGACTATTACTTACGAAGCCCTACAATACATTTTTATATGTATAGAACGAAACAGATTTAAAACACTAAACCGTATTTAAATGGGTTAATACGAGCTAGAAATAAATCTAAATCTCACAGATAAAGTATATTACTGCTGTGAATTTGAGACTTGACAAACATTAATGAAGTAGTGTCAAAATGTGGCAACAAGGCGATAATTCATATATGACCTAATTCATATATAATGTGATATTTGAACTCCGTCTTGTTGCATCATTTGTAGCGATCAAATTTTATTATTGCATTATTGCTTCTTTGGCCAGTTACAAAATTAGCCAAGTCTATATTTTTATAAGTAAACGAATAGCTTGCTGTGCAATAGTTTTATTTATTGTCTGAATTGTATAAAGTGAAATATATATGAAAGCAAACCTAATATTGATCTTTAAAGTGTAGCAAGTTTAATGATGGCGGCAAGCCTAATAGGCATTTGATTATATTGAAACAATATGCCTAATAACTATCTTAATATAGTATCTCACATTTGAATCAAAGCTTGCGGAACCCCTAGAGACTGTACTGGTGGAACCCTAGGGTGGCGCAGAACCACGGTTGAAAACCACTGCATTAGTACATGAGAGTTACTAGTTTTAGAGAAGTACTAGGATCTTTACTTGTTGAAGGTTAATTCTGCTGATATCCTCAACTTGATTTTGCTAATTCTCTAACTGCGAATTTTTCATTTTTTAACTGCGAATTTTTCATTTTTTTTTTCAAATTTTCCAAACCGCCATTCATTATCCATTTTCATTTTAATTCAGGTATAGAATTTTCTTACGTGGCAGCTGTGATTCAATACATGAATGCGGATTCTCCCACTATGATTTGTTTGTTGATGGTAGCAGACATATTATCGTCGATACGGCTCCGTCATCTTCTTTCCCGCTCACAACAACGAATATAGTTGCTGTCGCTGCACCGATCATCGTTCTTGTTTTGATTCTCATTGGTATTATTGTATACCTGGTAAGTTATAAGCTAAACAAAGTATGGAAGCAAATTTTCTATACTGAATCTGGGGAAATTATCAATGGTTATTTAATGCTCGTCAGTTCGTGATATTTCAAACCATTTGTGAGATATCTTTATTCAGAGGAGCGCAAAATAATTTCAATTTACATGAAGATTTAATATCTGATTAATCCAGCAGTCTTCCAAATTTGGACTGTTTGAAAACCAGAAACAAAGCTCATCTAGAAAATACACGAATACATTTTATCTTTAAACGATATTAGATATTCATACAACTATATATCTTTATACAACTCTTGAGTTATTCCCTTAGAGCAAAACCATGTCCTAAAATAGCATTTCCACAGTGAAATGTTAGAAAACATAGACACAATGTTTGAAATATATTAGTATTAAAACAATATTTGAAATTCAGAGGAAATTCATTACATGCAGATACATGACAAATTGACAGGTGTCTATCTGTTTGGTTTGTTGATTTGTATTTTCATGTTTGTGTCTCCATTCTCAAAGAAGTAATATATATATAGAAATATCGGTTGTCCTTGTGTGAATAGTGAATAGCCAGACCAGTAGTTCCCAACATTTTTTTGATATGTTCCTCTTTGGGTGTTTACATACTCTCCATTCCTCCACACCATGAATAAAAACTCTGTTTCGATTAGCTGTACAACCTATAATACATCATTAGCTAGCGACATGCGCAACTCGTACTCAGGTTTTGTAAAGTTTGAATAGTTCATAAATCATAATGCGTGTACATTGTGTGTATGCGTGTAGTACTGCAAGAAATTACAAGTTAAATATTTCATTCCCTAAAACAATAAAATTTCTCCCTTGTCAAGAAACACCGAGTTTGTTACATTAAAACAGTGTAATATCCAATCAGATTGCATACAGTGAAGGATAGAAAATTTTTCTAATCTAATTTTACAGCAAATTCGAAAGAAGCGGTTATCGGACGCATACAGAGGTTTCGTGGCGTCACACTACGATCCACAATCAGGGGAAGCTATATTTGTTTCAAATGGTGATGACGCAGACACTGGTCTCGCTCTTGATGACGATGATGATGCAGAAACTCCTCTCATAACTGGATTCGCAGATGATGAACCTTTAATTGTTGCTTGATGCGATGTAAGTGGATGTACAGTAGTTGAATTATTTTCATCATATTAGGGTGGAATGAAAAAATGAATAATAATAACACAATTTTATATAATCAAGACCCTTTTTCAGTGATGTCCCTGTATATCGGTATCAAAAATAATCACGATCATAATGATATCTATCTTACATCACAATTTTCAAAATAGAACTTTCTTGTACATCCTAAACCAGATAGGCCCTCAGCCCCCCTACAAGGCCGAGGGACTGTTCTGTGGGGGCCACGAGTAAAGACCTTTACAAGATACCATGACTGCATTTAAAGTGAATTTATTGTGATTTGTTGTAATGCATATATTCTTTTGCTTGTCGCTCTTATTTTATTATTAAACGAGGAGCATAAAATAAGTGATTGAAACATGTTAAAAGCAAAGCTAGGTATTTTCATAGAAGAAAAGGGGGTCCCAAGTGTTGACTTTTTGTAAGGTGCCAATAAATAAATCCCAATAAATGTTCGTGTTAGGACTTTTTCATAGTTACTTGCCTATATATAATATGGTACTTAACACGGGGCACAATAGAATGCAGGCTTCTCTGATACCTAATATTGAGTGTAAAATTTTTGAAATACATTAATTTTTTTACAGCGCAACATGTCATAGAAAATTTCTGGTTTTGTACAGAATGAGATATATATATATAAATATATATTTACATATTTGCTCTGCTTCAAAACTCAAATCTTCATACAACATCTGGTTATCTGTGTATCAAACTTGATTTGACTTTCAAAAATCACAGCTTACAACTGTTGCCTTTTATCAGGCTTGTATGTTTTATCGAGTATGGCTCATAGATGGGGTATGTCTTATTGGCTTATTTAATGAAAGATATGTATTTTGTTCATCACAAGAAGGATAAGAAAGGTACGCAAAATTTTTTGTAAACTAGGTTCAAACCTCCAATTTTATTTTCATTAATTTTGGTTATCATTAGTAATAATGTTCTTCTATGTATGTAAAGCCAGTTGCACTTTCTTGCTGCATGTTTTTGCTTTGACAATTTTAACAGTGTAAAATTTTATCCGTCACTATCAAAAAATTTTTTGCGAAATGTACAAATTTTTTTTTTTACGTATATAAATATATGACATAGATTTTCTTCTCAGACATTTTCACACCAAAAGTTATTATTTTGAAACATCTGTTCTTTTTTTATTGGGCATATTTGTTTTATTTTTAGTCGTAACAGGGGAACGTTGCCTACAAACTTTTAAACTTGGTTTTTCACAATCATATGCAATTTACTATTCCAGTTGGGTTGAAAATACGTGCTTGGTAATGCTTTATCTTAGTAAAATTGAGAACTGCCAGAGACAATGAAATGTAACAGATTTCAGGATTGTCAACCATGTAGTTCTTCAGATCAGAATATTTATCAGTAATTATCGGTTATAATTGGGTTTTTCTATAGCAGATATTTCTAGTGTAAGTCGGCCATTTTTTATTTTGTATATATACTTTAACGCGCCTCCTGAACTTCTAAAATTGCGTATAATTGTTTAACACAGCTGGCCATTTCTGTGACCCATGGTGTAATTCTTTATAGCCGTTTTTTTGATCTAACAACATTTGATTTATATTTCTCAATATTCTATTATCGACTGTGTTTCAATACAAAAGTTTTACTGTTATACAGGGATCCTTTATTGGTCCACAGTTGTTTGTGTTATGCCCTCATCGAAGATTGGTACATAAAATTCATTAACATTGATAATACCGGTAATTCATTTTCTATTGTTAATATCATAGACATTATGCAACTCTTGTCACAAAGTGACTTTAAAATGATAAAACCATGATACTTTTTAAGTTTTTGAAGCACATTTTTGTTTTTGATTAGAAATATTCAGCGGTATTCTACAATAAATATAGGTATCTGCTAAGGGAATTTCTTCATAAATCATCTTTCAGGCCTTCCTTGACTTACCATTGTTTCGGTACCATACAATATTCCTCGGCTCAACACACTTAAAATTTATTGAAAAACTTATTTTGAGTGATTTTTTCTATTGAATACTTCGATCCTTCTTATTTGTGCTGGTTACCGGTAATTCCATGTTAAAATCTGCAGGAAATTTTTGCATATTCCAATTTTTTTAGATTCATCAATATCAAAAGCCCAAGGTTTTGAAAAAACCAATTATTAGCTTCTGTTTGCATTCTCCATTAGCAGTCGCATAAATTGGAATAATATGTTTATAACTTCATAGTAGATATTATACTTTCTCTGCCCTAAACAAATATACCTTGTGTCTGAAGCTTTCCATACCCAACCCTCGATATTTTTCATAATTTATCTTATGAACCCACATGGAGCATTTTGTAAACAATACATTTTTATTTTATGTGATGCAAATAACAATTGTCGATTTTTTTATTAACATGATTGTGAATAATATATCTCTTTTTTTCATCTATCTTTTGCTTCGTGTTTAAAAGCCTTATTATGCGGGTGGTAAATAAAATCCTGAAAAAACGAATTTGTTGTAATAAACGAGAGAGTTTTTCATATCTATCACGAGAAAGAGGAAAAAAATCATGCGGCTTCAAACCTATGGCGAACGGCGACGCCTCCTTATACTACAGTCTAGAGCAGACATGGGCAAAGTACGGCCCGCGTGCCAAATCCGGCCCGTTTGGTAATTCAATCTGGCCCGCCTGATACTGCCACAGCCAAACTGAAACCAAATTTTTATGTTTTAACTAAAAATAGCTCGAGGAATTTGTTGAGATTGCGGTTGAATTTAGTTTTGGCACGAGGGTTATTGTTTTCCACCTTTGCTTTGTAACAATGTAAATATCGTTCATGAAATGTAACTTTTCACGTCACATTTGCATGGCCCGCCAGACTAGGTGGGCAAAATTTTTGGTCCCTGGTTCAAAAAACATTTCCCCTTCGATGGTCTAGTAGAGTCTAGGAATAGAAACTGGGACAAAACTAATTCTTCTGACTAGATTCGATTCTCTTCTAACTTCAGGTCTTTGCTAAGTCGCGCCATGACGAACGAATTTATTTCAGAATTTTGAATGCTGCTCTCCTTATTCTTAATTCTACCTCCACAAATATGTAATCAAGAGTGAGCGAATCATTTAATGTAGTTTGAAGAATTAGAAAAATATCGATATTTAAGTTAACAACATCAGATACAAAAAGGTATGGCGAGCCAATAAATTAGGATTAACAAGGAATTCAAATTGAATTTGGTTGAGCTCCGAATAAATGTACTTGCTTCCATCGCATATAAAATGTTTCGCAACTATAAATACCGTACATATATTCTATGTATATTCTCTATATTTGTCATTTTCTGATTCGTGTATTAACAAAACATGTTAGTTTATAAATGAGTGAAAAAAAGGTAAGAATTAAACAATCTATATTCAGCTTCAAAAATAAAATTAACTTGATGTCAATATCGGTTTGATTTTGTGCAGTCCTATTTGGTAGTATTAGTACAATTATTGGTCGAAGAAACCAAGACGACATTGATACTGCTAGTATTCAATGAAGGTGGGTGATTATCTCTACGTAAATTACTGCAATTGTTCGAAAACATTCCGGTAACTGATATATTCGCATACAGATCCCTGGATATTCGAGAAATAAAAATGTACAAAAGGATCGATCATAGTGCTGTAGCTTCTTCGAATCTATCACTTTGAAAGCCACCATTAGTATTGGATTTTTCATCAACATTTTCGTATACATTTTCGCCTCCTTCGTCAACAAACAGCTCTTTTTCTTCATCATCCTCTCTGAAAAAGATATGGGATTGATTCATATAATCAACTTGTTGTATTGTCGAAAAATATTCATAATTCGAACTTACTTTTTGTGGAATCGAGTGTACAGAAGCATCGCAATCCCAGCCAAAATAATCAAGCAAAATATGACAATATATGCAATGAGCCAATAAGCAAATTCAGGTTCGAACAGGGGTTCGAGAGTGGGTTCTATTCCATCCACAAATAAAACGTCATCGGTTAGAAGAAGCGCTCCGTTAAGGTTAGCTTTTGAGCCTCTGAATAATAGAAACAAGATTAGTCAATAGTTTCGCATATAAACAATAATAAATCAGTCTGAAATGACAGTTTTTTAAAGTTGTCGATGAGATTTTGAACATCTTATTTAAATGACTATTCTCAACAGACGCTTGCTATAGGGTAGTGCAGCGCTACGGACTGCCAACTCTACTTTATCCTAATCAATCTTACTCTGTTTTTTTTTTGTTTTGTTATGAATAACCTTTTGTAACGTGTCGGTTTTTATAAGCATTGAATACGAAACAGTCAATCTAATTTAGGTTTGCCGTGTTTTGTACTCTTATAAAGGTCAACATACTTGATTGCCGCTCTCACGACATCTGGTGAAAAGTCTGTGACTTTAACACAGCAGGAGATTCGGGGAGTTGGCTCTGAAACGATTACGTCGTCCGTCCTGTGAAACAAAGACATCAGATTCGAATACTAACAAAGACAATCATGTCGGACCATGTCAGGATGGCGGACAATTGCCAAACAGTTCACAAATTATGTATAAATGTATTCCATTTGGCTGCACACTTCTTATTGAGCCCGGAATAAAGATCTGTGCGTTGCTCGTTGTCCGTAATGAAGCTTTTTAAACACTCGGATAATTCCAGGATAGGATTTACATATCATCATGCTAATAACCGAATTGCGTAAGTCATTTTTAGCAGTTTTGAGAAAAACGTAAAAAACTTCATAATGATATTGTTATGCCATTGAGAGTCGATAATTTGCCATGGTTCAATTTTTTGATCGTAGCCGGATTTAACTTAATTTGTATGACGCAGTTAGGTGACGTCATAATGGCGCACTGTGACTCAGGCAGAAATGTGTCTATGACTTGAGGACATACGCAATTTTGCAACTTTACTATATGCACTAGTCCTGAAAACTAAACATTCCAAAAACGAATGTAATTCTCAGTATCTACAATGTCTAATCCCCAAAATATCTCATCAGTTTCAATCACATTATTTTTTATGTTTAAATATATATATATATTTCATCAATATAACACGTTCTGCACACCCACCGGAATAAGACCAAGATTAAATATAAAGAATAAAACAGGAATGCACCCAATATAAAAGTCAACCAGTGTGAATTGGACTCGGACAGTGAATATCACAAGTGCACGTCTTCCTATACTGTAGTATAAATTCAAATTAATACGCGCTAAGCTAGAATCCGAGATGCAAAAACTCGAAAATACCTCACCGAGGTTATTTTTCCTTTGTGACGTCACAATAGTCTGCGGTAACAATGATAATTCATTATGACGAAACAATTGCACGAATGTGCATGTCATGCTAAATCTCCATTTTTATGCTATTCGGAATTCTTAAAATAAAATCTGAGTTAACAGACAGGTGCGCAACATTACATAAATACCTATTTTATAAAAAACTCAAAATCGCCAAAAATGACTTACGTAATTCGGTTATTAGCGTGACAATATTTATCCCGGGCCGATATGACGGCTCAACCATATGGCGGACCACGGCCTCTCGTCCGGTTACCATTCCATGTCGAATATGGGAGCATGAACTTGATGGTGGAGGAAGCCGTAAACGTCCAGCGGTTACGCGAACCACCCTACGGCAGCAAGAAGCCCAGCAATCCTCTTGCACATAACTATCCCTGCATGGGATTCGAACCTGCGAACCCACGCAGAGTAACCAAAGATGCGGGGGCGAGCGTATTCCGAAAGCTTAGCACGATGAGCCACACCGTCGTGCCATAGCCATTATGAATTGCACGTATTGCGTTAATTGGTATCCATGTAGAAAAGAAGATATTTTTATCATACAAGTATTTATAAATTCATCGAAGATAATCTCAACATAATTTTCAGATTACCATTAAATTTATATTCGGAATTTATAAGGCTTAATGAGATCTTAATATGAGTGAGGGATAATTGAAAAACTCTATTTGCCGATAGTCATGACTTGATAAAGTTATGTTATTACAAATATAAACTTGAGCTGTCTTAGTTCTAATAAATAGATTAACGTTAGAATGCTAGGCCGAGAATGCATCACAACCCAACCTCAAAGTATTCCAGATTTGAGTAAAGTATATTCAAATTAGACAATTTCGAAAAAGTATAGATAAAATACTAACCCAACTTTGGGATTGGGGCATTGTGAAGCTGGTGCAGGAGTCTCAAATGCAGGGTTGTCACCGCCACAGTATTTTCTCACCGAATACGCTATAGTAGCCCGAAGTTCATAACGCTCATACAAATCGAGATCATACTAGAATTGAAAATAATTAACTCAATAAATTTAAAATAAGATATGAGTTTTTCAATCTATATAATACTAAGGCCATTTTGACATTATACCAAATCTTCTACTATTCTGACATGGGTCAAATACGGCCTTTTGAGTAATTCAATCAGACCCGCCTGATGCTGCCACAGCTAAACTCGAACCGATTTAAATTAATTAATTTAGCTTTGGCACGAAGCATATTGTTTTCCACTTTTGCTCTTGTAACACTAGAAATATTGTTCATAAAATGTAACTTATTACGTCACACTTACATGGCCCGCCAGTCTAGGTGGGCAAAACCTTGCCCAACCCTGTACAATATATATACTGAGTAGAATTTCATATGTAATGCAATAAACCTTCAAATTATTCTATTGTAAATGAAGTATAAACGCACATATATATACTAAACCACGTTATTTTACCAAATCGCTGCAGCCAGTTTTTGTCGTCATGGCATTAAACAGCTTGTCAACAACTTTTTGTGCTTTTATTCATTTGAATTTATTCATAAATTAATTCATTTGAATATCCCATTTGAACTAGATGTCATGTTTTCGTTTTATTATATTCTAATTTAAAGAAATACTTTACCTCGCCCTCTGGTGTCTTTATAGTGATAAGCAATTGATCCGAGTTGCACGTAAGAGCATGTACTGTAAAATACATATAAGTTATAAAATAATTAGAAATTATTTTAACAAGGCAGAAAATATAATATTTGGTGACTTGCAACAATAACGTCAAGAGTTTTTTGTAAATTCCGAAACAAAACATTATAACTGTGTATCACAATCAGTAAAATAAAGTGGCGTTCTGAATTGAAACTAATTTTCAAGATGAATTTTAAATAAAAATATGAAAAAAATTTTGATGTTGGCACATATAACCTGTTATTGCTATAATTTGTTAACTTGCAACTACCAGGTCCCGGGACACGTGAGTAGGTTTGATAATAAATTTAATTTTCGAAGCAATTGTGACATCACAGAATGGATAAATAAGCGTCTTTTTTTCTCTAGTATGAATGCCATGAAAAACGAACGAACTCGAACTCGAACTCGAACTTACTCGTTCCATAATATTTCGATACGTTAATAATGCATATCACATCAAATCCTTTTGCTGAAGTGTGTTTGAAGTTGGTTTATGTCAATAAATGAAAGAACACTCACCCGATTTCAAAAATAAAGATGAAATCAAAACTGTGAAGCTTAATTCCAAGATTCTCATAATGACTAATAGCACTCTAATTTATTTAATATAATCTGTTAAAAGTTGATTCAAGTTCTAACAGGACCATTGACCTATTTCTGTCGAATATTTGTGAAAAGATTTTGGAACGACAATAAGTGAGATGTAGAATTTAAACAATATTTCATTTCTTCGCTGACATGGTCATCAATGACCCAGTAAAATTTGAGTTTCTCATAAAAAGCAATTGACTTGATTTCGAGTTCAAGTCGAACTCGAATTCGTCAGCTTGGATCATCGTGTCCAAGCCATGTTATATTATAGGCTACCATCCATCAGAGACTTGAGGAGTCGCATTAATTTCAGGTATTCTGGACAGACGTCACACAAAAGGATATTTTGACGAAAAAATGTGAGATAAATCACAAATCCATAGAATGATCTATGACTGGGATCAAATCGTCGTCGGTAGCCAAATCAAGATTACAATTGCTGCATTCTCTAATAGAGATGCCGAGCAAGCTGTACTGTAATGAAAAACGTGTAACTACTCCATTTGGATAGCTTTGAAAAGCATATCTTCTTCAAATTGTACGCTACATTATAAGTTATTGTGATTTTTGTGTAGTGGAGACTATAGAATGTGAAAAGATATGTCCACACTGCCACTTAATAATAATTTCTCTTCCACTATTAAGCAAGAGCTATAGACTACAGCTAAATTTTGATGAAGGTAACTTCACTGTCAATCATCAAACATCTTCATTTTGTAAAGCATTTTTTTGCTGTATTTGATTAAAATAAACGTGCTGAATTCTTTCAAAAATCTGATTTCCTTTGCATAATTTTCTGTCGTAAATTTCGGTAAACGAAAAGTATATCTTAGTCATTGTCACGACAGCTTTAACGCTTTCAGCATAATTTAGAAAGTTTGACTAAATTAAACATTTAGTCTATACCCAACCACTATCCCTCATTACGATTCTCCGAGTACCGTATAAAGACAACGCAATCAATAGAGCTGAAACCCTTACAATTAGTTAACACGAGCCCTAATATGCAGCGTACTTTTCCATTGTGGATAGTGAAGCAACTTTCATTCCTGAAATTGAGTTAAATTTTAACCAACGGAGGCTAATATTGGCTTTTGGCATCGAAAAACAAACATACATTCAATTCAACATCGCCGTCTTACGCAGTATCACTACCATCGGTACTTTCTGATCCTATTAGGATCCCATGCATGGGCCATAAAAGCAAATGCGTTGGCTTGTGACTCATAATTAATTCAAGCATGATAAAGTGTGTACCTATTTTGAACTAACAACAAAGGAACTGCGCGTAACTACGCAAATATTCAACGCCTATATATATATATTAAAAAGTCATCATCAAAAATAATTCACAGATGTGCGGAAAATATTTGTTCGAAACTCATTCGAAAAGTTTGTATTGGACGAGCACACCGATGCCGTTATAATACAAGTTAATACAATTTAACTCATATTTTTTTATATATACAAGGACGTGTTTTTAGAAGCAATATTGATGGAGTCGTGATAAACGGGATCCGTGCGATTACTTATACTGTGCAGCCTATACTGGTGGATAGATAGCCATGATTGTGAATTGTATTGAAATTATATGTTTATGAATGTAACGTACAAATCTTTTTAAGAGCCATTCATTTATTTTGTAATTGTCTATTTTATGCATACAGTATCTTCTTAACAAGCAGATGTGTGTGTACATCGTGTTCTCTACTCTACTTCTGAATACATAATTATTGTGTAGTATCGTCCAACTTGGGTTGGTCTTTCGTAAAAACGTCATCGTATTACTAACAAACACTACATAATCTTTTAGTGTGTGTGTGTAAGCTGTTTTCCAGCAGCCAAAGTTGAAAGTTAAAGTCTGGTGCCAGTTGAATATATCTATTCTAAACAATGTATTTCTTAAAGATGATTGAATACAGGAATTTGGATTATTAAGATTTACATATACAGTCATATACAACTTGAGTCGACACCAGGAAATATTTAACGGGACTCGATTTAAAATATCGCTTTCTGGTTTAAACATTGTCGTTTGATATCATAGTCTTCTCAGACTTTTTAAATTTTGGTTGAGAGTTTGTGCAATTAATAACTTAACGTGAAAAATTGTGAATAAATGTATAAAAAAATTTTTCATTCAAGTGCAAAATGTACAGCAATCTTTCGTTAGGATATTTTTCAATTAATTTTACCTTATAAAGAAATATGAACATCTCGTACTGCCATTCGAGGTAAAATACAAAAAAAATGAACACATCACGACAATCTATAATACCGTACTGAACAAATTATATATTCCCTGGAGCTAAATATCGAAAATTCGAGACACAGGTTTCGATTGCTGTACTTTTATTATGCTAAGTTCGTTGAACAATTGATAAACAAGCTATAATGATATATTTTTAAACGATATGGTATTATGACTAATTTCAACAAATAGTAGCGCAAAACACCAAACTTTAAAATATCTTCAGCATGCCGTCATTGTTTTCGTATCAATGGTTGAATATTATATCGAAATCAAAGGAAAACTCAATAAGTATCTCAACACGACGTAAATAAACAACACTAATTATGATAATCATTTCAGCTTGATTCTATTGGCAATAGAAATATAATCTACACTAGAATTTGATGAAGCAAAATTGACAATACAATCATAAACATATAGAACACCATATTGCTCTTTAGTGTAGATCCATGATTACAGCCATCTAAAATGTAATAAAATCCTTATTAATACATGGTGGTATGGGTCATTTGTGATAATTAATTCGCATGTAGACATGAAACGTCAAATTTGATTCTTATGCAATTATCTCTCATGTAAAAAAGTGAAAAATTTGTAGTATGATGGATAGTGAATGCAAATATCTCACCTGTATTGCATACAGTTGTGCAGATCTGGACGCCATTAAATTCAAAACAGGTACCTTGAGTAGTAGTTTTGGCATCGGCGCATCCCCGTGATGTGATAACGTTATCTACAAGATGAGTAGGGAAAATGTTGCCATATTTATTCAAGAATAGTGTTTGATTATGCGTCAACGAAGCAAAAAAACACAGACAAGAAGTATTCAAAATTCGTTTAGATATTCTACAGACACTCGTTTTTACTTTATGTATTGGACGCTTTCAGCGCGCTCTAATAATTAAGATTCCGATTTTGTTTAAAGTGAAAGAAAAATTTAATTCATATAGAGTACATCGTTAAATTTGAACTAAATAGGCCTTGCTTATACATAATTTAACTTATTTCACCTGTTTTTTTCTTCGTGTAAAAGCAAGCATTGTCCCCCTTATTGCAAGTCCGTAGTTCTGGATCTTGACTGTCCGAGCATTTAGGATCATCCCCTATCCCACAAATGTAACACTTCAGGCCAATAGCTGAAAGTATCATTTTCGGTTATAATCCACAAGTAAAAACAACGATTCTTAGTCTAGGATGGTGAACTTAGCTTTGATAAACAATTGCTTTTATGGTTACATACATACTGGAATACTGGTGATTTATACCTATTCTGCAATTGTTCCATCAAGAGATGTTTAGGATGATGCTTTGCGTAGGCAGACCTACGGCCGAATGTTTCTTTGAAATAAAATTGCATAAAGACGAATTGGATTTCATTTAACTTCTCAAGACGTACAAAAATATCATTCATCGAAATTTGTTTCATTTCTTCCTACAAATAAACGGGCCTCGCCAACTTACCAGTATGAAAGTTCCATATTCAAAACACTGATACGATTCAGTATAGTTTTTTTTAATAAACGTGGTATGAAAAATTCTAATTTGTTTAAAATTAGCTACAAATACGTACCTGCCGGGATAAAGAACGCCAACAAAAGTAATTGCCTCATTTTAGTCCTTTTCGTTGGTATAATGACTACAATTCTTTACCGACTTGCCTTACAAATGCTATGATATTTCTGATACTCCAACTCAACTATCTATTAAATTGCGACGCCGAAATGAAACGATATTATTTACCTTCGGGGCAAATTTTTTATTTTTGCTCTTATAACAGATATAATTCTACACCTTAACATGAATACGGTTCTTTCCAAAAAAGTGAATCATTGACACGAGTTATTTCTTCTAGATTAGTGATTTAAAATATAATACTTAAAACACACCCTTTGTGTCATCCGTGTAAATTTTTCATAGATGAACTTGAATTAACTAGTTATATATATACTAAAATTGCATTCGTATTGTGATGACAATCAATCATTTATTCGTCGTCATAAAAAAAACAAATGCACAAAAAATTGGTACAGGAAATAAATATACTAATAATGACAGTTGTGCGACAGGAGTCGCACCACATTTCCTACCATTACGAGGCATAGGACCGCTTGAGTTAAGCTTGATATTGATTTTTAGTAAGATAGTTGTATAACTATAATAATATACAAACACATAAAAAAGTTCTGTTCGAATTTGATCTTTAAATTTGTCATATTGACTGCTGAGCTTATTCTGATAATGTCTACTTATATTGTATTCTTTCTTTGTACTGATGGAAAGTGACAAATTAAACAATGTGCTTTAGAATTGTGAGAAATGCAGAAATATTGCAACTCCCCTTTTTATACAAAAATGCCCCTTCCTTCATGTACTTTGGGTTTCATTTAATCCATGAAGTTTTTCAAGTATTCCTTCTGCTAGCTTGAGGTGTATCGATAATTGGGTCAAATTGAAAACAAAATGTTTTCAATTTTTCAAAACTACTTTCAGTAAATTGTCGTTTTCTGTGTGAATAAACAATCTCAATTTAAAGGGTTTGAAAAATGTATTACGTTTAGATAAAAAAAACTTACAACATATTACAATTATTGTTAGGCGTTCGAGTATCGCATTGGAAGTTCTCTGGGGCCGCATGCGAGTCGCGAGTTTGACACCCCTGAACTAGGGGAATATTTGCCCAAATTCTAACATGGTAGAATAAGAGAAGGTAAATCAGAGTTGTCACAAATGGATCTAGATAGACCCGCTCGTCATCTCAGCACTTAGAGAAAACGCACCCTCTTGGATTTACTCCTCCCCTCAGAGCTCGCGCTTCGAACCGGTTACCGGCTCATATTGACCACCCACAATGGGATTCTAACATTACAGGGCTCCACCACTAAAGTCAACACATTCAATCCCATATCCAAAAACCTGTTACAAAAGTCCAGCCAGCCTCAACATCATTACTCGCAATCGTCGATCACGTTAAAAAAACAAACATTTTTCTACACCAAGAGGGGACAATTTCAATTCGCAAACTCTGCTGCAACTTGGAACACACAGTCTTGGAATCACCAGAAACATATTCACCCGCCATATCGAGGTCACTTGAACCAACGGAACTCAGGTGTATAATCGCGCTCAACGAAATAGTTCATGTCTAAAATAGCCTATATATCTGAAATATTTATGTCAGCCTTTACCCCCACCGGTTGCTCAACTTGGCAGCCATTCAGCACAAAAAGAATATTTAATGAACAATGGGACTAACCCAAAAGTTTTTAACTTGAAAGATTTTTTTCGGCATTATAATGGTCATAGTCTACTGAACTGGCTAGGGTCGACTACACCAGCGTTTCTCAACCGCCGCCAAGCATCTCATGGTGGGCCGCGAACTCGTTGACAAATTATTCGTATTTTTCTATATTTTGTGTTATAATTGGAAATATTTTGACTTTTTAATAGAATAGCAATGCTTTTGTCGGGAGGATTCCAATCGATTCCATCAATTTATGCGCTCGCGAGTGACTATCGGAATGCCTCTGCTGTCATGTGAAATATATGAACTATAAATAAACACTACACTTTACGAAATGTCGATATTCTAATATATTCCTGTGACAGAATGCGCAATTGCTGATTAACTTGAAATATGCGCTCTTACAATAATTTCGTGAACAATATTTTCTGACCGAAAACTGATTCTTAACTTATCATTGTCAAATTATAATAAGCAATACCAGTACTTCACTTATTTTTTCCATTTGTGGTGCTTTTGAATTAAACGGCACGGGGGATAAATTTGAGATGAACTATAATCATATTTAAACAAAAAAATTCTAGAGAATAAAGATGATTTGTACCTTCAATCGGTTCAATGTCAGGTGACGGTAAAAAAATCGTGACCGTGAACCAATCAAAATCGGTTAACCATTACCAGCCCTCGCATATAGGTTTAAATTGTTACAATATAGTGTTATCAGAGATTTCGTACTTTCGTTAGAGAGTTTCTAAAATTAAAATATTAAGTTTTTGTATATATATGAGAAGGGGAGAGAGTGTGTAAAATATTTGCAAAGAAGTACAAAATATATAGCAATCCTCCATTGGAATATTTCTTGATGGATTTTTTTTATTTTTTTATAAAAAATATCAACGTCTCGCACTGTCGTTAATGTATCAAAAATAAATATAATCGGGCAATATATTCTCACATTGGTTTTGTTAGACCTCCTGCGACATCTTGAATTGACCTTAATTGATGTTAAATAACACAAGCCGAGGAAGAATTTAAACATTGTTTTTTTAATAATATGAATGTGCAGTTATATTCAGTTATTACATGTTAGGTGGAGATTAAAAGTAAGATAAAAAAGAAACACAGCACGATAATCTATAATGCTGCACTCTAAACAATTTCTATATTCCCTGGAGCTAAGTATAGAAAATTCGAGACACTGGTTGCAATTGCTGTACTTTTATTTTATTGTTCTAAACTCGTTGAACAATTGTTAAACAAGTAACAATGATACATTTTTAAAGTATTTTTGGATTCTGAATATCGCATATATATGTCAATATGGCCAGTTTATGGCAAATAGTGACCTCAAATACCGAACTTTGCCAGAGTTTTAATGAAATGTCAATAATTGAATAATATATCCAATTTAAAGAAAAACTCAATACGTACGCAACACGACGTATATATATAGGCTACAGCTACACAACACTAATGAGAATAATCATTTCATTTTGAATCTATTGACAATGTAAGCTACATTAGAATTTGATGAAGCAGCATTGACAATGCAGTCATAAATATATAGAACAACGTATTGCTCCGTTTTGTAGATCCGTGATTACAGCCATCTAAATTGTAACACAATCTATATTAACAAACGGGGTGTGAAGGTTATTAGCCAGCTATTTGTGACATTTTCGTACGCATATATATATATGAAACGTTGAATTTGATTCTTGTGTAATTATCTTTAATGTGAGTGTGGTGAGGATAGAGAACGCAATGTTTCTCACCTGTATTGCATACCGATCTGCAGTTAATCTTGTTGTTAACTGAAGAACAGGCATATTGAGTATCTTTGTCATTGGCGCATCCCCGCGATGTGACAACGCCACCTGCAAGATGATTAGTAAAAATGTTGCAATGGAATTTTTCGTAAAATTTAAACTAAAGACTTTGTGAACATAACATAACTTGTTCTAATTGTTCTCTGTTTCGTGTAAAAGCAAGCATTTTCGTTATTTTCGCAAGTCCGCAGTTCTGGATCTTGACTGCCAGAGCAATTAGGGTCCTCTCCTATTCCACATATGTAGCATTTCAGGCCAATAGCTGAAAATATTATTTTTTGTTATAATACTGATGCGCAAGTAAAAACAACGATTTTAAGCTCAGGATGGTGAACTTTGCTTTGATAAACAATTGCTTTTATGATTACATACTGAATACATACTACTGACAGATATTTTACAATCGTTCCACCAAAATGTGTTGAAGTGCTTTGCGTTGTCAGGGTTACTGGAAAATATGCCAATGTTTCTTTGAAATGAAAGTGCATAGAGATAAATTGAATGTAATTCATCAAGACGTACCAAAATATCATTCATTACTAGATTACTGACATCGGCAATGCATTAGTATAAAAGACCCGTAATCAAAACACTAATATATTCATAGTATAGTTTTCAGTGAACATGGTATGAAATATTCTAATTCGTATAAAAATCAGCTACAAATACCTGCGGGGATAAAGAACGCTAAAAGGAGTAATTGCCTCATTTTAGTCATTTACTTTGATATAATGAATACTAATTCTTTACAGACTTGCCCTACAAATTGCTATGATATTTCTGATACTCCAACCCCACTATATATTAAATTGCGACGCTGAAATGAAACGATATTACTTACCTTCAGGGCATATTTTTAATTTTCCTTCTACAACAGTTAAAATTCCCCACTTTAAAATGAATACGGTTCTTTCCAACAACAGAAAAATGAATCGTTGACACGAGTTATCAATCAATCATCATTTATTCTTCAACACAATTTAAACATATTATAGGAAAAAATATTACAAATACAAGTGAAATCTAGCTTAAATTGTGTGATAGTAGTCGCGAGGGACCTCAGAAGGTCTTCATGCTCCGACACCTACAACGCCTGTTGATTCAGGTTAGTAGTTTAATTGAAAAACTAATGAAACACCAAAACATTTCAATAAATATTTTGAAGAAATAAGAACATTTTCAGAAAACAAAAAATACATCATAAGTATTTAAAAGAACATAACATCTTGGTTATGAGCATATTTATTTTTATTATTCAAATCAGTGACCGAATTTATAAAAGATGAAATGCAAATGAATTCAACGGGTGCATGAAAAGACATAAAATATGTTATATATTGATTTGAAATAAATAAATATATAATTATAAACTAGACGGAATCGTTCAATAATCCCCATCCCTGGCATGATGTAAGCGAGGTTCAACCAAAATTTGAATTCAAAAAAATACTGATTTGAAATACAATACATAAAACACAATGTATCTGAATGTATGAACATAAATTAACTATATATATATATGTTCTAAAATTGCATTCGTTTTTTGATGACAGCTCAACTTCAACTACTATCGAATCGTCAAAAAGGGTTTTGATTCGATAACGTCACGTCAAATGTTATAAATATTGCTTTGGGAAAGCACTGAATTTAAAAACGGACACAACATTGATCAGTTTGAGCTAGGGTTCGACAAAACAGAGTCGGCAGTGTTTACCCCGAACTATTTTGTGTCACGTTGTGTAATATTTTTTGTGTTTAATCGCCCGAAGCCTTCAAAAAATTGCTTATCTTATATCTGTGAATTCCAAAATTATTAACATGACCGAAGGCACATTGTTGTGATCAATTGATACCATGTGAGGGGCGGAACCAATTTAAAAAATAAGCGTTATTGGACACGTTTAGTGGCCATAACGATCGTTTCAATATTATGTTGTTGTTGTTGTTGTTGTTCTTTGACACGTTTTTAAAAAATCGCTTTTCTCTTCGAATACTGGACCAATTGCTTTGAAATTTTCAGTGGTTAAAGATTAATTTTTTCGCTAGAAGGCTATTACTTTTATTTATTTCAAAATTTTGCGTGAATTCTATGAAATTTGATATTTCGTCTAAAATTTTGCTGTATTATTTTTATCCATGGGAACACGGATTTTAGTCAGTGTCATTACTGGCTGTACGTTTTGATTCTGCAAAATTCTTGCTACTGGAAATTCAGAACTTTTTTGAGGGTACCGGTAGCGTCAAAGGTACCAGTAAAGACTGATTCGCTCTGGTCTAACGTGTCCATATATTTGTGCGTAGCTCTCTTGTATAATATATATTTATATTTAAGCATCAAACCTGAGCATATTTATTGATAGTATGCTTCAAAATAAGATTTTTGGATTGGATTGGAGCGTGGTCGTAAGATATTATCTTTCGTGATGTGTTCACATTATTGGACACGTAGTGGACATATCGATCGTTTCAATATTATGTTGTTCTTGTTATTTGACACAGAATAACACACCTAGTGGAAATATTAAAAAACCGCTTTTCTCTTCGAATACTGGACCAATTGCTTTGAAATTTTCAGTGGTTGAAGATAAAATTTTTCCCCAGAAGGCTATTACTTTTATTCATTTTAAATATTTCTGTTAGCTCTGTGAGATTTGTTTTTGTTTGCTATGACGTCATTAAACGTTCTTGGGACATCGGACGCCATTTTGTGTCCTACTGTACTGCTTCGCTTGGTGTGAATATATTTGTAGACTGTGATCTGACAGTACGGTAAACCGTACTGTACTGCGAACAGACGTGTTCATATATTTGGGAGTAGCTCTCTTGTCCTATAATGTAGAACCGTGGGTCTGTGGTTACAAAGCTCTCAACTTTTCTCCGGGTACCATACCCTTTATTTAAGGGCCACATTTTATTTATCAGAATAATAGTTGACAAATTCCAACTCCTGTATCGTCGAAAATAACTGTGAAAATGGGGTCATTTTTTAAAATCAACTTGATCCAACCGTAGTAGTATATATTTACGATCCAACCAATGAGAATATATATTGTCCAACTTAGACATCGGTCATTCAAAATTTATCCCACGCGGGAAAAATGTGGCATAACAAACATTCGGTCTCATGGTGAAGATGGTCACATGAGTATAAAGTTTTAAACATACATGCATGCAGTCGCAAAGCTAAGATTTAATGCTGTGTTGTGAAGAAGAATCTGACATAACACTTTGGAAACATTATATTCCTTACAAAATAGGCAGTGCCAATTAAACGCTGAGGAGATTGTTGTAGTGAATATGTAATGAGATTTCAAGATCATGATGCGTATACCAGGGTCGTACAACTGTTCATTTCACTGGACCAGGCGTTAAAATTTTTGTGACTCCGAGTGCTAGACCACTAAATATTATGATTAGTGTGGTTAGTGCAACTCGAATTTGATCTTGCAAGTGCTCATATGTAAGCTGATTACTGAATGTTTTCTTATGAAAATGTGCAAATCACTTCCATGCTAGGCTCATTTGTGATCAACGTTTGCTTGCAATTTTGTACTCCCCCTATATTTTTTAAAAGTCTATTCAACGAGTCGTTGTTAAAATTCACTAAATACGGAAGGCATTTTTCAATGAATGTTTTCAACCCCTAATTGATCCACAATGCTATCGTAACTAGCAGAGTGTTTTCGTAGGATGATCTCGCACTCATAATGGCACTAATAAAGAAATATCACGCTCTTGAATCCTTGACGGGCCACTTTTAACCCAGTGTGACGTAACACAACCCTTAAACAAAGATGGTGACGTTTCAAATAAGAAAAGCATGATAAAATAATGGTACACCATGTCTTTTCAGATCAGGTAAATAGGCTTCATTGACCGGACAGTGACCCGCGGGCCGTATGTTACACCCCTCTGGCGTAGACAAACGAGAGAGGGTGTCGGCTTCATCGAGAAACAACTTTGTTTGAGACCATATATATTGGTAAAGACTCTTTCGGCTATATGACTCGACATGGATGGTACGATATATATTCGGATTAGAGTCGAATCCACTATTTTAGGTCCGAAATTTGATATCAAATTCCTGTCATTCTTATGAGGTGCTTGTTCAATTCCGTTATGTACGTTCTCTATAAAACAAAGTGCAAATAATATTTAGTCATACCGTTGTGGTTGGTCTCATAGGATCTATGCAAGTATATACACCGTAGTAGACTGTAAGTATTGAATCACAACAGGCTATGTTACCTCCTTACGACCAATCCGAATATATATATTAATTTAATGTAATTATTGCTCATATGCTAATGAAACATCTGCGTGCACGAGCAACAAAGTATATTTTGGCGGGACACAAATAATTTCATAAAAGGCATTCCAAATAACTTAATATGTAACGCGCATATGTATAAATAAAATTATTGAACGTGAAGAAAATCATGCACTTTTTTGGTGAGAGTATGAAGTATCTAGAGAAAGCTAGTATACAGCTGAGACTAAATCCATCGATAGTCGATAGCAAATAAGAAAGGAAAAAAGGAAAGAAATCGGCATCTACTCACCAGTTGTAAAGACAGACAAACTCTGTGAGCCACGCAACAGGGTTTCAGAGAGGCGGGATTAATTACTGTTTCTGCAATGCATTTTGCATGAAGCACGACGCATCAATTGTGGAGTCGTGTAAACGAGACTGAAGTTTTTTGACAAACAGTCAAGATGCACTTTCTGCTTCCATGTAGGCTGGACAGTAAGCAGAGCTTTATATAAAGATCAAAATATACCACCAAGCAGCGCCATACCACAAACAAATTCCGACATAGCATACGTGGCGTCGATTGTGCAGTATTAGCGTTGTGTCCAGTCCCGAACCAAAACACGGCCCCATTTGCCCGACAATATACCCAAATCCCAATGGCAAAAACAGATACAGCAAAAAATAGTCATCACCAAAAGCGTCATCCTCTAGACCAGTGGTTCCCAGACTTTTTGTACCATCGCCCCCCTACAGTAGTTTATACGACTTCATCGCCCCCCGGCACTGCAACAAAATTGAAAGTCTGAAACGAATATATAATATATTACAGACCAAATACGGAGACAAATCATAGTTTATAGTGTTTTTTAAGGAGTTGGATGAGCTTGGTGTTCTTCAGCGAGTTTTTCATTATATCAAAAATTACCCCGTTTACTGATGGAAAGACGATTTAGTTGTTTTGATAGCAATAGCACGGCTGAAAACCCCTCTTTCACCATATGGAGAGGTCGGAAATGAAAGAATCCAGGGTTCTACCTCCTCAAAAACCGCCGTGTCTCTTGCATTTAACTCCCTAAATTCACCTCATTTCACATTAAAATAATGAATGCAAAATTAATTTTTCAAAACTTATAATAATGATTTTCGTATATCTCATTCATCCCTACAGACTGACGACCTTCATCAAAATACATGGTCTTCGGTATAACGGTCTTCGGTAAAATTCCCGATTCCTCATCCTACCACGTCCTCCAGTCCGATCACCAGTCCATAGATTTAATCAGCCATTTGTTTTGGATTCGTGGACTCGGATGGCCCAGGGGTCGGCAAATTTTACGTCGCTCGCGGGACAAAATTTAGGGTTGCTATTCTTTTGTGAATCGCATATATTTTTTGAAGGTTAAAAACGGAACATCGTGCGAAAACTGCGACAATTACTGAACTCAACTCAGTCGTCTTATTAAAGAATTATTACAATGACATTCAATGTGACACTGTCTTGTTGCTGCATC